AACGCATTTCGTGCGAGACTTCCTTCAAAACTCCATCGGCAACTCATCCACCAGCACCACTTGCAATCCCATTTGCATTGCGGGAACGATCCTAGAGTTGCAAATCACAATGGAATTCCATCGGCAACTCATCCACCAGCACCACTTGCAACCCCATTTACAATGCGGGAACGATCCTACAGTTGCAAATCACAATGGAATTCTGTCGACCACACGTGCACGAAAAACAGTTGAAACCCCATTTACAATGCGGAACCGATCCGACCATGATCCGCCCATGATCCGCCCATGATCCGACCATGATCCGACCACACACGAGACCGTCTCGCACCCGTCGCACCGCAGAGATAGATCATCGAGGTTCGGGGACGCACTTTGTATGGAAAAACATAGGGTTTCGTGCATCTGCTATCTCTCAAAAACGCATTTCGTGCGAGACTTCCTTCACAACTCCATCGGCAACTCATCCACCAGCACCACTTGCAATGCCATTTGCAGTGAGGGAACGATCCTAGAGTTTTAACTCTTTCTTTGACTAACTCTTTCCCTGACTAACTGTTTCTTTGCTAACTCTTTCCCTCACTAACTCTTTCTTTGACTAACTCTTTCCCTGACTAACTGTTTCTTTGACTAACTCTTTGTTGGACTAACTCTTTCTTTGACTAACTCTTTCTTTGCTAACTCTTTCCCTCACTAACTCTTTCTTTGACTAACTCTTTCCCTGACTAACTCTTTCTTTGACTAACTCTTTGTTTGACTAACTCTTTCTTTGACTAACTCTTTCCCTGACTAACTCTTTCTTTGACTAACTCTTTCCCTGACTACCTGTTTCTTTGCTAACTCTTTCTTTGACTAACTCTTTCCCTCACTAACTCTTTCTTTGACTAACTCTTTCCCTCACTAACTCTTTCTTTGACTAACTCTTTTCCTCACTAACTCTTTCTTTGACTAACTCTTTCCCTCACTAACTCTTTCTTTGACTAACTCTTTCCCTGACTAACTTTGCTAACTCTTTCTTTGACTAACTCTTTCCCTCACTAACTCTTTCTTTGACGAACTCTTTCCCTCACTAACTCTTTCTTTGCTAACTCTTTCTTTGACTAACTCTTTCCCTCACTAACTCTTTCTTTGACTAACTCTTTCCCTCACTAACTCTTTCTTTGACTAACTCTTTCCCTGACATTCTAAAAGTCCGTAACACGGAAGTTTCTCCCCCTAAACTTCCTTTGATGATATACGACAGTTAGATTTAGATTATGTACAGTACTTCATTAGATCGCACCATTGGTTGGTAACGTCCCTATACAATGGGTGTCCCGCAGCCAAGTGACCCTTTTCCATTCGGCGATGCGCTCCTTGGTGGTCAAAAATCTGGAAACCCGAGTTCCCCATAATACATGGCTGCCCTTAAACAATGTAAAAGATACCAGGCAAAAACCGTTGAGTCATGTTGAGTCTTGGCATGTTTTAACTCTATTATACACACATCTATCATATCCCCATATGAATATCCCCCATTTCTGACGCATACCTTTTTCACTAGCAGGTACTTGTGATTCCAAGCTGCCGCCACACGATGAACATGGCCTGGATGAGCCGTCTGGCCGCGGAAGGGCTCGGGGCACATGTAGGGCCCATCGGTTTCCTGGGCGATGGGCGATGGCTATGGGAGTCAAATTTGCAGCCATCCTAAATCATCACAGAATACCAGCAGTGCTTTTTCTGGGTTCCATGCAAAAAAAACAGCCACAGCTGTCGCTCTTGCTTTCCAAACAAACCGAGGCTCAATGAGAAGTCGTTCCAAAGGCAGACCTTGCACCAGTTCGCGACAATGCTCCTGGCAGTTTTCTGCAACAAAAGCTTCAAACTGAGTCAGCACTGAGAGGTGTGATGTCCACCTCTTTGGCTATTGTGGTCAGCTGGATGCCTTTTTTGTGCATGGCAGCTACACTTCCCCCAGTCCTCGCCCTTCTTCGCCTTCCCTTTGCCGTCTTTGCCATCTTTGCCGTCTTTGCCTTTCCCTTTTCCACCTTTGCCTGCTGGAAAGTGGACAAAGCGGGAAGTCTTCAGCTAGTCTTGTTCATATTTATCCTAAGTTGTTCTTTCAATGAAATGGGTACTGTAGATATGTTTTCCCTCTGTTGAGGAAGTCAGAATGATTTCAGCCCTAAAACGAAAAGACAAGATACCATCCTCCATAAGTTTCAGGCGCTCAACTGGTCTGCCTTTGTCTCGATCACGAAAGGTGATGGCCCCAGTGAAGCCGATGCGCAGCTTCGGCCAATGAGCCATCAACTCCTGCCAGTGGGGCAAATCATGGAGACAAAATGTCGACCTCGTGTGGCTAGAGATTTGGCTACGTTGCTGGGTTGCTGGGCAAACTCCTCTGCATATGCCAGGGAGTCGCTGAAGCAATGGACATGAATTGGATGATCTGGAGGAACAATCCTTGGGCCCATCGGGTGCGGATCAATTCTTGGCATGGAAAAACCATGGTGTCGGTCTCCGATCTTCATTGAGGTACAAGGTCGATAAGTCAAAGCTAACACCCGGCAAACCCACTGATGCTGGTGATGTTTCCTTCATTTTTGTATGACCTACAGCTGAAGCTATTTCCACATTAGATGTTGCCTTTTATTCTTTGCTGGGATTATCGGTCGTGATGATTCCTTTAATGCCCATGTTTTCAAAACTTCTCCCTGCATTGTTTAGCAAACCACCATCCTCATTGAGACATCTGAGACCTGCATGATCTTTGTATTTGTTCAATCGGAGCCATAGGAGTACCCCTCTGCCAGTCTGAGCCACTCTTTCAACTCCTTCAGGAACATCGCTTCATTTTCCGCGGTGGTGAGTCGCGCATGGATCACCAAGGCCTACGCGGTCTCACCAACCGTTTCACCCAATTGATGAATGGCGATCTTTCCATAACAAACAGTCACGAGATTGAAAACAGTGGGTTTTGCCATCTGAATAGATATGAAAGCTATTGACTGTTCATCAGCTATGAAATGGATTTTCCATGACTATGTTAGTTTACTGGAGGGTAATTGTTCTTTCTTGGACAGTAAGGTTGAATATTCCACACTGGGTTGATTTCTGAAGGTAGCTAAACAGACAGCAACCCGGTATAACAGGTTGTTCCCTTTATTCCCAGGTCATGAAGTATACACAGTTCTGATATGCCATGAGTGATACCAGGTATACCAGGTTCTTGATGGTTGATGCTCATGAGCGAGAAGTATTTGGCTCACGGGATGATCATCACCAGGCGCCATTCCCAATTGCAAGCGTTCATCGTTGCTTTTTCAAGTTGCAATTTTGGGGTATACCATGGTATACCTCGTTTAAAGTAGAAACCCATACATCATCATACATCCTCTTCTTTAATTCAAAATGCATCCCGACGAGAGTTGCTTCTATCCTCCATGATATCTCCCATTGTCACATGGGATGCACTTACTATTTCAAAGTATTTGCCACACGTTGAGCCAAAATTCCTGCTGTTGCTTTTGTTGTTGGATGTTGGATCTTATTTTCCTGGGTTTTTTTTGACGTTTTCTGTCCTTTCTATAATGTGTCCCTGGTTAATGGTTCCAGCATTTTGCAAACCAAAGAAACCAAGCAACCAAAAAGCAGCAAAAGCCAAGAAACCAGAAATCGCAAAAGCCACATCAGCCAAGAAGGCAAAAACTATAAAAGGCCAAGAACCCAAAAGCCAAGAAGGCAAAGCTGCAAAAGCCAAAAAAAAACACGAGCCAGCAACCCCAGACTTCAGAGCAACGAAAATGCCCTTTAATGATATTTCATGATATTACTATGATATTACTATGATATTACCTTATATTACCTTATTTTTATATCCATTTGATGATCATCTGATCCCATTACCTAATTCGATCCCATGATCTCCCAGTGTTCCCAACCCACTTCCACCTTTCTCAATTCCACCGCCAACTTCGCTTGGGCGCGGAAGGTGCGGAGCTGCAGTTCTGCCTCGAAAAAACCACCGTGAACCGCCGTTCCACGTTCGCCGCGGAACGTATCCGGATCAAGGGACCACTGCGATGATCTGCCGGCAAAAATGGATGCATTGATGAGAGAGATTTTTTCACCATCCATTTCGTGGGATCATTGGTCCGAAATGGGGATAGAGCCTACTTGATGTTTTAATGGTATGTAATGGGGTATGTAATGGGGGATTATCGATCTTATTGACCTTTTCGTTCGTTTCTTTCTTTTCTGCTGTTCTTTTCTTTTATCATCTATCTTCCTATCGTATCTATCTGATCTATCTTGTCTAATCATGTCTAATCTATCTCACCCAGCTTATTGAATCTATCTTGTCTATCTTGCTATCTCAGATATCGTATCTTATCAAATCCATCTTTGTGTCTGTCTGTCTGGTCTGGTCTGGTCTGGTCTGGTCTGGTCTGGTCTGGTCTGGTCTGGTCTGGTCTGGTCTGGTCTGGTCTGGTCTGTCTGTCTGTCTGGTAGTCTGGCAATCTGTCAGTGTCTGTCTATCTGTCTATCTGCCAACCTGTCTGTCTATCCATCTATCTAATCCAGTCGACCTATCTATCTATCAACCTATCTATCTAGATTTATGCATCCAACATTAAACCCAGAGTATTCCATATATCCGCTAACTAATACAACTTTAATATCCAACAGATTAAAATGGTTCGGGTTGCCACAAGCACCTCAGCTTGGTCCCCCCACGCATCCCTCGGAACGCAAGCTTTTGCCTAGATATCTATTTCTGTCTTCGTACACAGCTTGCAGCCCAAAGAGACATCCCCGTTGATGAAAGACCAACGCTTGCCAGAATCACCCGCTCCAGCCTTGGGTCGAAACAAACCAGCTGCCCAATCTCAAGCTCTGAAGACTCGATGGCAAGGTCACTCGCTCCAGGCTTTGGTTGAAGTCATTGCCAGACTCAAGCTTTGAAGACTCGATGGCAAGGTCACCCGCTCCAGACTTTTGTTGAACTTTTCACCAAAACTCAAGCTTTGAAGACTAAATGGCAATGCCACCGACTCTAGGCTTTGGTTAAAGTCACTGCCAAAACTCAAGCTCTGATGACTCGATGGCAAGGTCACCTGCTCCAGGCTTTGGTTGAAATTCGTCCCAGAAGTTAATCTTGCAAGGCTGCGGGGAAGATGATGTAAATACTCTCCAGGCATTGCTTCCTCAAGTTGTGTAACACCTTCTAGCACAAAATTTCTCTCACAAGCTGGGAGCCCATGGGCATAACACCCACTGTACACATTTGTCGGTATGTAAGTGCAAGACAGTGCCGATTTTCCAGCAATCTCTTGCTCTCCCAGGGTTCATGCGTCAGCTTTCGATTCGCGTGATGCACGGCCAGCTTTGCGCCTGGTTTGCATGGAAGCTTCTCTGACACCAACCTGCGCAGATCATACCCTAGCATAGAGCGAGGGACGCTCAATGTCACTCCTTCTCCAGTCAAGCACAGCACCTCAAGATCGACCTTATCGATTTCATCTGCTGCACCTTTGTCAGTAGATGACGGATCCATGTTTCCATGTTGCGAAACGGACATTGGAAAATATCTACACGCTCCTCACTGCTGGGAAAAACCGAAAAAAACCGAAAGATCTTCACAAAAAAAAAAGGCACAACCCTCATACAAATAGTATCCGGGCAAGGCGAAAGCTTCAAAGATGAAAGACCTATAAGGCAAAAGAAAGGTTGCGCTTATAATGATGTGTGGAAGGCCCCTTGCACTTTGAAGAAACAAGTTCCTGAATGGACATCGATGAGAGATAAAACCATCCGTTTCATGGGATGATTGGCGGGATATAACCGCGATAGATAGAACCAAAACTATTGGGATGTACATGTGTGTTTGCCCAAACATGTTAGGGAGACAATCAAATGATTTAGAAAAACATGTTTGGCAGTTTGTTTATGGCAAGTTTGGGGCCACATTTCTGGACAAACCCCAATATGAGGCAACTGGGATCAAGATGGCTACCGTAATCCTTTGCACCCTTTGAGCAAAAGAAAAAGTACATACCCTCCGGTAATCAAACATGATCAAACATGGCTAGCTGAAAAATATTCCATTTAGTTGAAAAATGTTCAATGTTTGTTCTACTAAAACCTTCTTTTAGTTTGGGATTTGCCAGGTAGCTATGTTCGATAACGCCTTTGCGGGTAAATTTTGGTGACTCTGAGCCAGGTTGGTGACCTGATCGGATCTGCCTCGCTGGGATCATGCTTGAAGAAGTCCAGTCCACACTCGCCAATGCCTCCCAGCAACCGTGGACATCAAAAGTTGCTCTGGGACCAATGTAAAAAAAAAACTCAACCCGTCAGACGAATCCCAAAGAAATCTGAGGATAAATCCTAAATCAAAACGAGACAAATGGAGCATTCGTGGCAGCAAATGTTACGGGATCGCCTACGCACTTGGGATGTCTTGCGAGCCGTCGAACATTTTCTTCTGCAGCAGCATCCCAGTTGGCAGCATCATGTGGATGGATGCCTGGCGCCACAGAATACTAGTCCAATCTAGTCCATTTCACTCTGAGCACATACGTTCTCAAAACAGTCCACCTTTTCGGAAAGGGTGGTGTAGAAAACAAAAAACTCAAATACTCCAGTGGTGGTCTTCCAGCCTTCTAGCTTTCTAGCCTGCATTCATACCAAGAAATCTCCATGGGGCTGTCCGTTGGATGCTTGTGAACTGAGTGCCCAGCCTATCGTAAACCACAGCCTTGGGTCCCACTGAAGTTGCAGTACTGGGATGCAAATTTTGGGACCGTCATCAATCATCAATCACTACCAACCACATTGTCGAGTCCCCCATTCTGCCACGCAGCTTGTGCTGAATCGCGCTGCCAGCTTCGAAAAAATTCAGGTTGTGGTCAATCCATGTCCACTCCGCGGGGATTCCCGGCTTACCTCGGACAACTCTGCAAGTCGCTCAGCTACCCAGTGCCACGGATCATGGAACTTTGGCTCTTAATTTTTCTTAAAAAAGAAATGTTCTATCAGTTCTATCACTCTACTGTGTTCTCCAAGCTGTCGCACTCCAGTGGGCAAACAACGTCGTTTCCAAACCTGGCCTAGCATTGCAACCCCCTGGCCCAAATGCAGCAAGGCACTTTCGCGACGAAAGGCAAAGTTGGAGATACATCCGTCAAGGCCTTCGGGCCAAAGGGAAACCATCTCCTGCGCCACATGGCCGCCATGACCTACAAATACAGTATTCGTGTCCATCAGGTTCAACCCACATGTTCTTCGTTGACTTCATTGAAAGGTACTGTCTCTCTCTCTCTCTATACCATTCTATACCATTCTATACCAGTCTATACAATCAATATATATGATTTTTCAGATTATAGGGATCACCTGCCAGGGTTTCTTCAGTCCTCCAAATTGACGTCCGGTTCGTTCTCAGTGACTTGCGGCTTCCCACCACCTCGCCAGCTTCGCTGAAGGATGCTCTCCTGAAGCCCGGCAGGGCGGCTACCCGGCGGTGTCATCGGGAAATCATAGGAAAATCATGGGAAGGCACTGAAGACACACTGGAAATAAAGGTCTTAATGGGAAAAACATCAATAAATGGTGGGTCTTCCAGCAAACCATGTTGTTTAGTGCGGAAATCCGGTTGGCTTTTGGAGTCCAAGATTGGAAAAAGCGAGGAATGCGGTCAAGAATCCAAACTCCTCCGACCATTCGCCTCCCACCTCTGATACTTGATACGGATTCCTTGTATATACTGGTTCTCGGCCACTGGTTGACAAAAAGTTGGCGGATGGTCTATCGTTATCTATCGTTGGCATTTTTGTTGCGATGAACAGATTGGGCATAGATTCAATAAAACAATAAAATGGCCTTGTCACCATTGTGGGATGGCATCCAGAGCTTTATCCCAGAGCTTTATCCCACTCGTTTATGGCTTCTCCAAGGGTCCAAATGACAGTGCGAGTCAAACCACCTCGCATCCGCTGGCAGATCTTCTCGATGCATCAGGCGTTGCAAATCTGCTCTGTAACGCTCCATGAACATTGCCCTTGTCCCCTGGGCATAGGCTGCTGAAATACCCAGACCTCCACCACGTCCAGCCCCTACAAATGGGAACGGGGCCAGCCCTGCAGATCCATCGTTCCGCCATCGTCGTCTTACGGCCATGCCGGACCGAAAACACAAGAAATACTTGCATGGACCATCTTTAGCAACTGAAACTGATTTCTGATATTTGTATCTTGCAAGAATTTGCAAAGCACCCAAACTTTTGAGCAAGTAAAAGAGGTCCTTGTTGCCTAGTTGGACTTGTGTGGGAAAGTGTTGTTGAAAGAGGTACAGAATGGTGTTCCACGCGTTTGGCCACGCTACTTGATGCATTTCACACGTCTTGTTTTGCTACAGTGGCTGTGGGTCCAAAGACTGCGGACCGGCGATAGTCACAGTGATTTGCCAAAATGTGGGTTTCACGTTATTCCTTCATCAAGATTCCTTTCATCCGAAACAACTCTCCTAGGTGGTTTCGACCAGCCTGGTAAATATTCAGGAATGGTTGGATACTTGGAAAAAATTGTTTGGAAATCCTGGATTCTTTGGCAACAATCCCATGTGATATCCCATCAATCACCAAACCAACCGAATCGCTGTCAGGGAGGTCCTCTAGGCGTCTCGCAAAGGCAGCATCCTCGGTCTGCCGACCCTGCCGTCAAGCTGGCGTGGTGGTTTCCAACAATTTCTGAGGGTTCCAAAACAAACAAACTGGGTTTGACCAAAAATGGAGGTGTCAATTGTAATGGGCAAAAATGATGATTGCCACTGAGTTTTCGGCACCCAATGTTTGGACAGGCCCAGGGCCGTTGTTTGAGCAATGTTTAGGCCATGTTTTGCTGCGTTTGGGAAGCAAAAACCTAATAAAAAGCGCTTGTACGTACTTTTTGCATACAAAATCTACATTTCGCAACAAGCTGAAAATCGTGTAAATTAAATACCAGTGTTTTTGCTAGGCGCTGGCTAAAATACACTGTAAATACCATGCATTTTACTACCAAAGGCAAATTGTTCCGAAAGCCTTCAAAAATTGCGAAAACACAGCCAATGTGATGCCTTTTTAGGGGCAGACAAAAATGCGACAAAAAGATGTGTGGTAAGATGGTCACAAGCTGCGGTATGAAAAGAACATCACATTGTGCTCTGCACGTACGCGCGCGCGCGCGCGAAGAGCACATGAACAACACCAACGCTCACACTACTACTATACATACCCCTGATGGCATCGCCGAAGTGCGAAGCTCTACAATTGCCTCTCATTTTTGATTACCAAAACGTACTGGCCCTGCCATCTTGACTGAAGGAGGTAAGTTTTGATACCATTTGATGATATCGCCAGCCGACGCAAAGTTGACAAACGCATGGCTTCCCAACAAGCCCAGAAATCTTTGTAATGGTATCATGCCTGGCAAGTTTCATAAAAGTCCACCCAACCAAAAATGGCACCCTTAACATCTTTGCACCAGACGTAATACACTGCAGGAAAATGTGAATACATATTGATAATTCTATACGAATCCAGGAAACGCACGACACAAATCTTGCTATGGTGCGTTTCCTCTTCTCGCACTTGTCTGTGCAATAGAAAATGCTGCACACTTCCATAATGCCAGTTGGTGCCTCAACCTTGTCTTTGTCGGAAGCGCCAGCTTCCGTCTTTCGCAATTGCGTCCGAAGGTCTTCCTGTGGGCAAAAAACATCACTCGAAGGTTGAGATCTGTCGGGATAGGTCTGGTACAAATGTGATGTGACCTCTTCTGAACCTCCCTAGAATTTCCGCTCCGACACCCATCTCTTTAGCCATAGGAAGTTTCTTTTCAGATGAAAACGGCTCATCTAGGTCCAGGAAAACCTATGGAAAAGCAAGTCATCTCAGCATAGCCAAGATGCCGCCACGGTTTCATGGTCGGAAGCGCCGGCTTCCATCTTCCGAAGCTGGGCGCGTAGGTCTTCCTGCGTACAAAATCTCACTTACTTATGCTCTTGGGTCCTCTGCCTCTGGTATTCTCAGATGTTTGTGGAAATGCCATGGAATCCACATTGGTGGATGATGATATGATATAATTACCTCTTAAAAATGGGGCCCTTCCGTTGTCATTTTTGATTACCAAAACGTACTGGCCCTGCCATCTTGACTGAAGGAGGTAAGTTTTGATACCATTTGATGATATGGCCAGCCGACGCAAAGTTGACAAACGCATGGATTCCCAACAAGCCCAGAAATCTTTGTAATGGTATCATGCCTGGCAACTTTCATCAAAGTCCACTCAACAAAGAATAGCACCCTTAACATCTTTGCACCAAACGTAATGCACTGCAGGAAAATGTGAATACATCTTGATAATTCTATACGAATCCAGGAAACGCACGACACAAATCTTGCTATGGTGCGTTTCCTCTTCTCGCACTTGTCTGTGCAATAGAAAATGCTGCACATTTCCATAATGCCAGTTGGTGCCTCGACCTTGTCTTTGTCGGAAGCGCCAGCTTCCATCTTTCGCAATTGCGTCCGAAGGTCTTCCTGTGGGCACAACATCACTCGAAGGTTGAGATCTGTCGGGATAGGTCTGGTACAAATGTGATATGACCTCTTCTGAACCTCCCTAGAATTTCCGCTCCGACACTCATCTCTTTAGCCATAGGAAGTTTCTTTTCAGATGAAAACGGCTCATCTAGGTCCAGGAAAACCTATGGAAAAGCAAGTCATCTCGGCATAGCCAAGATACCACCACGGTTTCATGGTCGGAAGCGCCGGCTTCCATCTTCCCAAGCTGGGCGCGTAGGTCTTCCTGCGTACAAAATCTCACTTACTTATGCTCTTGGGTCCTCTGCCTCTGGTATTCTCAGATGTTTGTGGAAATGCCATGGAATCCACATTGGTGGATGATGTCCACTCAACAAAGAATAGCACCCTTAACATCTTTGCACCAGACGTAATGCACTGCAGGAAAATGTGAATACATCTTGATAATTCTATACGAATCCAGGAAACGCACGACACAAATCTTGCTATGGTGTGTTTCCTCTTCTCGCACTTGTCTGTGCAATAGAAAATGCTGCACACTTCCATAATGCCAGTTGGTGCCTCGACCTTGTCTTTGTCGGAAGCGCCAGCTTCCATCTTTCGCAATTGCGTCCGAAGGTCTTCCTGTGGGCAAAAAACATCACTCGAAGGTTGAGATCTGTCGGGATAGGTCTGGTACAAATGTGATGTGACCTCTTCTGAACCTCCCTAGAATTTCCGCTCCGACACCCATCTCTTTAGCCATAGGAAGTTTCTTTTCAGATGAAAACGGCTCATCTAGGTCCAGGAAAACCTATGGAAAAGCAAGTCATCTCGGCATAGGCATAGCCAAGATACCACCACGGTTTCATGGTCGGAAGCGCCGGCTTCCATCTTCCCAAGCTGGGCGCGTAGGTCTTCCTGCGCTTTAACAGACCCTGCTAGATCTTTCTAATTCGGGTGCGATTTTCCCTTCAGGTTGCATCACTGCTTAAACATGCTGTCACACATCATGATCGTGATGCTGTCCAATCAGGTCATCTTGTTTGGAGGTCCACTTAATTTCTTCACCCAAAAAGCTGATACTTGAAAGAAACGTCAATTTAGAAATAAGCAGTGACTTTCGTTAGTGACCATCATTGAAGGTCTTCATGCATCCAACAAAAATGATGCAGGCAGTACAACACCAGGATCATCAAGACCTTGGAATACCTAACAAAGTGAACTCTGCAGCAATTACAGCCTATATATGATATACATATATACTATATGTGTGCATATACTGTATATTACTGTATATATATGTATATGTATGTATATCTATATATATATGTACATATATATATATATACATATATATATATATACGTCACTTGTATCTCAACTCATCATTAACCACATTTAACCACCAGAATCCCGAATTTGGCTGGTAAAAACCCATATGAAATCCCCCATCTTCCGAAATCCCCAGCCGCCCATCCAAAACCATTGGTTGGTCAATAGCTATCCCCAACAAACTATGGATATCCATAACAATCCCCAACAAACCACTTAGGTTCCTTATCACCCATATGAACCCATCAAGGCTCAAGGGCTATTTTTGATGGCCTAAGGCTGGGGTCCGATTTGAGGCCTGAAAGTGAATCGGCGTGTCTGAAAATGGGTCCATTTTTCCGCTGGAAAAATTAATCCTTTTCTTCATGAAACAGCCATTTGGGAGTATAAATCAAAGTATAACCAAATTTTCAAACATACTGTTAAGTGACCTGGACTTGGCACTGGTCTCCAACAACTTGGGTCAAGCCATTCGCGACCTCCATTCTCATTGAGGGGTGATGTTCGTGGAAACAAAACTATTACAGTGTATACAAAATAATAATAATAATGAAAAAATGGTGTACAACAACAACAACGACGACGACGACGACGACAACAACAACAACAACAATCGTGGATACTCTGAATGGAGAAAATGTAATATTTATTTTGTCTTCGCTGCCAAAGCCACCTTTGCTGTAAGCACGCGGCCGTTGGCCCTAGACCCAGCTGTGTGTACAAGGTACATAAAGAAACTAGGTTCCCACTGGGCTTAATTACCCATATAGTTGGGAATAGTTGGGAAATCGTTTCAAAACGAGAAGTTTTGAATACGTTCTGAACGCGTATCATCAAATAAAACCCATCCAAGGGAATCCAAAATATCTCAAAGATCAGTGGATACTGTAGATGTGTATATATATATATACATACATATTATCCCATGAAATCTGCACTTTTTGCTGCGCGAAATCTCCCAAAAAAAAATCGAGACATCGCAGCCGCTGCGCCTCCATTTCTTGCATCTTCCGCAGCTGCTCCCGAAGATCTTCCTGTGGAAAACTTCCGGCGTTTGTGGGAGATCCATGGGGCAGATACAAGACTGCGGACCGGCGATAGTCACAGTGATTTGCCAGAATGCGGGTTTCACGTTGTTCCTTCATCAAGATTCCTTTCATCCGAAACAACTCTCCTAGGTGGTTTCGACCTGGTAAATATTCAGGATGGTTGGATACTTGGAAAAATTCGTTTGGAAATCCTGGATTCTGTGGCAACGATCCCATGTGATATCCCATCAATCACCAAACCAACCGAATCGCTGTCAGGGACATCCTCTAGGCGTCTCGCAAAGGCAGCATCCTCGGTCTGCCGACCCTGCCGTCAAGCTGGCGTGGTGGTTTCCAACAATTTCTGAGGGTTCCAAAACAAACAAACTGGGTTTGACCAAAAATGGAGGTGTCAATTGTAATGGGCAAAAATGATGATTGCCACTGAGTTTTCGGCACCCAATGTTTGGACAGGCCCAAGTTCAGTTCTCTCGCCTCTTCCATCAAACCATCCAATCTTTGGGGGTTCACTAAACGAACATGGCAACGCAAATGGGATGAGATGGGGAACTGTTCCATTGTTACGTTGGATTAGCAAAGGAATAGATCTGAACAAATTGTAGAGTGTAAATCCCAAACCAGCAAGTGTGCAAATTTGTAAGTGGACATTCCCAAACAGCAAACTAGCAAGGTTGAAGCGCCTCTAGGTCGGTTGCAGTTAGCTAAATCGCTGAACCCCCTTTTGTTGTTCGGTTGAAACTGTATTATTGGGATCGCCCTTGGTATAGCCAGTTTGGTTCCCAACAAATCCACAACGAATCGTAGTTTGGCTAGTCAAACCCTCACTAATCACTTGATGTACAGCTTCGACTGTTACTATTAGTTGATAAAATAACATACAGTTGCTGTTGCTTGGTATGAGTTGGCCCTGTAGTTTTTCATATTAGCTGGGAATCACTTGGAGATTGTCCTTTAGGATTAGGTTGACATCAACCAACGCCTGTGCAGCATCGCGCTGCCGCAACTGCACCACAACGGCTTGCTCGCTGCGGAATTGCTCCTGGGAAATTGCTGTTTGAGTTGGGTTCGATGTTGAGTTTTGGAGCTGTAGACTACGACCGGGATTTTGATGTTTCATGCCACTTTTCTATCGGTTGATTCAACCAAAGTCTTGGAAGTAACGAAACGATGTTCCATGTGAATCCAGGGAAGTCGTGCAAAATCCCTCAATCATCGGAGCAGGTTACGAGATCCTATACTCATATAGTGTATGTATATACATATATATATATATAGTAGGTTACTAATGACTTATATACAGTAGGTTACTATGACTGAAGTATTACTATATTAATTTACCTACTATTGCCAAAGATTGAAATTACTATAATACAAGATAATTACAGTAATCACGATTTTATTACTTTAAAAAAAGAAGGAAAAAAACATCTTACCATAGACAATATAGTAAATTAGTATTATATATATATCATAATATATAATAATTATACACATATTGTAGGTTACTATAACTATATTGCTGTAGTTATTTCCTATAGCTCCTCCAGCGTCTTCGCCGCCAGGCGCGCTAGCTCCATATTCTCGGCCGCTTCATCGGCTTCCTTTCTACGGTTTGTTTGAAAACGGGTTTGGCGTGCCTAACTATTGGTCAAAACCATGGGAAAACCATGGGAAAGTGGTGGATTTCACTGATTTAACTGATTTGGGATGGAATTTTGATACAAAACTGGATTTAAGTAGATTTAGATTCCGATTATACCCAGAAATGCTGGAGTTTGATGGATCTAAACCATCAACAAATCTTAAAAATATGTCGAAATGGAATCTGGTTTGAATCCTCACCTTGGACTCGGACAAAAAAAACCTCCATTGTTCATGTTATTTTTGTGTCTGAGAATGGGGTACCTCAAAATTCAATGGTTTAAAAATGTTTAAAACCTCAGTTTGCCACTTTTCATGGCCGTCATCTCATGGCGTTTCTCAGCATTGCTGTACAAAGCTTCAATCTGTTGGTGATATCCCAGGATGCACTATCCCATTTTATCACCCATCATTGTGGCTGGGTTTAACCACGTGTATATATCCGCCGACCCCGGCCTTCGCCAAGGCCGGGGCGGCGCCTGGGACCACCGCAGGTGTGGAACTTTTCCGCGCACATAGCCCTCTCTCGTTAGGGCATTCGAGGCAGCTGCCACCACGCCCTCTGGCCGGCAGCCTTTGCTGTTCCAGGGTTGCAGCCTGCCCTTTGCCTGCACATCCCTCGCGGCAGCTGCCACCAAGCCCTCTGGCCGTCAGCGTTCCAGCATTGCAGCCTGCCCTTTGCCTGCACTGAGCCCTCTCTTGTTCCCCAACAAGCCCAACACGCGCCACTGCCGCACGCAAAAGCCACCACAAGGCCACAGCGCTCCAAAGCCCTCCAAACCCTCCAAAAGTCCGGCCAGCTCCGCAAGGAAAAGGTACCCCAACAAGCCCAACACGCGCCACTCCCGCACGCAAAAGCCACCACAAGGCCACAGCAATGGCACAAGGACACCCCACGGCCGCAGCAATGGCTTCTTATACGCGTTCAAGGCTGCCGTTTGCCAGGCCTCAAACGCTCCAAAACCCTCCAAACCCTCCAAAAGTCCGGCCAAGGAAAAACACATCCCTCGCGGCAGCTGCCACCAAGCCCTCTGGCCGTCAGCGTTCCAGCATTGCAGCCTGCCCTTTGCCTGCACTGAGCCCTCTCTTGTTCCCCAACAAGCCCAACACGCGCCACTGCCGCACGCAAAAGCCACCACAAGGCCACAGCAATGGCTCAAGGGCACCCCACGGCCGCAGCAATGGCTTCTTATACGCGTTCAAGGCTGCCGTTTGCCAGGCCTCAAACGCTCCAAAACCCTCCAAAACCCTCCAAAAGTCCGGCCAGCTCCGCAGGGAAAAGGAACCCCAACAAGCCCAACACGCGCCACTGCCGCACGCAAAAGCACCACAAGGCCACAGCAATGCTCAAGGGCAACCCACGGCCGCAGCAATGGCTTCTTAACGCGTCAAGGCTGCCGTTTGCCAGGCCTCAAACCCTCCAAACCTCCAAACCCTCCAAAAGTCCGCCCAGCTCCGCAGGGAAAAGGTACCCCAACAAGCCCAACACGCGCCACTCCCGCACGCAAAAGCCACCACAAGGCCACAGCAATGGCTCAAGGGCACCCCAAGGCCGCAGCAATGGCTTCTTATACGCGTTCAAGGCTGCCGTTTTTTTTTGGCTAGGCATCTTCCAAAACGCTCCAAAAAACCAGTCCAAAAAACCATCCAACCCTCAAAAGTCCGGCCAGCTCCGAAGGGACAAGGTACCCCAACAAGCCCAACACGCGCCACTGCCGCAAAGCAAAAGCCACCCAAGGCCACAGCAGGCTCAAAGGGGCACCCACGGCCGCAGCAATGGCTTCTTATACGCGTTACAAGGCTGCCGGTGCCAGGCCTCAAACGCTTTCAAAAACCCTCCAAACGCTCCAAAAGTTCGCATAGCTCCGCAGGGACAAGGTACCCCAACAAGCCCAACACGCGCCACTCCCGCACGCAAAAGCCACCACAAGGCCACAGCAATGGCTCAAGGGCACCTTCCGGCCGCAGCAATGGCGTCTTATAGGCGTTCAAGGCTGCCGTTTGCCAGGCCTCAAACCCTCCAAAACCCTCCAAACGCTCCAAAAGTTCGCATAGCTCCGCAGGGACAAGGTACCCCAACAAGCCCAACACGCGCCACTACCGCACGCAAAAGCCACCACAAGGCCACAGCAATGGCTCAAGGGCACCTTCCGGCCGCAGCAATGGCTTCTTATAGGCGTTCAAGGCTGCCGTTCACAAAAAGTCCGGCCAGCTCCGCAGGGAAAAGGTACCCCAACAAGCCCAACACGCGCCACTGCCGCACGCAAAAGTCACCACAAGGCCACAGCAATGGCTCAAGGGCACCCCACGGCCGCAGCAATGGCTTCTTATACGCGTTCAAGGCTGCCGTTTGCCAGGCCTCAAACGCTCCAAAACCCTCCAAAACCCCCCAAACCCTCCAAAAGTCCGGCCAGCTCCGCAGGGAAAAGGTACCCCAACAAGCCCAACACGCGCCACTGCCGCACGCAAAAGCCACCACAAGGCCACAGCAATGGCTCAAGGGCACCCCCCGGCCGCAGCAATGGCTTCTTATACGCGTTCAAGGCTGCCGTTTGCCAGGCCTCAAACGCTCCAAACCCCTCCAACCCCTCCAAAAGTCCGGCCAGCTCCGCAAGGAAAAGGTCCCCCAACAAGCCCAACACACGCCACTCCCGCACGCAAAAGCCACCACAAGGCCACAGCAATGGCTCAAGAGCACCCCACGGCCGCAGCAATGGCTTCTTATACGCGTTCAAGGCTGCCGTTTGCCAGGCCTCAAACGCTCCAAAACCCTCCAAAACCCTCCAAAAGTCCGGCCAGCTCCGCAGGGAAAAGGTACCCCAACAAGCCCAACACGCGCCACTCCCGCACGCAAAAGCCACCACAAGGCCACAGCAATGGCTCAAGGGCACCCCACGGCCGCAGCAATGGCTTCTTATACGCGTTCAAGGCTGCCGTTTGCCAGGCCTCAAACGCTCCAAAACCCTCCAAACCCTCCAAAAGTCCGGCCAGCTCCGCAAGGAAAAGGTACCCCAACAAGCCCAACACGCGCCACTCCCGCACGCAAAAGCCACCACAAGGCCACAGCAATGGCTCAAGGGCACCCCACGGCCGCAGCAATGGCTTCTTATACGCGTTCAAGGCTGCCGTTTGCCAGGCCTCAAACGCTCCAAAACCCTAAAAAACCCTCCAAAACCCTCCAAACCCTCCAAAAGTCCGGCCAGCTCCGCAAGGAAAAGGTACCCCAACAAGCCCAACACGCGCCACTCCCGCACGCAAAAGCCACCACAAGGCCACAGCAATGGCTCAAGAGCACCCCACGGCCGCAGCAATGGCTTCTTATACGCGTTCAAGGCTGCCGTTTGCCAGGCCTCAAACGCTCCAAAACCCTCCAAAACCCTCCAAAACCCTCCAAAGTCCGGCCAGCTCCGCAGGGAAAAGGTACCCCAACAAGCCCAACACGCGCCACTGCCGCACGCAAAAGCCACCACAAGGCCACAGCAATGGCTCAAGGGCACCCCACGGCCGCAGCCAATGGCTTCTTATACGCGTTCAAGGCTGCCGTTTGCCAGGCCTCAAATGCTCTAAAACCCTCCAAAACCCTCCAAACCCTCCAAACCCTCCAAAAGTCCGGCCAGCTCCGCACGGAAAAGGTACCCCAACAAGCCCAACACGCGCCACTGCCGCACGCAAAAGCCACCACAAGGCCACAGCAATGGCTCAAGGGCACCCCACGGCCGCAGCAATGGCTTCTTATACGCGTTCAAGGCTGCCGTTTGCCAGGCCTCAAACGCTCCAAAACCCTCCAAAACCCTCCAAAAGTCCGGCCAGCTCCGCAAGGAAAAGGTACCCCAACAAGCCCAACACGCGCCACTCCCGCACGCAAAAGCCACCACAAGGCCACAGCAATGGCTCAAGAGCACCCCACGGCCGCAGCAATGGCTTCTTATAGGCGTTAAACCCTCCAAACCTTCCAACTCCTCCAAAAGTCCGCCCAACTCCGATGCAAAAGGTACCCCAACAACCCCAACAGGCGCCACGCCCGCACGCAAAAGCGACGACAAGGCCACAGGCTTGAGAAGCAAACGGCCATATGTCTGTCTTGCTGTCCGTCTCCCTCTCTCTCTCTACAGTACCCCCCCTCCAATTAGGGGGGTCGGCGGCACCTGGGCGCTAGCCCATTCTATATATTATTATTTCTTTTAAAAAAAAACTATGTTTTGTGAGTTTTGTGCTTTGAGCATCTTTGAACCCCCAGAAAATATCTGCCCTATTTCATCCTATTTCCGTATCACCAGAGAATCAAGGTGAAAATAGATATAAACCACTCATATGTTTCAAACAGACTCCATAGCAACAAAGTTCTGTAGTGTTCCCAGGCTTCCACATGCATACGCCAGGTGCCTGGATATTTTTCATGTTTGTTTCAAACAATGGTGACATTATGATGGGTTTAGACCATTTTATTTTATCATTTTGGGGGTTTCCATAAATAGGATTGACAGCCCCACTCTTTTCTGCAATTGCCATGCAGGACAAGGTTGGTAGTAAAATAACATTCTGTACAATCGAAAGTTCACCGCCAGTTCACCCTTCTGCAAACGCGTTTGGTTCAGCAAAACCATTCTAAAACGTTTTTTTTTTTGAAGGATTTTGTTGAGGAGTTTTGTTTTGGGAGTTTTGTTTAGTGTTGTTGTTTAACTCCTCTTCCTTCTCGAGAGTGAACTGTAGCGGCGGTTGGGGGTGGGAGAACAGAAAGCCGTGCTGAATGAGCAAAAGGAGAACGGCAGTAAATCCTAAATTTGGTAAACCAAAAGCAAGGATTGACAGCCTCACTCTTTTCTGCAATTGCCATGCAGGACAAGGTTGGTAGTAAAATAACATTCTGTACAATCGAAAGTTCACCGCCAGTTCACCCTTCTGCAAACGCGTTTGGTTCAGCAAAACCATTCTAAAACGTTTTTTTTTTGGAAGGATTTTGTTGAGGAGTTTTGTTTTGGGAGTTTTGTTTAGTGTTGTTGTTTAACTCCTCTTCCTTCCACGTCCCCTACCCTTTCGGTGCACCGAAGGCTCAACACGGCTGACAGATTGCCAATGATGAATTAAGTTGTTTTGGTAAGGGGATGGACGAAACGTTATGTCAGTCAGCAGCGCTAGGCTGTCATGGATGTATAATTTCAAGGTACGTTCTGAAGTCCACCGCCCTGCATAGGCTACTTGGGAATAGTTATGTGTACTCAACCATAACTCCGTGGCCCCACCTCGTCTAAGCGAATAGGGTTTTAAGCCCAAGGCAGATAGGTGGGTATGATCGATGGCTTTTGAAAATTGTACACGGAAATAAGAACTGGACCATGGAATTATGTACTGATCTGGTTCGGCGGTGGCCTTCCATAGTCGCAAAAGATGCAACAACGTTCGGTCATGAATAGTCACGTGACCAGCCATTGGATTTCGAGATCCAGTTTTGGTGAGACCAAGATACAAAAGCCCAGATGCCTCATTATCGGCTATCACCAAGTGTTTGGCCTGGACGGAGAGAAGCTCTCCGGTGCGCAAGAGCGCGCGGAATGCCAAATAAAGACCCACAGAAACGGATGGGCTCAAACCATGAAACCAACCTAGCAACACGCATAAGACTTCCCAAGTGACAGGCGGGGCCCGACACGGGAGTTCATGGGCTTGCCACGCCCGCAATAGCTTCCACGACCCAGCGAGATTATGTTTTGTGGCTGGTTGAAAATAGGTGATACTCGAAAGTGTATCACCTGCAAGCGAGAGGGGGAGCCCCTCTTCCCAAAGGAATTCCAAATAATCTTCAATTTGATGATCTAAACCAATCTTGCTACGGGAAATTTCCGACCCTTGCTGATGCAGATATGCTACAAAATGTTTGAAAGCCCGCTCGTATCGTACAATTGTAGCCGGTCTTACAACTAAAGATTTCAAAGTGCCCAACTCTCGCCTGCGTTCCTTCCTACCTGACCTAGTCCTGGCTTCAACTATTTGACCGCGGACCATTTTCGCTTCAAGTGCCCCCTGGAAGGGGCATCTGCAGGGTTTGTTTTTGTGTTGGTGTAGGCCAGGATCAGGAGGACATTTCCGGCAAGCAATAGGGCTGAAATCTTTTTGCAAACATGGCGAAGTTTTCTGGAGGAGGTTCTACCTTTGTTCAGGAGCTGCAAAGACACCATGCTGTCAACCAGGTGGAAAACTCTTTGGCCAGGTACTCTCTGGCGGAAGAGACGCCACTTCAAACTTGTATATATTGCGCGCATCTCTAACTTGTTGATGTGTTCGGGGTGGAGATTTTCTGTCGGGCGCCACCTCCAACCACATATGGTTTTCCATCGCCACAGTTTCGGTGTTAGCGAATTTCGGAGCCTATGGGCCCTTGGAAGAACTTCTGTCTCAGCAGTGAGCATGACATCTGTACCCTTAGCCGAAACTAAGTGGGATAATTTTCGAACTAACTCCAGTTCATCATCACGGTTACTGACTACCGCCGCAAATGGCTGAGGGTGTTCCAAAGTGGGTCGCAACAATCGCCCTGCCAGATCCGGCGCGTTGCCCGGCCTAAGGAGGTTCATTACCTCCTGCATTGTTCTGCTTGGAACAAAGCCCTGAGCGCAAAGCAAGGGTTGACACAAGGCAGCTACCACACCAACATGCCATGCATTCCCCAGCAGTGACATTCGGCAATCATCAAAATCTTGGGGCCGATTGGATCGCTGCGTTTTATTCCAAGCTTGAGATGTAAAACCAATGGGGAACCCCATGATTGACTCTTTTTCTTCAATGGTCAACATGCGCCACCCATGTTTTTTGTGGATCACACCATTGGAATAATTGTATTGAAAAGGAGGAAACCGATGGCGGTCGGATTTCCATGCCTGCAAATCTCGGTGGGTGCATTTGGCCAGGCCTGACGGCTTAAACCGAGGCGTTTTGCTGGGCTGGGCAGTACAAAAAGTTGCAAATGCGCCTTCTGGATTTGTTAGCTTCCACCCTGGTTTGATAAAAGTCGAAGGCAAAATTGGGGCTTCCAAAACTATAGCACCATAATCACTGGAGTGAGATGTTTCAGGAGGGTAAATGAAATACCCTTCCTTTTTTGTAATTTCCCAATTAAACCACCAGAGCCGAGGCCGACGGCAAAGAGAAATTTGCTTGGAATCAACTTCATAAGGCAAAATACCAAAGACCTTAGAATACTCCTGCCTATCTTCTAGGGACATGCTAGACACACCTTCCAGTAAAGAAAATGTAGGGCACCAAGAAAAAGTTTCGGTGACCCAGCATCGAAGTTCACAAAATTTTTGACACATATTTGGGCACCCTGCATTCCAGAAAGACCTTCCTTGAGTAGGAGGCCCACCGCCTAGGAGGACACATTTGCAGTTTGGAAAAAGCGCTGCCCATTCCCGAACTCGATCAGGCGTAATCAAACATATATCCTCCTCAAATATGGTGGAAGGGAAATGTGTCTCAACCACGCGCCGTGCAGCGGGATCTTTTTCAATAGAAACGTACCCGCTTACGTTGGCATGTAAGGCGTCCAACGCCACCCGTAGGCTGGCTATGCCATCAAAAGCAGAAATTACTAGGATGCCCCCGTCTTGGAAGGATTCCTGGGTTTCTCCGCGTACCAGGCCCCTGCTAGCATGAAGCCCAGCCTGCGTCAAACCAACACTTGCACACAATCCGCCGCCTGACTCCGAAGCGTCGCTTGCAGTAACTACGGGGTTACTAGGTTGCCGAAAGTCCATGAATGACAGAGGGCACAAGAAGAAGGCAGCAAACAATTCCTGGGCAACCTTTGGGGGAAGCGGCAAATATTGCTTGTCATTTGAAAAACTTGATATGAAAACCCAAACCTCGTTCAGGACTGACATGAGGGGACGCCGAAATGAAAACAAATAGACCAGACCACCTACCAACATCTGCATCTGCTTGCGGCTGACCTCCTTCCGTTGGAGTACAAAAACCAAGGAGGACAAATACTTAGAAATTTTGTCAGGTTTGGCTGAGCAAGTCCCTTGTTCGCCATTGATGATTGCCCCTTGAATTTCAGCACATTCCGCATTTGAGATGGCCTTCTTTTCATTCCGAGGGATTCCCAGCTCGGAATACTTGGATTGAAGGAGCTCAACCAGAGACAAATGCTCTGTTGACAGAATCTGCTTGGAGTGAATGCAAAGCTCATCAAAATTATCTAAATATGTTCTGAAATATTGCCGAGCACGGGGAAATTCTTGGTCACGCCTGATTTCCCACGAGCTGCTGATGGAACCTTTGAGAGCTTGCGCCACCACCTGACGGTGGAGGTGTTGCGCCACCGCCACCGAATTCAAAAATCCCATTGGCAATACTCGGCTATAGAGGACATATGTTCCAGAGGTGTTAGGCGGGCAAAACTGTTGGGGAACCGGCTTCGAAAAAGCAAAGTAATGCCTCCAACAGTCAGGTAAACCGATGATGTAGAACATGGCTCTAATGTCCTCACTTGAAATGACAATTGATTCATGGGGGCGAATTTCCAGCTGGAACATCTGAGACAAAACCGGGAGGGTACTGAGGTCCCCTCCCAAGTGTAGAAAATTCTCATTGCAAGGTCGAAAATCCATTATAAGTCGCAGAATTTCTATTCCTTCCGCCGTGGTCTCATTTTTGGGCACACCAAACATCCCACCTAGTATGGGCGCGCCATCGACATGTAGCACATCACTCAATGGCATTATACCGCACAACCCCCGGCCTAAGAGGCCTTCAACAACCCTAGGCCATTCCACATCAGAAACCATGACTTTTGGGGGTTTCACCCAGCTTCGAAACCGAGGAGGCTTTAACCATTGCTCTGGGTTATTGATGAAATCATTGAAGCCTCCTATGCAAACATCTCTGGCCGGCAAAATGCCTGCAACACCTTCCTTGGGAAGGCTGTGGCTAATGTTCTCCCACCGAACGCTATGTGCAACATGAATTTCAACCCCGTAAGCATTAACCAATTTTTGGTTAAACATGTCTTGGGGGTGGAAATTACTAAGGTCAACCCCTTTCCAGCTTTGCAGGTGCTTCAAATTTCCCAAAACTTCCCGCAAGAGCAACCCTTGGTTCTTACTTGGGGGACCTTTGCCCAAACAAAACGAACGACAGGACAACCAATTCAAGGATCTTACCACCCCCTCAGCCCAGGTTTCCAAAACTTCACACCCAAAGGGCTGTATCCCTAGGGGTGAAGGGAGGGGAAAAATATCCTCCGTGGAGGTGTCCTGCATAGCTTTGCCAACAGAACCCTGGACTGAGGGCAGCAACCGCAACATGTGTGGGCCCAACCCAAACAAATCCTTGGCCACAAGTGATCCGAACCCTCTCTCACTATGCGCCTCCCTGCACAAGCTGCCGCGCTGCAAAGATGCGCCATGGCGTCGAAAGGATTTGGATTCAGAACGTTGGAATCCATGCGTGCCCTTCTGGGAATTTGAGCCTTCCTTGTTTGAGCCAGGAGGATCCCAATTCCCAGGAGGTGGGCTCAGCGCCCTGTGCATGTCACATGCTGTCCCCACTAGGGCCCTACTTCCACCATCTTGCTCTGTGGCTGGTCTCCTTTCTTGCCTTTTGTCCCTCTCTTGGCCCAACTCTTTCCCGTTCCTTTGCCTTCTTTCCCTTGGGGAGGAAGGGGCGCAAAAGGCCTCTTTCCTTTTCCTTTCAATTGATTTGCCAACTTGGTTTCTTGGAAAAACTCTGACTTTGCTATCCTGGCCTCCGCCTGAGAGGAGAGCCCTTGGCTCTCCTTGGGAAGAAGTTCTAGCTGAGCAGCCAAATCCCCAGTTGTCCCTTGCTGAATCAACTCCAATGCCTTCAGTCGCTGTGCTAACAAATCGGCTAGCTGCAAAATCTTTCCTTGAAGAAGCAAGTCCATTCCCCATGACAAAGTTGCCATTTCGCGAAGAAGTGGTCGACTGCCACCGCGTCGCAGCAAGATCTGGCGATAATATTTTTGCATCACCACATAAGTTGATCCCTCTTCCCCTACATCCTGGGCCAGGAGATTGCTCGCCTCCTTGCAACAGCAACGGGCTAGATACCCCGGCAGCTTTTTCGCCACCCGGTGCACCTGGTGATCTGAGCTTCGATCCTCTGAGGTGGATGAGCTCCTTGTTGTTGACCCTGAGCTGGAGGAGGCCTTGCGCTTCTGACTCATGCGAATTTTGATCGGGCGGCGGTAAGATGGGTCGAGGGGAGTCCGTGCAGGTGTCCATTTTGACTTCAGTACCATCTCCTTGACCTGCTGTTTCTTGGACTTTTTCTTTTTTGCTTGCCCCTGTGGACCTTCGCCTGGGGATGGGGGATCTGCTGCTCCTGCAGAATTTTGGCCGGGGGAGAAGCCGAACTGCATTGCTTTCTGGCGGAGATCGGGGTTCTCGTCCGCAACTCCTGGTGGGGTTGGAAGTGAAACGGAGCAGTTCTCGGCCCAAGGCTCTGTCACGGTCGCCTCGTTCATATTCACCTCCAGCAGATAACCCAAACCAATCTCCTCTGCCTTCTCTGATTCTCTCACCACCTTGGTTCCAAGATAAACTTTGTCCGCCGGGTTCATGAGCTGCCATTGACGCAGGCTTGCCACGTTGGTCCCTAGCACCTGAGCACCAATCCAATGGCCATATGCGTCCTCCACCCGGTCTTTCAAGAGAATGTTGGCCTCGCCTTTCTCGCTCCCGTAGGCCAGCTTTACGTGCTTCCGGGATCCTAGAGGCAATGTTTCTGGGGGAATCTGATTGATTGGCTTCCATGAAGAACTTGTTTCTGGGGCCTCTTGGCGTCTCTGCCTTGAGGTTTGCGGAGAAGTTTTTGGCTTGGCCGATGGTTTGGAGCGGGGCTTGGGTGCTGCCTTTGGCGCTTTAAGAATTCCGGGGCGGGCTGCCGCGGGCCTCCTCAGAGGCATCAGCCCACGACTGACGGGGCTCTTCTTGGGTAGTTGCAGGCCTGTCCTCAAGAATTTCTATGGGGGTGTTGTTTGTGGGATCTGCTGTGCCAGATTCCTTTGCTGCTGTTGGGGCGCTGTTTAATCCTGCCTTGTCCGGGTCAGGTGGAGCTGCAGGAGGATCCGTGTCCGAAACCTCCTCAGGACTAGACGCCTCGTCAGATGCAGTGTCAGAGACGCTAGCTGCAGCTGCGGGAACAGGGATAGGGGGCGTGTGGCTTTTCGCAATAAGTGTTTGCTTTTTCGCGTTCCACCACTCGACCCTTTTCAAGCCCCGGTTCTTTTTGGGCTTCTTGGTCTTTGTCCAGCCCCAACTTGGCTCAGAAGGGGTCCAGGCCCAAATGTTTTGACCTTTGCCTTGGAAGGGGGACCTCGCTTTGCCTTTGGACTTTCCTCCTGAGCCTTTGGATTGAGGAGGGTGAGTAGGTTTAGGTGGAGGTGAGGGAGGCCTCCTGCTTGGGGCCTTTGAGCTGTTGTGATAAGGGGGCTGCCTTGCTGTGCTATAGTCGGCCTTCTTATGAACAATAGCCCGAGGAGGTACAACCACAGGAGCCTTGGCGGGGCGAAGGTGCAAGGGTTTTGTTGCAGGTTCGCGGAGGGAAGGTTTCCAACTTAATGGGCTGTTTCTCCTCCTTCTTGGGATCACTGATCTTTCGCTGTCACGGGAGTCCTCTCTCCTTCTCCTTTTTTGATCCTGGTCTCTGCTGGCGCAAACACTTCCCACCCGGGGATCTGGGGATGGTGAAGGGTTGCGTAAACTTGCCGCTGGCCTATATCGTGACTGGGGTTGTTCCTGAAACCTTTCCCCTCCTGAACCAACAGAAGGAGGATGTTGAGGAAATGATTGATCTCCTAGAGCTGCAAAGACAGCAGGAGATCCAAGGTTGCTAGCCAATCTCCCTAGCAAGCGGGTCTGGATATCCAAAGCAAACTTGAAATCTTCCGGCAGGAATTCTGGCCTGCCAACCAAATTGAGTACTCCAAATATAGCCCGACAAAGCTCACAAAGGCCTCCTCTGTCGACCTCCCACTTTTGGCAGTGTCGACAGGAGGTCATAGAACAGAAAGCCGTGCTGAATGAGCAAAAGGAGAACGGCAGTAAATCCTAAATTTGGTAAACCAAAAGCAGGGGGTACCTCCAGTTCTCATCCACTTTAATAGGATTTTCCATGAAATAAACTATAAACCATCCATTGTTGAGTACCCCCATGACTATGGAAACCCACCATTTGATATCACTAATGTGCTTGGTTTATCCCCGCTCCCGCCTCACGCAAGAGCTGGACCTCCTCTTGGAGGTGGAGCACCTCCAAACTCACCGTCCTGGGCCAACAAGAATGGCTGGGTTCCTGAGGGAAAAGATGTGTTCAAGGAAAAATGATGGTTGGAAGGGAAGAACTGGTTTGAAACAGCCAAAATCATGATTTTGAGTGTCAATGGATTTCTTTATGGGAATTTGACAGGGAAATCGTGCTTTGTCACCCCTAAAGTTATTGGGGGTTCCTGCACCAAACCCTTGGTATGCAGGGGAAGATCAGTCAGTTCCCAAAGCTTCAAAGACCACAAAGGGACTTACATAACTCACATAACCGTGTCATCCGCATCACTGATGTTCGATCTAATTTGGGTATCCGGGAACAGAAAAATCAAAAAGTCAATCACCGAGGGTGCCATCTTGAGCCTTTGCAACAAATTGTCCAAATACACCATCGCTATTTTGCTCATCAAAAAAAGTCTCTTGATATCACTATCACTCATCTTGATATCTTGATATCTTGATATCCCTAAATGAATCAATCAACATTCAACCAGGTTTTCGCAAAGACCACTGTTCGACCTGGGAAAATCCACTGAGCTCCCAACTCCTTTCGATGACCTCCTCCAGGCCAGCGCCTCATGGGTGAAGTTCCCTATACTAATCAATCTTTAGCCGTTCACGAATCTGAAACCAAGTCACCAAGTCATTTTTAGGGAGTTGCCTGTACTAATCATTGACATATCTTTCATGGTGCCATAACAAACTGCAGTGATTTAAAAATAATAATAATAATAATAATAACAATAACACACTGAGGTCCTGGCACCATGGGCCCTCGGTGCATGACCTCCCACGGCCCGCAAATGGCTGGTCTTTTGCATGTCACTGATCTTGATATTGATATTATTGATGATGATGATGATGATGATAATGATGACGACGATGACGATGACGATGACGACGACGATGATTATTATTATTATTACTATTATAAATATATATATATATAATATATATATAAATATTAATATTGATATTGATATTAATATTGATATTAATCTGAATGTGAATCTGAATATTCCATGATTGCGTTCATTGCGATGATCGTGATGAGTATGGATCCTTCAAGCCAACGGTGGATCAATGCCGTGAATTGGCTAATGCGAATCACTGATCTGATGTTTGCCTTAACAAATGAATAGTTGAATAATGTTGAATAGTCCCCACCTTTTTGCGCTTTCTCGACAACAACCCCATTCTCGGACGGTTGGGTTGTCCGCAACCATCGTGGATATCTGGATATCCATTCACTACTGTTGATTCCCACCGTAGTAACTAGTGTACCCTCTGGCAATTGGATCAATTGGGAATTTCATCTTTTCACATCTTTTCAGGGAGAATTGTCCAGCCAGGTTTGAAGGCTACCCCATTGGCACCTTCGGGCACGCGCACCCGGGCAGCGAACGGAGGCCCGTGGTTCAGCATGGGCTCCAAAATTACGACATCGACGTGTCGACGTGTCCAAAAACGTGGCAGACTATCTTGCAGGTGAAGGGTACGGCGGGTACGGTATGACTCGGTATGACCCAAAAACGGACAAAAACCATGAGAGTTGGCCAAGAATATGTGGAATGATCTCAGACTTTGGCACTTTGGGCTACCCATGTGTCCATTACAAGTTCATTCTTGGCCCTTGGAGTCATCTGCTACATCCTGTTGCAGTAGCTCAAGGGCTTGTTCTGTGTTGGAAGATCCCATTCTTCTCAGTACCTCATGGAAGACAAAGGGATGCGATATATTGATATTGTTGATGGTGATCAGTCGACCTTGGTTGCAAATATCAGCTGGCTTCGAGCCAAGCACAAAAGTTGAATTCAAAGCTTGATGGATTGACGGAAAAAAATGGAAGAAGAATTAGATGCGATGCAACTTTGCAATATTTTTCCACTACAGATTTTGCACCATTCAGCTAATGCGACTGATGCTGCTTTAGTGGAGTCACGGGAAGGCAGTGCATTTTTGACTCTGAGCTTTCAACGAAGATTCACATCTGAGGCGTTTTGCGAAGGCATAACATCGTGATTCCCATGTAATGTTCGCATGGTGTTGCTCTTATGACTCAACTTATGACGCATCAAAACTCATCAAAAATCTTTCGCCCCTCCAAAGTGACACGTTTTGACCAGGCATCTGGTACAGTATCCCCCTGGTGAACTTCGCTGAGCAAAATCCGCCCAAAGTTGCGCTGGATGGGTGAACTCGCCGTGGTATGCCGTGGTGCACCACGGGGGTCCGAGTAAAAGAAATCGGATCGGCACACGGCGCTACCCCCTCAGTGGCACGGCACATCATTGGACCTTGTAATCAACTGGCCTGGCACCGACGGATTGCACCAAAATCGCAAAAGCTGTTCTCTGCATCTCTGAATCACGAGAATCAATGAGGATCAATGAGGATCAATGAGACTCTGCACCAAAAAATACCAAAAATGTGTGATGTGTGAACCAGGTTTTCGCCCGCACAAGAGAAGGACGCCTTTTGCTTGTCTTCCTTTTCCTTGGCTTTCTTGGCTTTCTCCTTTTCCTCAAAGGTACTTGATGTTGGAACTTGATGGAACTTGAACAACTGCAATGTGAAAACATGTGAAAACGAGCCATCTGAGGAATCTGTGAAAACGACCCAACAAACTGAGAAACCGCACGTCTTTCTTCACCAGAACTTCGGCCCTGGCCATGCATCATGCAACACTTCAGCAACGTCTTGGTGATGTCAGTTTTTGAGGCCTGTGCAGCCTGTGCAGCCTGTGCAGCCTGAAGACATGTTTTGGGTCATGTTTTGGGTCATTATAAAGGCGTTCACCAAGGCTTGCCCATTTGGTGAAGTCATACAGTACCGTTTTCAAAGCGTCCATTGATGACATCTCAGCATGGCAGGGTCGCTCGTTCGCATCGATATCTTTCTGGCCCTTCTTCACAAAGACCGCCACGTTGTTGACGTAGCGCGGACCGCGCTCCTGTGGTAAACATCGAATCCTATGCAGGGATGAAAAAGTGATCCCTTCCCTGCAAGATATCCCATTGGAACCCTGATTGACTGGTTGACTATTGGATGTCTTCATTCTGTGGCCCTTTTTTGGTTGCACTCATTTGATATTGGAAGGATGGGATTACACGCTCTGGTCATCCAGTTGAATGTCGATTGCTATTTGTTAAATTGCCGTCTTGGTGTGGTCAAATCATGAAAAATGGCATTCTCTGAAGTTTTAGGAAAAAAAAAACATCCAGTGATGAATGGCATCATTTTCCCCAGAAAGCCCCAATGTCTGACCCATGAGATCAACAGTGGCTGGCTCCCCTCCTGTGCTGCAAGTTCCTCGTCCATTCTCTGCCTGACGGCTGGGGATGGCCATTCTAAAATAAGAGAACATGGGGATAGCCTAGCCCAAAAATGACAAAATTCATAGGAAAATGATGAGAAACGTTGAAAATCCATGCAAATTTTGGATTCCAACCTTTGAGCTTGGGGATTTAAAGTGGAAGAATAAAGGTATGTTTCAAGCCGTAATTGCAAACCCTGTTGGGGATTGGTTCGGTGGCCATCCAAGTCCATCAAGGATCCACCTCACCAAGTGAACGTTGCAGCGCTTGTTGACGCTGTTCCTCTTGCGATGCTTCCTGAACCCAGGCATTTTCAACGGAACTCAGAGCTTGAAATTCGGTGAAATTCCCTGACATCCATATTGGAAAGAAAATGAATTTCAGTGAATTTTCCTCTGACATACTATAGAGAATTCTTCATTCACTCAGTGCACTCAGCGCAGCTAAGCACTCCGCTTCTTCGCATTCTCCCCCTCCATCGCCACTTCTACCATTCTTCGCGCCTGGGGATTTTTAAGGGCCCCTGAGCCCAATTAACAATCAAACTGGGTAGGCATTGCGAATTCCCTTTGGGGTGTCTGCCTGGGAACTGATTCGGATTATGACACTCTTCAATTTCAGAATTCCAAGGTTTATCATCTTCTCATGGTTCAAAAAAGAAACCATTGAATTTATTGAAAACAAGGGCATCCGCAAATTGAGGCCTCCATGAGCTCCAAGGTGCGTCGAGCCGTTTCCTTGCGATCGCGTTCCAAATCTTCGGCCTAGAGCGGGCACCGCTGGGGTAGTAACCATCAAAAAGATGGGAATTGGAAATGGGGATTCGATCATCAAACATTGGTATTTAATGATGGAAGTAGAGTTGCCTGAAAATTCGATATACACGCACATTAAAATTGCAATTTGTAAAATAGTATAAAATAATGCTGAGTAAACCATGGCATTTCAGGGTGGAATCATCCACAGCTGATTCCCAGTGAAAAGAGGTGGGTAGGGCTTCAGTGTTTCAGGGGAGGAATCCCACCAGGTGAAATCCATTACCGTATCACCGAAGACAGGAGGATTGGATTGTCCAAGATATACCCGGCCTCATCCCTTTTCATCGCAGGTTTGCGCTTCGGCGCGGCTTCTTTGGTTGCCTTGGGTACGGCGCTTTCGGCGGCCTGAAAGCAGCTGAAGGCTGAGGGACAAACCGCTCCAGCTTCGGCTGTGTCGGACTTTCGGGCACGCGCCTGCATAGCTTGAGGTTCATCTCCCAAAACCAGCCAAACATTCCAAAACCTATGCCCACAATGATGGGCCCCAATGAATTATACCAAGAAAAACATTGCACTCTGGTTGACAAGGCTTCCACCTTGTGAGTTTTTCGGCTCTTAACAGGGCCCATCTTTACACATTCCCACTATTTCCCAACTTTCAAGCCGCACCCGAGAGCCTGGATTCCGCGGACAATTCCCAAAAAACCACCAGCACCGTCGTCCGAGGAGTCGTCCTCTCAAAGGCATGGGCGAAGCGCAACGCAGGTTGTGGGTTTTTTTGGTCAAGTCATTGGGAAATTCCTAAAATTGGATGATACTTGAAGTAAATACTCAAAGTTGATATTCCTATATATTCCTGAAATGTCGTATCCCGAAATGGTCGTGGATACCCAGTACATTTGTGAAGAGAATCCAAAAAAGGTGAACCAGAAAGTAGTCGATGGTATGCTTTCACCACCAGTTATACATATGGGCCTTCCATACTTCCAAATATGGGATTTGGGGAGAAGGCTCCTCAAATGATAGCTAAATACTATTAAATACTAAGGATAATTCCGGACATGGATGGCAATTGCAGAGATTTCAACCTTTGGGTTTCACCGGTTTCACCGGTTTCCCCAAGTTGACATCGTGACATCGGGGGTCGTCCATGGTCGTCCTCATCGTCACTGTCTGGAACCACTGGACGTGCGACACCAGGTCGAGGCTTGGTGGTCGCTGGCGCCGTCTCGGGCACAATGTCCTCGCTGGAGCTCTCCTCTCCATCGGAAATATCGGAAGCCGAAGACGAATCCTCAGCAAGACGTCAAGACCCCGATGGAGAATGAAAATGGTAAATGGTTAGTTGGTTAGTTCAAGGGGATTCCCAGTTCATGTGAAAATCTTGGATGATATGGGGTCGTGCTCATATTCTCCATTGTTGGTCAATATTCAACACGCCTGAATTGGATCGAGTTAGGTCAATTGCCGTCCATTCTTGCAACACGCTTCTATGATATCTGTGCCAACATTCTGATCATTCTGAGTATTCCTCCAAAATCGCAACTCGGTCTGGCTCAGAAATCCATGGGTGATATTGAACTGGTGAACCTACACTTTTGGTCATTTCATGCTGTTTTTGCGGTATTCCGACTGCCATCTGTAAACCAATAAACTTGGGGATGAATCACGAATCTTTGAGCCACAAATCTCAATCGAACCAAGCCTCCTCCAACTCTTCGTTCTCTTCTTGCTCAGCATGCTCTGGGGAAGTCGGCTCAGGCTCTTTCTGCTGTTCCTCTGCCTGCATCCCCGCGGAATCCGCAGAAGTCGCAGTGGATGCCATTGCAGCGCCGTTACTCTCGGCTGGTGCAGTCGCTTCCCCCGGAGTCTGAAGAGCCTGCTCCCAGCTGAAAGATAAAATGGAGGACGCCAAGAAATCTATGAAAGTTATGTTGTCCCGTTCTATGTTATGTTTTGTTCTCTATTTAAGAAGCAACAAGAAGCAATGCGTGGTGTCTCAACCTCTGAATGCCAACAAACAACATGCAGCAAGCACAGCAATCCAATCACTCCGCCCAGCCTGTGAGGTGCTTCCAGATGCTTCCGCTCTCTTTCTTTGCAGCAGTCCCTTCAAACCTGTGAAGCTATGCGAAAGCTCTCGCGAGAAGAGAGATCAGGACAAATCAAAGCAAAGTGCAGGCTCTGTCCCAAAGCAATCCACCAAACTCAACAAAGGCAAGGTGCGGTCTTTCAGTTCCATCTTCTTTGCATCTAGCGATGCTGAAGTTCCATTGGCCTTCCCAAAAGCATGCGACCAGACGATTCAACGAGTCCTTTATCAATTTGGTTAATCATCTTGTTCGCAAAGGGACAAGGCTGAGGGGATCTTTTGCTTAAACGCGTTTTCAAAGAACACTGGAACACTCCAAAAGTTGAAGAAGAAAACACAAAACACTCAGAGTCAGCATGACAAAGCCAGCCCCCGTGAAACTGAATATGTGAAACCATGTCAAACCACCATTGCAATCATGGAATTCTGGCGTGCCCCCAGCGACAATCCGTCTTCAATGAACCTTTCTTCAGTGGTAAAGGATTCATTTGGCAGGTCTTTGATGGTGGAAGGGACCCCACGAGACTTGGGAACCCCATGATAGCGGGGCCTCAAAGGGTGCAGGATCTTGCTGGGCGACAGTTGGCTGGCTCTGCTCTACTGAAGCAAGTGGCTGCACCTCACATCACAGGCGGAGACAAAGTCTGTATCGTTGCCTAAGAGGAGCCTTTGACACTGCAAGTATCCAAAAGATTCCAAAGGTATCCCAGTCCCAACGTGTCCAAAGGCATTTTAAATTTAAATCGATCTTTGAGCCACAAATCTCAATCGAACCAAGCCTCCTCCAACTCTTCGTTCTCTTCTTGCTCAGCATGCTCTGGGGAAGTCGGCTCAGGCTCTTTCTGCTGTTCCTCTGCCTGCATCCCCGCGGAATCCGCAGAAGTCGCAGTGGATGCCATTGCAGCGCCGTTACTCTCGGCTGGTGCGGTCGCTTCCCCCGGAGTCTGAAGAGCCTGCTCCCAGCTGAAAGATAAAATGGAGGACGCCAAGAAATCTATGAAAGTTATGTTGTCCCGTTCTATGTTATGTTTTGTTCTCTATTTAAGAAGCAACAAGAAGCAATGCGTGGTGTCTCAACCTCTGAATGCCAACAAACAACATGCAGCAAGCACAGCAATCCAATCACTCCGCCCAGCCTGTGAGGTGCTTCCAGATGCTTCCGCTCTCTTTCTTTGCAGCAGTCCCTTCAAACCTGTGAAGCTATGCGAAAGCTCTCGCGAGAAGAGAGATCAGTACAAATCAAAGCAAAGTGCAGGCTCTGTCCCAAAGCAATCCACCAAACTCAACAAAGGCAAGGTGCGGTCTTTCAGTTCCATCTTCTTTGCATCTAGCGATGCTGAAGTTCCATTGGCCTTCCCAAAAGCATGCGACCAGACGATTCAACGAGTCCTTTATCAATTTGGTTAATCATCTTGTTCGCAAAGGGACAAGGCTGAGGGGATCTTTTGCTTCCTCGCGTTTTCAAAGAACACTGGAACACTCCAAAAGTTGAAGAAGAAAACACAAAACACTCAGAGTCAGCATGACAAAGCCAGCCCCCGTGAAACTGAATATGTGAAACCATGTGAAACCACCATTGCAATCATGGAATTCTGGCGTGCCCCCAGCGACAATCCGTCTTCAATGAAGCTTTCTTCAGTGGTAAAGGATTCATTTGGCAGGTCTTTGATGGTGGAAGGGACCCCACGAGACTTGGGAACCCCATGATAGCGGGGCCTCAAAGGGTGCAGGATCTTGCTGGGCGACAGTTGGCTGGCTCTGCTCTACTGAAGCAAGTGGCTGCACCTCACATCACAGGCGGAGACAAAGTCTGTATCGTTGCCTAAGAGGAGCCTTTGACACTGCAAGTATCCAAAAGATTCCAAAGGTATCCCAGTCCCAACGTGTCCAAAGACATTTCAAATTTAAATCGATCTTTGAGCCACAAATCTCAATCGAACCAAGCCTCCTCCAACTCTTCGTTCTCTTCTTGCTCAGCATGCTCTGGGGAAGTCGGCTCAGGCTCTTTCTGCTGTTCCTCTGCCTGCATCCCCGCGGAATCCGCAGAAGTCGCAGTGGATGCCATTGCAGCGCCGTTACTCTCGGCTGGTGCGGTCGCTTCCCCCGGAGTCTGAAGAGCCTGCTCCCAGCTGAAAGATAAAATGGAGGACGCCAAGAAATCTATGAAAGTTATGTTGTCCCGTTCTATGTTATGTTTTGTTCTCTATTTAAGAAGCAACAAGAAGCAATGCGTGGTGTCTCAACCTCTGAATGCCAACAAACAACATGCAGCAAGCACAGCAATCCAATCACTCCGCCCAGCCTGTGAGGTGCTTCCAGATGCTTCCGCTCTCTTTCTTTGCAGCAGTCCCTTCAAACCTGTGAAGCTATGCGAAAGCTCTCGCGAGAAGAGAGATCAGTACAAATCAAAGCAAAGTGCAGGCTCTGTCCCAAAGCAATCCACCAAACTCAACAAAGGCAAGGTGCGGTCTTTCAGTTCCATCTTCTTTGCATCTAGCGATGCTGAAGTTCCATTGGCCTTCCCAAAAGCATGCGACCAGACGATTCAACGAGTCCTTTATCAATTTGGTTAATCATCTTGTTCGCAAAGGGACAAGGCTGAGGGGATCTTTTGCTTAAACGCGTTTTCAAAGAACACTGGAACACTCCAAAAGTTGAAGAAGAAAACACAAAACACTCAGAGTCAGCATGACAAAGCCAGCCCCCGTGAAACTGAATATGTGAAACCATGTCAAACCACCATTGCAATCATGGAATTCTGGCGTGCCCCCAGCGACAATCCGTCTTCAATGAACCTTTCTTCAGTGGTAAAGGATTCATTTGGCAGGTCTTTGATGGTGGAAGGGACCCCACGAGACTTGGGAACCCCATGATAGCGGGGCCTCAAAGGGTGCAGGATCTTGCTGGGCGACAGTTGGCTGGCTCTGCTCTACTGAAGCAAGTGGCTGCACCTCACATCACAGGCGGAGACAAAGTCTGTATCGTTGCCTAAGAGGAGCCTTTGACACTGCAAGTATCCAAAAGATTCCAAAGGTATCCCAGTCCCAACGTGTCCAAAGGCATTTTAAATTTAAATCGATCTTTGAGCCACAAATCTCAATCGAACCAAGCCTCCTCCAACTCTTCGTTCTCTTCTTGCTCAGCATGCTCTGGGGAAGTCGGCTCAGGCTCTTTCTGCTGTTCCTCTGCCTGCATCCCCGCGGAATCCGCAGAAGTCGCAGTGGATGCCATTGCAGCGCCGTTACTCTCGGCTGGTGCGGTCGCTTCCCCCGGAGTCTGAAGAGCCTGCTCCCAGCTGAAAGATAAAAGACAACCAAACAACAACAAACAAAAAAAAGAAAAAAACACACGATAAAAGACACCTCAACTTCTTACTCCCAGAAATCTCTGAAAGTGTTGTTGTCCCCGTTCTATGTTATGTTTTGTTCTCATTTAAGAATGCAAAAGAAGGCAATGCGTGGTGTCTCAACCTCGTGAATGCCAACAAACACATGCCGCAAGCACAGCAATCCAATCACACTCCGCCCAGCCTGTAGGTGCTTCCAGATGCCTTCCCTCTCTCTCTTTTTTGCAGCAGTCCCTTCAACACCTGTTAAGCTGCGAAAGCTCTCCGCGAGAAGATAGATCATACAAAAATCAAAGCAAAGTGCAGGCTCTGTCCCAAAGCAATCCACCAAACTCAACAAAGGCAAGGTGCGGTCTTTCAGTTCCATCTTCTTTGCATCTAGCGATGCTGAAGTTCCATTGGCCTTCCCAAAAGCATGCGACCAGACGATTCAACGAGTCCTTTATCAATTTGGTTAATGTGAAACCATGTGAAACCACCATTGCAATCATGGAATTCTGGCGTGCCCCCAGCGACAATCCGTCTTCAATGAACCTTTCTTCAGTGGTAAAGGATTCATTTGGCAGGTCTTTGATGGTGGAAGGGACCCCACGAGACTTGGGAACCCCATGATAGCGGGGCCTCAAAGGGTGCAGGATCTTGCTGGGCGACAGTTGGCTGGCTCTGCTCTACTGAAGCAAGTGGCTGCACCTCACATCACAGGCGGAGACAAAGTCTGTATCGTTGCCTAAGAGGAGCCTTTGACACTGCAAGTATCCAAAAGATTCCAAAGGTATCCCAGTCCCAACGTGTCCAAAGACATTTTAAATTTAAATCGATCTTTGAGCCACAAATCTCAATCGAACCAAGCCTCCTCCAACTCTTCGTTCTCTTCTTGCTCAGCATGCTCTGGGGAAGTCGGCTCAGGCTCTTTCTGCTGTTCCTCTGCCTGCATCCCCGCGGAATCCGCAGAAGTCGCAGTGGATGCCATTGCAGCGCCGTTACTGTCGGCTGGTGCGGTCGCTTCCCCCGGAGTCTGAAGAGCCTGCTCCTCCCAGCTGGATCCGAGCGAAGATGTTGTTTCCGAAAATGTTGAGTGTATGCCCCCTGAGTCAGCTTCAGTTGGTCCGCAAACACCCACCAAAAAAAAATCGAAAAACCATCTTCCAAATCTTCCAGTGCCAGGTTTTTCCGATGGGTCCTCCTCAGCTTCGGTTCCAAGGTCTGCCTTTGCTTCTTCGGCAGCTTCCGTGAACCTGGAATCTCATGAATCCACCAAGATTCGAATCTCCTACCCTTCCAGATTTTGGTCATGTAAAGTCAAATACCCTCCGGCAGTCAGCCGGCTGCTGGAAAATACACCAAATGTATCCAAATGTCTAGAGTTCGATGATTTTTTCATATTTTCCCATGTCTGGACTCCCACGTATTGATGATTTCCCAGCCACGTTGGACCGACGCTGCCCACCTGGCTTTCACTGTCCATGCTGGCAGAGTCTTTTGGAGTCGATCCAAATGAGCCTGGAGGCAGTGCCATGCCCCAAAATGCCTGGCATTGATAGATATGACCTGGCAGAAATGATCCAAAATTGCTTCCCCCAGAAAATGTGGAATTATAGATATTTATAGATGTTATATATAGATATAGATATATATATATATATACGTATATATATATATATATATGCAGGTATTGACCCTGCGGAATGATTCTTGTTTTCTTGGTGCGACTTCAAAGTGTCACAGTTCTTGGGGCCTGTTTCTGCTCAATGGGCGCTACACACTCCTCCTGCACTGCGTGCTCTGGGGAGGCCTCTGGCGGAGGCTAGCTTGAGGGGAAGTTCATCCAGCTTTGGAATTTCCTCAAGATGGAGTACATATCAACATATCTCCACATTGTTTGTCATTTTGTGGAGTCAATAGCATTGAGCCACATCCCATTCGATGCTGCATGACCAGAATCACATGTGTGATTGCATGTGATTGCCAGCAGAATTATCTTGCCTCCCTCGCCAACTGCTCTTCCTTCTCCTTGTCTTCAGACAGAGTGTGGTCATCCTCTGCCTCAATCTGCCCGCCCCTAGGTGTACTCTGAAGCCTTTCCACGGTATTGGCTGTCCCTTCAAGCGAAGCGTGGTGAATAGACAATGACAACCACCCGACAGTTGTCAAATGGCGAATTGCCACGCAAGTGGAGGGGAAAAATCGCGGTAACAATGCCAAATCTCAAGGTTGACCCCATAGCTGCCATCAGAAACCCACCCGATGACAAGGGGCTGTAGCAGGTCTCCGTCCATGGTCTTGCAGGAAGCTTCGTAGACGTCTTCTTAAAGCCGAAACTTCCGGATCCTGGACTTCCCCCATGAAAATGAGCCTGAAACTACCAGATCTACCAGAATGCCACAAGGTAAATCGGCACAGGTGATTTTTGCGACAGAATTTGCAAAGGTTTCCAGTGCTCCTCATCGACAGCTTTGGGTGGCTGCGAAGCACCCGATTGAAGCTCTAAGCGTTTTCCTGAGATTAACCAGCTGTCTTGAATGAGACATCAAAATAGATCATGGAGGCTCCATTTACCAAACATTTCAGCATAAGCCTTGAAAGATGGACATGTTTCAACGGAGCCCTATGCGTAAGGGGATCAAACTTGGATCCACAGCCAAGTTGCTGGCCAAGAGCTCCAACAGCACGGAGCGACGAGTGGACATGTTGTTCAACTTCTCCAGTCCTTGACGAAGAGTAGGTTGAACGAGTTGAACGACAGAAATCTGGTAGGTCTTTCTTATCGAGGCCGACAAGGCAACAGAAAATGGATATTTTCAGGCAACTTCATCTGGGAGATCCCCGACAAATCACTGGAATAAGGATATATCTCGTTTTGCCCAGGATCGTTTCTTTTCCAACAATGCCAACCTCAGCAACGCGTGGCTCAGAGGTCTGATATATCGCTGCTGACGGGGACATCTGCGCCGGTGGCTGAGGTTGCAACAACTGTCGTTTCAGCTGCTCTTGATCCACGTCTTTTGCCTATCAGAAAGTGGGACTCAAAATCGTTGACTCAAAAAGATTGGGTGGTGTCAGGGTCCTATAGTTATATGATGTTATAATATGTTATATATTAAAACAGTGTCAAAACATTGTGAAACATTTATAGAAAACCAGCAATTGGTTTTCTCAAATTTCTGTCCCATTTCGGATATCCAAAACGCCAAGATCCGGCCTGGAGAATGCCCAGCTCCCGGTACTTCTCCGTCTGTTGCCTGGCCAGATGTCATTCCAACAGTCTCCACCCAAAAAATCCCGAGAACTCCAGTTTCCAAAAAAAAGAAAATGAGGATATTGATGTTTTGTAATATTCAAAAAGTTGATGATATTTGATATTACATGTTCCATCAGAACAGCAGGGCTGGTCCTAACCTCTACCCTTTGCTCTAGGTGACGCAAGCTGCCTCTTTGCCGTCAAGAACGCTTGCATCCTGGAGCGAAGTGCCTGTGGCGTCTTTGATCCGATGGCAGATGGACAAAATAGTCCAAACGTTTCAGTCAAGTGAAGGTTTTATGACAAACCTATCAACAAAAGGCACTGCGCAAGCAATTGTCAAAAACGAACTGCTTGCCTCTTCAGGACAGGCAAGTCTTCTCTCTCCATGTTCCTTTTGGATTGCAGAGGTTGCGTCCTCCCCCCGTTCACATTGTCCATGGTATTCTGTTGTGGCTGAATACCCAACCTCTTCTGCCAGCCCATCCTCTGCTTTCCTTTCAGCTGCTTCTTGTGCCAAGCGCTCTTCTTCTGCTGCTTTCCGTGCCTCCTCCTCTTTAGCTGCAGCCTCTCTGGCACGTTCCTCCTCTGCTTTCCTTTCAGCTGCTTCTTGTGCCAAGCGCTCTTCTTCTGCTGCTTTCCGTGCCTCCTCCTCTTTAGCTGCAGCCTCTCTGGCACGTTCCTCCTCTGCTTTCCTTTCAGCTGCTTCTTGTGCCAAGCGCTCTTCTGCTGCTTTCCGTGCCTCCTCCTCTTTAGCTGCAGCCTCTCTGGCACGTTCCTCCTCTGCTTTTCTTTTAGCTGCTTCTTGTGCCAAGCGCTCTTCCTCTGCTGCTTTCCGTGCCTCCTCCTCTTTAGCTGCAGCCTCTCTGGCACGTTCCTCCTGTGCTTTCCTTTCAGCTGCTTCTTGTGCCAAGCGCTCTTCCTCTGCTGCTTTCCGTGCCTCCTCCTCTTTAGCTGCAGCCTCTCTGGCACGTTCCTCCTCTGCTTTCCTTTCAGCTGCTTCTTGTGCCAAGCGCTCTTCTTCTGCTGCTTTCCGTGCCTCCTCCTCTTCTTTAGCTGCAGCCTCTCTGGCACGTTCCTCCTCTGCTTTCCTTTCAGCTGCTTCTTGTGCCAAGCGCTCTTCCTCTGCTGCTTTCCGTGCCTCCTCCTCTTTAGCTGCAGCCTCCCTGGCACGTTCCTCCTCTGCTTTCCTTTCAGCTGCTTCTTGTGCCAAGCGCTCTTCTTCTGCTGCTTTCCGTGCCTCCTCCTCTTTAGCTGCAGCCTCTCTGGCACGTTCCTCCTCTGCTTTCCTTTCAGCTGCTTCTTGTGCCAAGCGCTCTTCTTCTGCTGCTTTCCGTGCCTCCTCCTCTTTAGCTGCAGCCTCTCTGGCACGTTCCTCTTCTGCTTTCCTTTCAGCTGCTTCTTGTGCCAAATTCTGAGCTTCATCTTTCTCATTGTCTTCATTTTCTGCTGATGCGTTGCTGGGGCTTTCTCGAGCTGGTGTTGCAAGTGGGTTCTTTTCATGTTCCTCCGCAGAGCCTTCTTCTGCATTGGGGGTATGCTTTTCCTGAGCTGTTCCAATGGCATCTGCACCAACTATTTCAGCTGCAGCATCAACTTCTTCCTCAGCTTTGGTTGATGTGACTTGGTCTGGGGAATCCAATTGCTGCACTTCTGCTTCATCTTGATAATGATGTTTCTTGTCCTTCTTCGCGTGCTTAGCAGCCTTTCAATGTCGAACGATGATTTTTCCAGAAACTGCACCAGAAGGATGGCAATCAAATGCTGGATGTGGCATCCGGATCCTTCCACCATCAAGCATTGTTTTGGTCCCGCAAATTTGCAAAATTAGTACCTACTATTTTCATGATGACTTTTCTATTTTTAGGGCGGGCCTCCACACTCAAATAAAATCTTCATGCAGTTTGCCGTTTAAGTACCCTGACCAGCCTTGCGTTCATGAGCTGCTTCCACCTGTCGTTGCAGTTCCAGGCAGGCCGTTCTTTGCTCTTCTAAACGGGCCTGAAACGCCATGTGGCACGCCACCCATCCAAGCACAGTGAAGAGAAGGGTGGCAGTGTTTCTTGGTCCTAAGTCCTTGTCACATTGGTAGGGGAAACAGGAACATCAATAGGAATCATCAATTGGAACATCAATTGGAATCATTGTCCAGAGTAGGAAGCCCCAGGAAACCAGTCAGTAAAACCCCGTTCCAACAAACATCAACTGGATAGCAACTGGGGTAATATCCTAGAGCCTATATGCCAATTGTAGTGATAAGTATGAGCCATTTCCTCTCATCCTAATGTGATTCATACCCCCCATTCTACCATGGTTTCTAGAGGCAGAATCTAAGACTTTACACTCCTACATATAATCAAAAATGGCAATTGAAAATCCCCCATAAATGGAGGTTTATTGTTTACAGCTGGGAAAATCATCAATCATCTATAAATGATGGATTTTCCACCAACCCATGTTTCATTACCGCTGGGTAATTTGGAGCGCCCAAATAAGACACTGTTTCAAGCTGCCTCAGCTGCATGGCGGCGAGCTTCCTTTGCCTCTTCCTTGTCCTGGCCGAGATACGCCACGGAACGTTGTGCACCCTCTCATGATATCCCCCATCTGTAAATGATGTTCCTGCATTTTGGGATTTTCCAATGAATTTCCCACATATATATATATATATATATATATACATAGATAGTCATAGATATGTATATATACATACATATATATGTATGTATGTATGTATGTATGTATGTATGTAATGTAATGTAATGTAATGTAATGTAATGTAATGTATGTATGTATGTATGTATGTATGTATGTATGTATGTATGTATGTATGTATAGAGTAGTATGTATTTTCCATGGCCAAGTTGCAGTTTGATTCCCAAAAAGATACCAAAAAGTATTCTCCTGCTTCTCATTGCCATTTTCCTGTGATGTCGCCTTCTCCAACTTCTCCTCAACAGACTCAACTTCACCCGTGGCAACGGATCCCAAAGTATTCCAAAACCATCTGCGCATGGCGCCGGGAATTGGATTCCAAAGAACTCCTTGATAATTGGAAATAACATCGAATTATCATCTATAGTTATTTCAATTATTTCAATTCCAAACAATGATGCGATTCTCTGCTTTGCAAACATTTTTGCTCCTTCTGCTTTCTCGCTGACACCATGTAATCCTCCATCTGATCCGAATCCTGGCACTGCTGGCGCTGTGAAAAAAAAACGCCACGTAGTCACGGATGGGCCTGGCCTCATCGCTCTCACCATGAAACTTGACTTTTGCAAGCCTGGGACAGCAAAAAGCACTGAGCTGGGCAAAGTTTGCAGTAGTCACCTACTAAAATGAATTCATCTGCTCTGCGATGTCCTGGTTCTGAAGTGAATCATATTGGTTTTTGATCAGAAAATTCTTGGTCACTTCGCCACTTCAGAACACCACCTGAAAAGTTCCATAGCAAATCAAACAGCCATCTCTGAGTCGTTTTTGGTGATTGTTCCATTGATGTCCACAAACGTGCGCACTGCCAAGTCCCAGCCTGGATTTGGCGGTGGCGGCCACTTCTTCCCTCTTTCGTTTCGCCAGGGCCAGCAAGCGTTGTTTCTTCTCCTCAATACTGGCGGGAGTCGAGATGAGCAACATAGATGATAAATATATACAAATATGAGAAATGCGGGGCAATGATTTCGGTATGATTTGGAACTTTCACCAATGGAACATGGGGGACTTCACGAAGAAACCACATGTAGTGGTTGGGAGTCGAGGCGCCCATCTGGAGCCAGAATATACAGGAAAGTTAGACAAGAAAGGGGAAGAAGAACCAATGAAGAAACAATCATCTGGTTTGGGGCTAATCACAGATCCCAGAAGTATGAAAAAACACGATCATGATGATGATGATGATGATGATGCTGATGCTGATGCTGATGCTGATGGCGATGGCGATGGCAGAGATGAGCAATGTTCCAAAGTACCCTGTTTCTCTTTATCAGGGGATGCATCAATCAAAGACACCCCGCATCTGAACATGTTTCTAACCGAACCCAAAAAGAATTGCCCCAAAAATTGGATGGTCCAACACTCGAAAATAAGAAATTGTGTGTGTGTGTCCTAATACCTGCTACCGCATTTTCTCAACGCGATATTACTTTGTCAGGATCGATAGCCCTCCACGCAGCTCTCCGCAGGGGCCTCGTAGGTCTCGTTGGCAGGGACGCCTTCTTCAGTGTCAGATTTCGCCTTTTTGCGCCTCAATCAAGGTCGAAAACAAACGAAAACCAAATAAAAATTCACTCAGTGAATCCTATGGGAAAGAGTTTGGGTCAAATTATGTTTGGGATTGTTTGGGATTTTGGGGGTCCCATTTCTTGGATGATGTTCCACACTAAACATCAACTTGGTCGGTGATGGTTCGTTCCGATGCAATGGCTGAGCTTTTTTTGGGGAAACCCTCCAAATCCCACAAGGCCCGCAGTTGGTGTCAACCAGGTCTGAGAACATCACATTTGCTCTTCCCTCTGCTTCCTGTCAAGTCAGCAGACAGGGTGTGGCAAAACCAACTCCGAAGATCACAAGAAAATGATCCGCATGCCACTTGAAATAAGTTGATTCTCCTTCTGAGGTCATGATGAAGTGCAAGTTTTGAAACATCCGGATTTTCTGACACCTTCAAATCTCAACTTTTCTCCATGGCAAATCCATGTATCCCCATCTTATATCTCCATTGGTTTATCAACTGCTGGGAGTCCGCAGGAACGTTTCCCAACCTTTCCATCTCGATCTGCGCCCGTCTCTTGGCTGCTGCATCCTGCCGTGGGATGAGTATCTCCCAGGTACATCCGGTTAGAAGTTGGAGATGTTAGCATAACCCACTAGCAGCACTAGCAATATCCCAATCGTATTATTAAAGTGATACTGATTTTTAAGCCACCGAAGTATCAGTTCTGAAATTTCGATTTCGGCTCATCCAAGGAATATCCTGGATACATGCGGAAATACCTTGGGCATCCTTGGGTACAGCAACCTGCAGCAACCCATCTGCCTCGTGCTGGGGCCCTGGTACCGCTTCAGGCTGCTCGCCCTGCCTCGGAAGGTGGATCCCAGCGGAGCCCATCGCAGGTCGCGTCGCGTGGCGTCGCGTGGCGTCGCGTTGAGTGCCGGGCCGGTGCTTTTGAGCTTCCGCAACCTGCCAGGCTTGCGATTGCGGCAACCGCTTTTCGCCGTTTTTCAACATGTGGGTAGCTGTAGGAAAGGATCCCCCTAAAGAGTGTTTCTTGGTTCTATCAAGTTCTATCATTCATTTTTCCCCATCTTTGTGGTTGAAATTCCTCCAAGTCCCACCTCTGCACGCCAGGAGTAGCCTTGCTTTCGGGCCAGCAGACGTTCACGTCGTCTCACCTGCCCGAGATCTGAAGATCAGATTCTGCAGATGTTCCCAGCTAAATCATCAACAAATGGCACAAGTCCGCCCTTAGCGATATACCAAATCCCAGTGAGAGGCTTGTGTGTTTCATGATGAAAAGTGAAGGCCAATAGCAGGATGCATCCGGCCTCTTCCTCCTTTTTCTGCTCGCCCCTGATTCAGCATTGGGCACTCAAAAAGTGGGTGGTTCAATGCGAAGTGTGCGGCTTGAAGTTGGACAATCACACAGTTTGACCCATCCCCGTTTTGGCTTCTCACCTGGTTTTCAGTCTTGGACAGCTGACCCGGGTTGGTTGAGAGGGGTCCCCAAAATAGTGAGTTCGAATTGGTGAGTTCACAGAGACTTCGCGTTTTCTTTTACAAGCCAGTTCATCAAACCAACCAACAGTTCATTAATCTTCTCATAGGAAAGGCTTAGATTCCTCTGGTGGAATCAAGAAAAGAAATCTCCCAGACATTGAAAATTTCGGATTCGGCCTTGCTCGAGCTTGCTCCTTTCGAAGGAGCTCTTGATCTGGCGAGTCCAAGGGTGTGGGGTTGACCCATTAAAGGTATTAGAAACACCTGGAATTGAGGGGGTTGAATTCAGGTCTTTCTGCTGTGCTACAACTTCCAACCTCGAGTTGGAAAATGTCCGCTTCAGTATGGTAGATGCTCGGGGGATGGTGGTTGTACCATCAGAAAAACACCCCACGACTGGATGTCTCCACTGTTGCGCCACTCCGTGGATTCGCCGCTTCGGCGCTTGGACCCGGGCTTTTGCGCTCTTCTTCTTTCGCCTTCCAATCCGCCTCACCTTGCCTGACAGCAGGATAGCAACGGGCTGGAGTTGGTACACAGCCATGATGCGAACAGCCAAAGATGGGTACCCACATGGTTCACACTTGGGATGAATTCTGATATAACAGAATTATACCAATCCCAAATTTGTGTGGCAAATTGAAACTTTTCTGCATCATTTTAGGGGTACTCCACTATCCATGTATCCTATTTTGGCTAACCTTCCCCATCCCTCAACCAGCATAGACCACCCCCAAAAGTTCATGAATCTTTAGCCATTTGGGAATATAAAAATTCTAGAACTATCATCTAGAAATCAACTATACTCAACAATCCTCGTTAAATGATAAATCATCATTGATCATCATTAAAATAATCATTAAATCGTGATCAAAATAATCATCATTAAATCATCATTAAAATTGTTTTGGACTATACCCCGTTGCACGAATCCATCCGCCGCCTCTCAGATTCCAGACGCCATTGTCGTTGCTCCTCCAAGCGTTCCTGATGACGCCGTTGTTCCTCGGCCTTGCCCAGCTGGCTTCAGCGTGGCTAAAATGACTTAGATAGATGTATTATGATATTATCATGTATGTATATATATATATATGTCATTATATATAATTATATATCATTATATATCATTATATATCATTATATATATCATTATATATATCATTATATATATCATTATATATATCATTATATATATCATTATATATATCATTATATATATCATTATATATATCATTATATATATCATTATATATATCATTATATATATCATTATATATATCATTATATATATCATATTATATATCATTATATATATCATATTATATATCATTATATATATCATATTATATATCATTATATATATCATATTATATATCATTATATATCATTATATATCATTATATATCATTATATATCATTATATATCATTATATATCATTATATATCATTATATATCATTATATATCATTATATATCATTATATATCATTATATATAATTATATATCATTATATATCATTACATATCATTACATATCATTACATATCATTACATATCATTATATATCATTATATATCATTATATATCATTATATATCATTATATATCATTATATATCATTATATATCATTATATATCATTATATATCATTATATATCATTATATATCATTATATGTCATTATATGTCATTATATGTCATTATATGTCATTATATGTCATTATATGTCATTATATGTCATTATATATCATTATATATCATTATATATCATTATATATCATTATATATCATTATATATCATTATATATCATTATATATCATTATATATCATTATATATCATTATATATCATTATATATCATTATATATCATTATATATCATTATATATCATTGTATATCATTGTATATCATTATATATCATTATATATCATTATATATCATTATATATCATTATATATCATTATATATCATTATATATCATTATATATCATTATATATCATTATATATATATGTATGGTATGGTATGGGTATGGGTATGGGTATGGGTATGGGTATGGGTATGGGTATGGGTATGGGTATGGGTATGGGTATGGTATGGGTATGTATATGGGTATGGGTATGGGTATGGGTATGTGTATGTGTATGGGTATGTGTATGTGTATGTGTATGGTATGTGTATGTGTATGTGTATGTGTATGGGTATGTGTATGTGTATGGGTATGGGTATGGGTATGGTATGGGTATGGTATGAGTATGGGTATGGGTATGGGTATGTGTATGTGTATGTGTATGCGTATGTGTATCTGTATGTGTATGGTATGTGTATGGGTATGGGTATGTGTATGTGTATGGGTATGGATATGGTATGGTATGGTACGTATGGCATGGCATGGCATGGCATTGCATGGCATGGGATGGTATGGCATGGTGTGGTGTGGTGTGGTCTGGTATGGTATGGTATGGTATGGATGGATATATGGATGGATGGATATATGGATGGATGTATGGATGGTATGTAATGCAATGTAATGTAAATGTAAATGTAAATAAAATGTAAATGTAAATGTAAATGAAAAGTAATGTAATGTAATGTAAATGTAAATGAAAAGTAATGTAATGTAATGATATCATATACAATAGTTTGCTGCATATATTGTGGTATTTGGATATGTTATATACGTCCATACGTGAATGGTTATTCTAGATTGATACTTGGACATATGTGGATTTCTCTGGATGGTTGAATCACACCATGGCTGAACAGCATAGTCGTTCGGGTACCCTACAAATCCTATTCCAGGTTACAATAACCCCCAAGAAAAAGAACATATACATCACTTTCCACAAGGGTTTCGCCTGCCGCTCCGCTTCTTGCTTCGCCAGCAAGGCCTGTGGCTGGTAGAAGCTTCAACCTATCAAACTAGAGAAAATGTGGAGAATGCTAATCAATAAATATCATCATTGATCCCCTTGAAACTCAAGCTGAAGTGACTCCTCTTCTTAGGTTTCAAAACCCTTCTTGGATGAATCAATTTTCCCCTTGAGGCTTCGCAGGCCCTTCCACCTTCGCTTCGAGCTTCTCTCGCCGTTTTTCTTCGATGGCCAAACGGCGTTCTTCTTCCGCCCTGAGCGACCATGTCTGGGTTGTATCTGAGGGAAAAATCTACAGGATATCATGTTTTCTACCATGCAAATTTGTACTGTCCTCCATATTTTCCATGATGCCAAGTCTGGCAATCTAAGAAAGTTTCGTCATCCTGGCTTTCTGCACCAAACCAAGAAGATTTGAGCCACGTTAGTTGAGCTTCTCTTAGCAAAATTGACTGACAATATGCCTGGCCCGGCCGGTTCCTTCACATGGACCCATGTATACCTTGACGAAATTCCAGTTCAACTGCTTCAAACTGAACCTGACCCACATTCAAGGCTGGGACTTGCGTCGGGCTTCCTTCTCTTCCTTGGCTTTCCTGCTGGCCACAAACTCACTCAAATTGGTAAATTCCATTTACCAAGGGACCTAATCAAATTTGGATGTGCTTGAGTAAGCCAATCAAGATATCGTAGATATCGTGAGATAATGGATATTCACTCACACCCATCATGCAATCTTGGCAATCTTGGGATTTGATTCTTGATGAACATCTTTACCAGAATAAATATATTATTGCTTGCTGATCAATAATCATAGATATATATATATATATATATATTGGATGATATTGGTGATTCATGACATTTCATGACATTTCATGACCAATTCATGATTTTTGGGTTGAACTACTGTCCTTTTGAACCACATTTCCTGAGAAAAAACTGATGTTTGAAGCGTCCTTTGCTGCTCTTGCTGCTCTCGACGTCTCTGTTCCTGGCCGGGCCGGGACGCCGGACCGGACCGGCTGAGGTCATGGAAGGGGGTTCCAGCAAAAAACGAAGAAAAGGATGCAACAGGGAAGAAAATGTCGGAGAAATGTGGAGAAAAAGTTGGAAAAGTTGGATGACAAGAGCCTTCCATCTTGAAACTTCATTAGCAAATCTGAAGCGAAAAAGACTCAACTGGTCCTCTTCTTTTCGGCGCAACTCATCTTCCTGGCAGAAGTTCTGGGGAAATCACCTGTAAGTGGATGCAAATGGAGGATGATCCCATTTGAAACATGATGTTGGAACCCCAACAATAAAACTACCATTTGGGGATGGTTTTAGACCATCCATTTATGGTGTTTTTGGGATGGTTTATGGGTTTACCATGGTTTACCAAATGATTCGGCTTTCTTTACCTTATTTAGGAGGATTTTGCTCATCCTTCAAATGTGCATGGGCCGGCATGGGTCAAGTCAAGTCTTTGGGGTTCCCTGGACCTTGACTCTTGACGCATCCCCAAACATTTGGCAACTGACCCTTTTGTCGGTTCAACACCCCATGTGCCTTGATTCTACATGATGATATGTCCCATCTTTTGTTTCTTTTCTGAATTCATGGTCCCAAACCCAAACCCATCGAACGTCCGTGAAGCAGCCGGTCCTCGCCTTTCTTTGTTGCTCCTCCTCCTGCTGCTTCACCCGTTCCGCGTGTTCACGGCGGATGCCACGGGCATCGCGGCGGAAACGGTGCATGGTCTTGGTCTGCAGGTACTTGCCCAGTCTGGTGTGGAAGATCACGGATATCAGACCACTGGGATTCTCAACCAGGAATAATTGGGGTTAAACCAATGAAATGAAATGGGGATAGAACCGGATACTATTGTAATGGAATGTAATGGCCTGGGATATGCTGTATTCTAAATTATAACCACGTATCTGATGTGTGTAGCAAAATGTGTGTGTGTGTGTCCATATATGGTACTGTAAATGATGTTCAATATGTAGCAAATTTCAACCATGGGATTGGCATGGTTTTGCCACAAAAAAAACTGATCCAAATCCTTCTTGGGAGGTCAAGTCGTAGGGTTACCCAGAAATCTCTGGCCTCAAATCTTGCCATACAGAATGAGGGATACAACCAGCAAAAGCACAGGACAACAACATTGAAGTGGCAGGGATTAACAAAAAAACGGGGTTTGGTCAGCTGGGCCTGAGAAGTTGGTGTCTCTTCTCCTGTTCTTCCTTTTGCATTCGGAGTTCCTCCTTTTTCTCATGCGCTTCACCTTGCTCCTCCCAGATGGGGATCGTCTTCAATCAACAAAGTCGGGAAATCCCAGAATTGGCGTTGAAGGAACCCTCAATCTGTGGCTCATATAAACTCATAATATATAATACCATATGTTCCTAATGAAACTAAGCCAGTTGACATTAAACCCGAAGATTTGGCCCGTAAATCGATGGTTTCCAAGGTCCTCTTCCCCTTTACCTTCTGGTAATCAAACCTGACGGAAGTTTCCCTCATGATTTTCCCAGCTATTTAAAAAAAAAAACTCCATTTACTTCACAAATCTCCATGGAATTCCCAGCCGTGTTTGATGACAATGGGGGTAGTTACCCCAGGTGCGGCGTCCTCCGACCCACTGGAAGCTGTCGTCGTGTGAACTTCCGCCGGTGCGGAGCTCTGCGGGACTTCATTCTCCTGGGAGCGGCTGGGCATGGGGAAATCCACCCAGGGAGGGGACTCCAGCCAAAAATCAAGAGCATGAAAGCGATGATATTTTGGGGAAAAACATTCCTTTTTGGTTGGCTGAATAATATAAGCAAAATCTGGAACTTTACCACAAAACAGTGGTGTTAAACCAACCATATTGGGAATATCATGCACATATAATGAGGATACAACCAAGAATATGTTGTGAGTTTGTCTGAAAATCTATGTGTCAAGAAAATATGGATTAGACAATCATCCGTCCCATTATTTGATAACAAAATTTGAGGTAGATTAACCATGTTCGGACAACACACACAAACACAGTTTGAGAAACGATTCCATAGATCTGCTTATGCCTTCAGTTTTCTTGCCAAGAAGATTCATGTTGAGATTCAAATCATTCTCCACCTTTCAACCTGGTTTTTGGTGGGCTCAAACACCTCCACCGGTTCTTTGTCAATCGCACCTTGTCGAAGACCAGCACGCCATTCACGGAGGTGATCCAGGTCCATGGAATGTGCTGCACGATGCCAAAATCAAAAAGGACATCCACTCCCGACGCAAAACTCTCCTCGCTGCTTGATGACCAGGCAGCAGACCGTCCCATGTTAAGAAGATTTTGAGGCACAATCCGACATGTGATTCTTGGAAATTCCTGGAAAAGCTGCCGTAGGAAATTAGGTTGTCACGCTAATTGACTGCCGTCTCTTATTCATTTCAATCTAAATTTGGAGACCACAAATACCCCAATCGGGGTCTCCTGGCACTCTCCATCGAAGGGGCTGAAGCTTTGCTTGCCATCTGGAAGACGAAAATAAGCTTCCATCTTAATGCCTGCCTGCAAGCCAGTGGAACAATCCAACCCATTGAGTTGGTCATCTGAATCATCTGAATCATCTGAACTTCTGCAAGTCTACTGCAGGAACGTGATTCTTGGAAGCTGGTGTCTTCATCGATGTTCTGTCTAAAATTATGAAAATTATGGAAATTCCAAAATCAGCCCATGCCACTCTGTCAAGGCCCAATCCAAGCCTGCAAATCAGCCAATGGGCCAAATCCACAAAGTTTCCCCACTGCGGAGTTGGATTGCCTGGACACAGCGGAACGGCTGGTTTTTTCCCAGCAATGATAAGGTGGTCCTATAGATTTTCATCCAATGCTGGAGACCCCGCATGAAACTTGATTCTAAAATCTAGGTGAAACAGTTTATACAGAAAGTATGTTTATATGGTTATGGTAGTGAAAATCTATGATAAAGTATATGATTTATCATACTTTATCCCTATCATATACCAATGAGATGATGTTCCCATTCCTCCATTCAACAAGAGCAACCTATCAACCTCCCAACCATGGGGATATCATGAGGATCTCACCAACAATCATGGGATGTGGTTTTGTTCAAAATTAAACGCATGTGATGTTGTGAATTACTTTAATGGGGAAAATGATGAAAAATAAAAATTTTAAAAGATGGATGTCAAAAACCTAATGAAAAAATTGAATACTCTCGTTTGGATCGTACAACTCTGATGCGGGACGGCTTCTTGGAAATTGATATGGTTTTAAGTGGGTTATCGTTCGTGTCCGATGTTGGATTTAAGCAAAAAAAATACTTGAGGTTCAGAAATAGGTGCGGAACATTTGGAAATGCCATGGAAATAGTCAACATCTTTGGAAGAGTGGCGGCATTGGGGCATACTTATTTCAGAGTTGTGTGCTGCTGTTTATCTGTCTTGGCAAGGGTCTTGCACCCTTGCGTTGCACTTGGACTGTGGAAGATCCTTAGGGGCTGTGGATGGGCCATGGCTGCTGCGCGCTCATGGGGCGGGCGCATCTCACTGACAGTATATTTTTTGGATGCATTTGCTCTCCGGTGCTGTGGCCAAACTGTGGGAAACATCTCACGAGCAGGTTGGTTTTGCACTTTTTTGCACAAGCTCGAATGAAGGTGGAAAGCATCTCACAGGCACTTTGTTCTTGCACCGACCTGCTTGTGGAAATTACGGCGTAAAAAGCATCTCAGGATTACTCAATGTGTCTTTCACATCCGCGAATCACAGCCACGTTCTATGTGGAATGTCCAGTCACAACATTCATCTTGAAACCGGGCTCTGCTTTGCCTATAGCCCTAGAATTGGATTTTTGGTTATCGTTCGGTTATCGTTCAGGTTATCGTTCGGGGCCACGGCCAAGAAACAAAAAGTGCACGTGCTAACGTATTAAAGAAAAACATTTCCTTGCTGTGTATGGCTGGCTCCACACGACTACAGGCTAGCCAGGAATGATTTCCACAATGGCGGTTTTGCTGAGAGCATCCACGTCATACAGAACACTATGCAAAATGTCCATCATGACAGCACTGGATGGAGAGATTTTGGTTATCGGTCTTTGCGAAGGGTCAGCTAAATAGTATAAGCAAGGATATCTTAAGTAAAAGGTGTTGGTTATCGGTCTATGTGCGGGAGTCAATAAAAACGATAGCTAATTCGAAGGTTTCTACTATCGTTCACTGCGCAGGGCCAATCAAAATTGAAAAAGCAAGCACTTCAACAGCCGCAGTTAGGTGCAGGACGGCTTCTTGAGACGAATATAATATATACTAAAAAAGTGGTGGGATAATGTCTCAAAACCCTGCAAAAACGCAAATCCGGGTTTTTGACGGAACTCTTAAAAGATGTTGGAGTTTTCCCCCGATTCTTCAAACTAAACCACATCCCAAGCCCACAAAGGGCCCCCAAGTTGTGGCCATCACTATGCAGAATGATGATCAACAGATCACTTAGAGATCCTAATGATCGTTAGCGATCACCAGAACTTGGCAAATCAATGCAAATCATATGCCCCCAAAAAAAAGTCAAATTATAGTCATTCCTGAGTCATTCCTTAGTCGTTCTAGATCAAATCTGGGATATTCTGGGATTCAACCGTTGCCTCGAGTCCGCCATCCCATCCTGATCCGACCGCTCTGACCGCTCTGACCGCTCTGACCTGCGAAATTTTCAAAGTTCCGCGGTCCACGGAATGGTGGATTTCTGGATGGATTTCTTGTCATTTATTCCACTTGGTAATTTAACATAGCTATTGAAAATGGCCCATTTATAGTGAGTTTTCCCATTAAAAATGGTGATTTACCATAGCTATGTTAGTTTACCAGAGGGTATTCCACTTGGTAAGTTGTTGACTGGGATAAAATGCCATAAATTGCTAATCTATTCAACTAATGATGAGTAAGTGGTAAATAATGATTCCCCTAAGTCGGACTTTCGCATGCAAAAATGGGTCAAAAAAGTTATAAGCATGGTAGCAAACCAGTTCCTAAGTGGAATGTTCCTCCAAGTACTGTATGAGGTAAAAATGTGCTGCCACTAGACCCACAAATATCAGGTAATGTTTAGCATCAAATCATGAAATTGTTTAATTGTCAATCATTTTGAGCCATATCCACATGGACATGGAGTCTTAAACCCTCCAATTTGAACTTTGGGGGTCAAGAATTGTCCGCCCCTGTACTATACCCAGACATTCAAGCCTTGCATCAGTTACATCTTCTCCATCTTCTCCGTCTTCTCCGTCTTCGCTCTCCGAGTTGTCCGTTTCTTCAGACACTTCTGCTCTTTCATCTTGGACTTCTTCCACCTCATCAGCATCTTCATCCTGCTCATCCTGCTCATCCTGTTCATCCTGTTCGTTCTGTTCGTTCTGTTCGTCTTGTTCCTCCTGTTCCTCCTGTCCCTCCTGTTCGTCCTGTTCGTCCTGTGCATCCTGTTCATTTTGCTGCATTGCTTCCTCTCCGCCTTCATCCCTACCCGTTGCCTCATCTTCTGATGCATCACAAACCTCTTGGGTTTCTTCCTCCTCTCCTCTGTCATGCTGAAACTCTTGGGACGCTTCACTTTCCTCTTCTGACTCCTCCTCCGCATCCTCTTCAGAATCGCCCAGGATGATGGTGTCGGTGTCGGTCTTGCTGTCACCGTTGGTTTCTCCGTTCACAGACTGCTCAAAGCAGCCCTCTCGATGTTGCCTCCAATCCTGCAGCAAAATTCAGGTCCCCACCAACCAAAAATGACATGTTGGCAAGTTAGAGCATGCCTGGGTATAGACCGGCATGAACCAACTGGATCACAACACCCCACTGTACCAAACATGATCAAACATGTCCAGCCCGATCCTTCCGTTGGCAATCTTCAGAACAATAGAAGCAAGAATTGCATCGGCTGCACACATAGTCCACATCCTGCCGGGTGGGCAAGCACATTAGGTGTGCGCAATTGAGCCAACCCACGTGAGCAATTCAACCAACCCATCAATCAAGACCTCGATGGTGCCGCAATATGCGCATTGAAGAGCCTTCAGAGAACCGAAGCTGATCACATCGAATCAAATTTCAAATCATTTTGGCTACTAAGTGCCACACGTCCATCGCACACCGGTTTCGTCAGCCTTCAAAATCTACGTGGTGATATTTCGTATTGAAATAATTCTTGTCAAAACTGTGTGGGTGTGTGTGTGTGGGTGTGTGTGTGTGTTTGATTGCTTCAAATAGCCAAGTTTCAACTGGATCATAAGTACTTATAGAAAAGTTCCAAGCAGCAAAAGAATTGAAAATGGAGATTCAAACGCTGAATGGCTGAAAAGTTCGTTTAAAACATCCGTGTTCCAAGTTCGCCGGAGCTAGAGCCAAGAAAATGTGATTCAAAGGCGGCAGAACTTCCAGTTGCATATCACATTTGGGTGCCGGAGAATGCTTCAATTTTATTCCCTCTTCCCAAAAAACGCAAAACATTCCAAGAATTGTTGTGCTTTCTTCCAGTCATGTTTCAGCACACAGGCATGGCAAGCTTTTGTAGGGAACATGTCAGTATCTCTACAGATCGCACGTTTCAAGCATTGTTGCTGGTAAATCCATGATCCACGTGGCCTGATAAAATGTCAACAGCCGAAGCACAGATTGTGCAACATGTTCCAAATGGGAGCTCCCTCGTGAATGTTTGTTCAAAAAAAGAAACATGTCTTTAAAATATCCATACAGCAAATGTCACGTTCATAATTCTATAAGGAACTCTTTTCAGTACATAATAATCTATATATATATATTATGTATATATATAATTACATATTTACAAAGTTCACCATCAGTTTCGATCCACCCGCCACCCAACGACGCCCCTCTTTCGCACATCTCCAAGGGCCGTCGTTGATCTCAATTCATTCGCCTCAAGAGGTCGTTGATCAGCTCCTGCGCGAAAAAATGGCCGGTCACATTAAACAGATGTAGCAATCAGCACAAAGAAATGGAAAAGTAACTTTAGTAAGTGGTTAATAATGTTGGTAATGATGTACTTTTCTATCTTGGGGGTCTACTATAGATGAAAATAAATGATGATCTGACATGATCCTGTGATGATCTGAAGGTAATCAATGCAGATGTTGACAAGAGAAAATACGATGAGTCCTCGCGATTGCCCCAATCACCACCACGGGCTTCGCAGAAGCCGTGGCCTAGAGAAGTCGCATGGTGGTTCTGGAGCCATCACAGCTTGAGACCGTCTGAGCCCGGGACGCTTGTTGATGAAGCCGCCCTTGGGGGAGGAGAGCTTGAAGGGCCACAAGAAGTTGGAGACCTTCCCACAGCAACACCCTGGTCATGCTTTCCCAGAATAGAAAAGAGGTGCGGAAAAGAGATGCATCCAACACCCTGACCTGCTTGAAGTTTGGGCCGACGGTGTAGATCTCGTGGATGATGTCCTCCACTCCGTGGATGCCGTGCCTTGTTTGCAACCACTTGCGGCAGCAATGGGACACTCATCTTGCAGATCTTGCAGAGATTTGAAATGAAGAAAGGAAATCTGAACACATGAGCCGGAGAGGAAACTTGTCGAATAGGTGCTGGCCATGCGACTTGCCCAGGCTCTCAGAGATGATGTCGTTGGAGCTCAGAGGGATGCGCTGCTTGCTGACCTTCACTTACAAATGGACTGCGTGTCATCATGCACTGCACCAGAAGACTCTGGCTGTCTAACTTTCTCTGACTTTCTGAGTTGCAGACCTTGCCGAAGCCGCGCTTGTAGATCAGCTCCCTCACGGTCTTCAGGGAAGGGAAGCCGTAGGTCACGTAAGGCTGCACCAGCTTCAGCATGTTCAGAATTGGCTTGTTCACCTGTGGCCGAACACAGGAACTCTTTACTTCTACTAAGCTTCCCTGCAGTAGCCTGCCTTGAGGAACACTCCGTTGTGCAGCTGCTTCAAACGCAAAAGCTGAAGCACCTTCCTGGGCAAAACAAGGATTTCCAAGTGGCTCCTGACATTAATCAGAATCTATGAATCAACTGTCCTATTTTTTTGGTGTCGAGTGAATAACATTAAACATCATTGAACTCATCCTATTTTGAGCCACCCCCAAATCCACTCAGCTGCCAACCTGGGTTTGGGGCTCATCTTGATGATTCCGGCAATGCGAACCACAAAGAGGAGCTTCGCCTGCCCCGAAAAAGCACCGACGACCAGCCACAGTGAAAGCTGCACCTGCATACCTTTGTTCCGTTGCTATACTTGCATCCCATCGTTCAGGTTCCCTTGGTGGTTGGTTTTGTCCCGGTTTTGCAAGCATTGTAGACCAACCACGAACCGGCAGCTTTTTTTGGCTTCTAGGATTAAACATGTTGGTGCATGCGTTCTGGTTCATATCCCATTTCAGGTGAATACACCCTAATCTTGTTGGCAAAACCCATCGGTCCTGTTGTAAATCCCGGGGATACGAATTCTTGTTGGCCACCATCGGCGAATTTAAGCTCCCCTTTTTGGCTTGATATCCCCCATATTGCTGAGATCATCCCAATTTTCCCAACAAACATGGGGAGTTGAATCCTTACGATCCCTACCAACCACCAAACACCACAAGAAGAACTGGATGCCAACACCCCAACCCCTCAACCCCTCCTCTGGCTCCACAAAGAAGTTCCCATTCAGCTTCGCTTCGCGGCGCAGCTTCACCAATTCCGCCGCAGTGTCGGCGTATTCCTCTCCGTTGGGAACGATCCCAGCAACCATGAGCTGAAAGCCAAAAAAGATATGGTCAGAGTCCTATTTGATGGTAAGAGTACATAAGTGAGCCCAATTTGACCACATAGATCGCCACTCTTGGGAGCGTGATCCGGGCTTTTCTGCACTTTTGCCACTGGCATCTTCATTCTTCGATATCTCTTAGATCATATCATCAAATACCTCTCATATATATATATAGACTATAGATCCTTATCCCTTCATAGATCCGATCTCATACTATTCACCAGGGTTTTCCCCCATTGGGGGGCGCTGGGGGACTGGCGAATCTTCGGAAATCCTTGGTTTGGCGTCCTTCTCATAGGCTGCCGTGCGCTCTTTCAGCTTGGCGCGCTCTTCCTGGACGTGGTTCACTTGGTTCACTTGGTTCACTTGGCCAACTGGGGATTTTTGATGGTGGTTGTTAGTTCAATATGGGTATTGATCAATACCTATTAATACCATTTTTATTGGGATGAACATCCATTTACCAGCTATTTTGATGTTCACCAGGGGTACAAGGTTTTGACACACTGCCATATTAGTGATAGAGTGGGATATTACTTCAATGAATTAAAATGGATCACTACAATGGTTTGAGATTCTCATTGATGATTCATTGGGAATTGAACTAAGCGCAACAATGATAGAATGGGATATTACTTCAATGGATGTCAGTGGGCGATACACAAAAACGACGGGATCGAATGATGGTCCCAAAAAAATGGGTAATCCGCAGACCGGCACCCATACAAGCCCCAAACCCATATCTAAAACCTCCAAAATTAAGAAAAGGGATTAATTATCTATTGGCCAAACAGGCCCGCCAAATGTTGATAAATTTGGAGATGATTAATGGATGATTAATGCAATTAATATATGATTGACAAGGTAGGAAAATCATCAATGGGACAATTTCACTATATATCATGCCTGTCGTTCATACACCCAATTTGTAGCTCCTTGGTTTCCCATTTACGGATACCAATCGCTCGCAACCGCTGGCTCCATTCACAACTGTATAGTTGACTAAACCATCCCCCATCAAAACAACAAATATCCCCGTGACGTCCTATCGATAGATTATCAAACAGTCCTCCATGATAGTGAATTATAGTCAAATTATACACCATGTATTTTTTAAAAACATAATATATATAAAGAATATAGATATCCCCATGATATCCTATAAATAGATGTTTAAACAGCCATAAATATCCACCCAGAGCCTTTATCGACGGACGTTGCGCCTCTCGGGTCTTCTGTTTGGCCTCCAGAGCTGCCTTCTTTTCCTGGAGTGGATCATGGATCATCAATGGATGGTCAATGGATTATTAATGGGTTCTTAATGGGTTCTTAATGGGATCTTAATGGGATCTTAATCGGTGACTAATGGGTTATTAATGGGTTATTAATGGGTTATTTAATTATAGTGACAAATCGTAGAACTTAGGAAAAAAATATGATCCTCACAAAGTATTACAGAATATGATAAATATGATTAAAACATATTAAAACATATTAAAACATATTAAAACATATTAAAACATATGATAAAATCGTATAAAATATGTGTTTTTTCTGTACCCACAGCAGTGTTCACCTGGTGGCCCCGTCCCGCATGAACTTCAATCTGGAACAACTCTGTTCGACATATTGGATGATTGGGCTATTAATGGATTATTACTGGATTTTTCTGGGTTCTTAATGGACTATTCAGAAGGATTAATGGTTTATTGGATGATATTGGATGCTAAACTCATCCCCAGTTCATCTCTCCATAAGGATCTCAAGATCTCCAATTCTGCCTGGGCCAACTTCGCATCTCGCTCGTTCTTCAGCTTCACGAGCTCCGGGATGGCAGCTCCCTCGATTGCCAGCTCCTCGGACGAGGACACCGTGCAAGAGACAAGACAGTGAAGCAACAAACTTGCAGATTGCTGTATAGTTAATGCATATGTGTATAGAATATAATGTGTATATATATAATACAATGTATGTATGTATGTATGTATGTATGCATGCATGTATGTATGTATGTATGTGTATGTGTATGTGTATGTGTATGTATATGTATATGTATATGTATATATATATATATTATAGCTAGATATGGATGTGCATGCGTACAGAAAAACAATTTAAAAAAAAAAAAAAACACTCGCTCAAAATGCCCAGATGGCCTTGGAGATTGCGTACCGCTCAGCCATCTTTGCTACAAAGGCCACACGCTCGAGCCACGCAGTGACTGACACAGGAGACTTGCAGAACATGTCAAAAGTTCCCCGAAGTCTTGGCATCTCTCCTTCTCCAAATTTTCTACTTTGATGAGACAGGATTTAGCTACCTCGTCCATTTTCTCAGGACAGCTATGCCTGAATTCCTCAGTTGCTCCCCCAGCTGGAAAAATTGGCGACCATGGGCCCATCGCAGCCCAACCCACCAAAACTCAGCTCCCATTTTTCTCTGGCCCGCCACTGTCACTGCTGTCGCTGCTTAGTTCATTCGCCTCAGGAGGTCGTTGATCAACTCCTCAGCTTGGATCAGCCACAGGCCGACCCTGCAGCTGGGGGATGGGGAAACTACGGGGAAATTCGGTGTGAAACCGGCCAATGGGTCACTGTTGCCCCAAAAGTTGTGGCGTGGGATAGTAGCTGACGGTAGTTTCTTGTGATCGAAAAGGGACCAACAGTGACCATGACCTCGGCAGAACCTATTGAAGCAGAACCTGAAAAACCACCCACTGACAATCTGATGGTTGATCGTCATTGTCCCATTAAAATGTCCAAACTATTTTGGACCAACCTAAATCTAATATTGTTGGCTGTAGCTCTGAGTAATATCCAGTAAAATCCATTATGTAATTGTATCATATTGTATTCCACATCCCATACATCACTGAATTATGGTTTGTTTAATGGTGTGGTCCCCATATTCCTAGGCAAACCTCCCAATTATCCCAATCTATATCTCCATGATATCCCCATTCATATTTGCATTATCCATAAGGCTCACTATGTCTCCATTCTATTCCCATTACATCCCCATGATATTCTGATAACTGCTGGTGATATGAGCCATTGAATTTCCACGTCCATCCTGAAAATCTTCTGCAGCATTTCCCGTCCTCGCGGTTGCCCCAATCTCCTCCGCGAGCCTCGCAGAAGCCATGGCCTCGCGAAGAGATGCAAAACCCATTGGAGGCACCAGACATGATATGGACCCTTTTAAAACAGGAAAATATGGAAAATTGATGAATAATGATGGAAAAAAATGGAAGAAATGATGAAACATGAGCATAAATGGTGATCTAATGAGAATGTTGTAGCCAACAATATGATGAGGGATTCTTTCAAAATGTGCAGGGTACTCGGTACCCCGATTTGTTGCCATCTTGATGGGGACAATGATGATAAACCGTTGGTTTTGGGCTTCCGAAATTTTGAGAAAACCTCAAATGGGAAGTGACACTGGCGCCAAAATGCTTGGAGCTGGCTTGCACACCTTTTGTGGACTGATAGTCTAGTCGGTCATTCTCAGCCCGGGACGCTTGTTGATGAAGCCGCCCTTGGGGGAGGAGAGCTTGAAGGGCCACAAGAAGTTGGAGACCTTCCCACAGCAACACCCTGGTCATGCTTTCCCAGAATAGAAAAGAGGTGCGGAAAAGAGATGCATCCAACACCCTGACCTGCTTGAAGTTTGGGCCGACGGTGTAGATCTCGTGGATGATGTCCTCCACTCCGTGGATGCCGTGCCTTGTTTGCAACCACTTGCGGCAGCAATGGGACACTCATCTTGCAGATCTTGCAGAGATTTGAAATGAAGAAAGGAAATCTGAACACATGAGCCGGAGTGAAAACTTGTCGAATAAGTGTTGGCCATGCGACTTGCCCAGGCTCTCAGAGATGATGTCGTTGGAGCTCAGAGGGATGCGCTGCTTGCTGACCTTCGCTTGCAAATGGACAGCGTGTCATCATGCACTGCACCAGAAGACTCTGGCTCTCTAACTTTCTCTGACATTCTCTGACATTCTCTGACTTTCTGAGTTGATGACCTTGCCGAAGCCGCGCTTGTAGATCAGCTCCCTCACGGTCTTCAGGGAAGGGAAGCCGTAGGTCACGTAAGGCTGCACCAGCTTCAGCATGTTCAGGATTGGTTTGTTCACCTCAAGAGTTCACAGAGCCTCTGAGCATTTTCTTGGTCCAGAAAGTCAGAGTGATTAAGTGACTTGAAGATACATCCTGGGTGCCCCGACCTTCAAAAACACGCCGTTGTGAAGCTGCTTCAAGCGCAAGAGCTGCAAAACTTTCCTACGTTCGGCTGGACGTCAGATCTACTGTTGGGGTGTGCTAACCGCCAATCGGGTCATTTGGGGTTTGCCCACGGGTATCTCCCGGACATATGTACTGCAAAATTTTGCAAAGTGTAATTCTAATTGGGAAAATTATTAAAATGATGGATGAACTAGTGGATTTTGGGGTATCCTATTTCTTGGACAAATCCGTTCTAGTTTCATCCGATCATATATTCAATGGTCCGGGGGCTACATTTTTGTGCAGTCGCCACGTCCAGCGACCGGTCCTGGGCTTTGGGCTCATCTTGATGATACCAGCAATGCGCACCACAAAAAGCAGCTTGGCCTGGCTGTTCCAGGGATTCCCATCGATTCTTGGATCGCTATGATCGAGGTGGATGGTCGGATGGCATGCTCCCCATTATGAATGGATGATAATATTGATAATACATTCTATGAATCATCCCGAAAAAGGTGAAGGTTCTATAAAGTTCTCTGGTTTTCCCCACCATTCCTGAAGAGGGACCCACTGCAGCAGTCAGTGCTACTCGACTCGCCTCCGGCTCCACGAAGAAGTTCCCGTTCAGCTTGGCTTCTCTTCTAAGCTTCACCAGCTCGGCGGCGGTGTCTGCATACTCCTCACAGTTCTGCAAGACATTGGAGAAAGCAATTCGAATTTTATCACATTGTCTAATGTGTTATAATATATATATACATGCCTACATCACATACAACATGTCTATACATATCTATGTACAGTCGTATATGAATACGTGTGTGTGTGTGTCACTATAGATAGGATAGGATAGGATAGGATAGGATAGGATAGATAGATATCATTCTCAACGTCAACCTGTTTCTTTTAGCAATCAGTAACCCCTATTGGATCTCCTTTTTCCTAGCCCTAGCCATTTTTCCGTGTTAGTCACCTCTGATTGGCTCGGTCCTTCTCATAGGCCGCCGTCCTTTCCTTCAGCTTGGCTCGCTCTTCCTGTTAATGAGTGCCATCGACCCAACAAAAAAAAAAACGAGTCTTCCACAATGAAATTTTTAAGATGCTGTTTTTCTAGATATTTCTAGATATCTGATGAGATTTTATGATTTTTATGGAGTCTTCTGGGACGGATGAAAACAGGATGAAAACAGTCCCCTCCTGTCCCGTGGACTCCCGTGGACTCCAGTGGACTCCAGTGGACTGTTCAAACCACCATGGCGCCTCTCGGGTCTTCTGCTTTGCTTCCAGAGCCTGCTTCTTCTCCTGTGCAGTTTTCCCATCTTCAAATCTTCGTTTGGCCAAAGGTCTCAAGTCGTTGAATGCTCATCTACCCAACAGAGGCATTCGATATATATAATTATATATATATATTATATAAATTATAATATCATGATCCATTCATCCAGTGCCCAAGTTGTGGTGGAATTCTCCAGTCCTGTGCCAGCTTGGCATCTCGCTCGTTCTTCAGCTTCACGAGTTCCGGTACCGCAGCGCCCTCAATGGCCAGCTCCTCGGGTTCACACTATTTGGGATGATTTTTTTGGGGGGGACCCCCCCCCTATTTGATAATATTAGGCCATGAAACCATGGACTGGGTTTTGGGTCACCCAGCTGTGGTCCTATCCTACCAAATTAGTCGGAATGATGCAGGACTGTTTCAGAGCATTGCACTCTCAGGCAGAGGAATGGGCCAGAAAGCTGGAAATGGTCAGGATCTTCACTGCCTCTTCACTCGGACACATCAAAGCACAGCAGAACTGGGTCCTTCGAGATGGCGTAACGCTCAGCCATGGTGGCAATCTATGTGTAGCGACTAGGCCAGTGCCTTTCCCTCATTGAGCCGCGGTACAACATGCAAATGCCCCACTTCATACCACCTCACCAAAGGATCAACCATGAAAAACATGTGTACACTCAACTTGCAGCGGCAGCCTTTCTTGCTCTCCAGCTGTCAGAGTTACAGAGTTCTGTCAGCTGTTCCATATTCGCGAACTGGAATCTTTCAGTTGAACATACACAAACTTACTTGGATACATCTGCAGCCAGAACCGAGCAAGACTAACAGTGACTAACAGCTGATGCAGCTCTGCAAGAGCAAGGCTAACAGCACCTTGCCACGTTCCGAAATTGCGAGACTTTCAGGCGGAGATGCGCCAGAAGCGGCACAGTTTTTGCCACATCTTTCCACGGAACGTCGCCTTCCTGCCAATGGGCTCAGCAGAGCCTCCGGGGCGCGCGAAACCCATTTTTTTGCTGCCAATTTTGGGGGCGGATTCCAAGTGAAAAAAAAACTGCAAAACAAGTGTCACAAGTCACAAGTGTCCCAAGTTCCAACATGTTTCAACCACCAGCCTACCTGCAAGCTCCAAAATCGGGCCTCATCGAGGAACTTGGCCAAAGGTTGGTGCCCTCAGCTGGACGGCTTCAGGATTCGGATTCTAGCCATCTGCAGCGCATCAATCTCCAAGCGGCAAAACAAAACATGGGAAAATGAAATAAAAACAATAGTAACAATGATGATAACGAAGATTAACAATGACAATTCATAACGATGTGAAAAAATGGCGATTGCCAGCTGGTACAAATTATTGATCAACCAGTTGGAAAACGTCCAGCCGCCCAGCCCTTTGGTAAAAATACCCTCTGGTACTGAAGCGTGGCAATGGTAAATCCCCAATTTTTATGGAGCTTTGAATGGGAAAATATATGAAATTGGCAATAAATCAATCCAGAAATGGTGGAATTTCCCTTGCCATGTTGACTACGGGACAGTCGCATGAAAGTCACCATCCCATGGACCATGGTGACCATCTGAGCCGCCCGGCTGACCGGGAGCCGCAAAGCCAGAGCGAGCCCCAATGGCCCTGGAGCAACAGTAGAAGATTGTCTAAAATGATCTACGCATCCTGAATGGGTACTTAATAATGATCCAGCTGTTATTCATTTTAGAAGATGAAATACAAATGGCATATTTACCATTCTGAAGATGGTGGGGTATCAATTTTTTATCTATTGAAAAAAAACTGAAAATGCCCGTTGTCGTAGATGATATCCTGAAGTAGATTCAATGTGAAAATAGATAAATCGCCGAGATGAAAAGTCGGCTTTATTGTTTAACTAGCGTTCGGATATTTTATCTGACCTATCTAAGTTCGGATGGCTAAAAATGATATGTAGGATGTGTCAACGGATGGCCCATGTGTCAACGAAATTCGTGACATGGACTCCGTTTGCGTGTCGGATCCTGGGGGATGAACCCTGGGGTCCTGGATTTCCATCCAATTGCCACAGTGAAGTCCATTCCAAGCGTATCATAAGGCAATCTGAGGGATTCAACCTTTAATTATTTCGAAACCGTGCAGCTGTCTTGCAACCTCCTTAAAACCCGAGCACTGTGGCCGTACATCTCATTTATGATCTTCTATACGTTCCGTTTGTATGAAAAATGCGAAGCGAACAAGTCGAACCTCGACCACTCGACCAACTTCAAAATGCTCAGGGCCTGCCAAGCACTCGTTTTTTCTCGATCAACTTCCCCTGCTCTTGCTTCTCCAGCAAATACCGCCTGTCCGGTGCCAAGTTTTCATCAACCGGTCACAAGTTTAAGGCGTGTCTGTTTCTTAATGCGATCCAAAAAAATCAACAAACTTCTGCATGGGTTGAAACTTCACAGGAAACCATCGATTCAAAATTCATTGTGCCAATGCCCCTCTGCCATTTATTCCCATTTCTTCGAATCCAATAATTTTGCTCCATAATATGCATTTCATGAGTTTCATGGTTCATTCAAGAGCAAAACCCCATTAAAACAGGTCCCTATCAGTTATGGCTGGGTTTGCAAAACCCATTTGCCTGTATCAATTACGGATATTTACCCAATTACTTCTGGGATCGCGGACCATCACTGTGGTTGGAACCCACCCAATTCCTTCAAACGCTGGCGCATCAGCGTTTCAGCGCCTGCCCACATCCTCATCGCCGCCACCATACTTCTGCACAAACCTCACTCATGAAATCAGTTTCCCCAGTCATGGGATTCATGCATCAATTGGAAAAATGACTTGCACGTCTATTAACTTGAAAAACGTCACAATGACAACCGCGACTTTGGCGATCGGTTCGCTATGTTGCCTCTGTCACCAAACCTTTGTTTGGAGAGGGTCTCAGGGGTCTGAAGAAGTTTCGAAATATACAATCATTTCCGGGTAAGCCCGTGCTCCATTGAACAGGACAAATTCTCGGTGAACTTGTTGCCCCCCACCATTTGGAGTCCCAGGTTTAGCGATCACAGAGTGACAGCGGCCTTTGTTGGGCTTGCGTTCATCCACCAACACTTCGACTTTCAGGTTCCTCAGGGGGCCTTGGGCTTCACACGAATATTGAACAGGGTTGTCCAAATGACCCTCTTGAAAATCAAATGATGAAACCAAATTTTGAGTCCCACAAACAAAATCAAACAAACAAATGATGGCAATCAGCTGGATTTCTTTTTCGCACACAGATCGGACTCCCCTTATTAACTATTGAGTTTTTGTTGGTTCGATCACCAAAGGGTGCTTTACAAAGATGAAGGCTTGGCTGGAGTGACAAGTTAACTGGATTTCCTCGAGATGCAACTCTATTTGCTGTAGTATTTTTGTTGAGTAAATTATGTTTTATTTGCATCCGATTGATATCAAAGAGAATAGTTTAGCCTGGTTTTCATTTGTTTTGGGCCTTATTGAAATCAAATAAATATGCGCTCCGGAGTGTACAATTATTGTAAACAATAGTCAAAACCATTGAATACCAGGCCACGCTATCAACTCAAATAAATTATACCTCATGGAATCCTCATAAAATCCATGAAACTTCCTGTATCTTTCGATTTGTTAAACAACAGTTAAACTAAATCACGCGCTCCACAGCGCGCAATTCATTCAAATAAAGTTCAAAGCCATTTAGTACCAGCCTAAACCATTGTGGACATGAAGCCTACTTTGTTCAACAAACACATTAAAATAAATTACGCGCCCCGGAGCGCATAATTCACCATATCAAGTTCAAAGTCATTTAGTACCAGCCTAAACTATTGTCTTGTTGCGCAATTCTTCTTGAAGGCGGAACGGCGCGAACCCCATTGTTGAGTGATTCTTCTAGAACAGGGATTGGCCCGAAACCCACTGTTGAGTGATTCTTCTTGAACGGGGATTGACCCGAACCCCACTGTTGAGTGATTCTTCTTGAACGGCGATTGGCCGAACCCTACTATTGAAAGATTCTTCTTGAACGGGATGGCCGAACCCCATTGTTTACTGGTTCTTCTTGAATGGGGATTGGTCTGAACCCCACTGTTGAGTGATTCTTCTTGAACGGGGATTGGCCGAACCCCATTGTTTAGTGGCTCTTCTTGAACGGGGATTGGCCCGAACCCCACTGTTGAGTGATTCTTCTTGAACCGGGATTGGCCCGAACCCCACTGTTGAGTGATTCTTCTTGAACGGGGAGTGGCCGAACCCCACTGTTCAGTGCCGAACCCCGTTGTTGAGTGATTCCTTTTGAACGGGGATTGGCCCGAACCCCACTGTTGAGTGATTCTTCTTGAACGGGGATTGGTCCGAACCCCACTTTTGAGTGATTCTTCTTGAACGGCGATTGGCCGAACCCCACTTTTGAGTGATTCTTCTTGAACGGCGATTGGCCTGAACCCCACTGTTCAGTGATTCTTCTTGAACGGGGATTGGCCGAACCCCATTGTTGAGTGATACTTCTTGAACGGGGATTGGCCCGAACCCCACTGTTGAGTGATTCTTCTTGAACGGGGATTGGCCCGAACCCCACTGTTGAGTGATTCTTCTTGAACGGGATTGGCCCGAACCCCACTGTTGAGTGATTCTTCTTGAACGGGGATTGGCCCGAACCCCACTGTTGAGTGATTCTTCTTGAACGGGATTGGCCCGAACCCCACTGTTGAGTGATTCTTCTTGAACGGGGATTGGCCCGAACCCCACTGTTGAGTGATTCTTCTTGAACGGGGATTGGCCCGAACCCCACTGTTGAGTGATTCTTCTTGAACGGGGATTGGCCCGAACCCCACTGTTGAGTGATTCTTCTTGAACGGGCATCCTAGGCAATGAGTGAAATCTACTGAATTAGGTAGTAGGGAAAAACCTAACCCCCTTGTTGAGTGATTCGCGTTGAACGGGTTAACAAGGGAGTGAGGAAAAACCTAACTCCCTTGTTGAGTAATTCTTGTTGAATAGGTGACATCAATCGGAACACAAAGGGCCCAACAAGGGAGTGAGATAAAACGTAACTACCCTCTTGAGTGATTCAACTTGAATCACTCAACAAGGGAGTTACGTTTTTCCTAACTCCCTTATTGAGTGGATTTGTGTTTTGCCAAGATTCCACCGCCAATCGAAGCTGATGGCTGATCCAATCCAGCTGCGGAATCATGTGGGGACAATTCCTCCCCTAAATGCAAAACATCATCATCAGCGCCAAACAGGCAATAGAAGGGAGTGGAGATGGAAGAAAATGGCGAGTCCATGTAACCACACTTAATCGTGACATTATAGTGTCTCCATTTCCCACCAACAAAAAATGATAAACAATTTCAAAAAAACATACTTAGACAAGTAGATTACTGCTTTCATAAAAGTGTGCATGTACATGCTCACAGTAATGGTAGCATCAAGCTGCGGAATGAATCTGAACATATCTGAGCCCAAGGGCCCCAACAAAGATGTTGGTATATGGAGTCCATAGCCTGATGTTAAATGGTTTTGAATGCCATTTAAAGTAAATTGCACCTTCAGTATTTGAATGTGTTGAACAATGTATGTTTCATTTAGTTACATGGGATCAACATGCGAGACAATAGTTTAGGCTTGTAATAAACGGCATTGAACTTTATTTGAGCAAATTACGCGCTCCGGAGCGCGTAATGATTACGCGCTCCGGAGCGCGTAATTGACTCTAGTATTTAAATGTATTGAATAAAGTACATGTTTCTTACATTGGGTCCAATAATATAGGCCCTATAGGCTGGTACTAAATGGCTTTGAACTTTATTTGAACAAATTACGCGCTCCGGAGCGTGTAATTAACTTCAGTATTTACATGTATTGAATAAAGTACATTTTTCTTACATTGGGTCAATATACGAAACAATACTATAAACTGGTACTAAATGGCTTTGAACAAATTACGCGCTCCGGAGCGCGTAATTATTACGCGCTCCGGAGCGCGTAATTGACTTCAGTATTTACATGTGTTGAAGAAAGTACATTTCTTTTAATTACATGGGATCACCAATACGAGACAATAGTCTAGGCTGGTACTAAATGGCTTTGAACTTTGTTTGAGTGGATTACGCGCTCCGGAGCGCGTCATTGTTACGCGCTCCGGAGCGCGTAATTGACTTCAGTATTATTTACATTTGTTGAAGAAAGTGCGTTTCATTTAATTACATGGGATCACCATACGAGACAATATAGTTTAGGCTGCTACTAAATGCCTTTTGATCTTGATTTGAATGGATTACGCGCTCCGGAGCGCGTAATTGACTTCAGTATTTACATGTGTTGAAAAAAGTGCGTTTCATTTAAATACATGGGATCAGCATACGAGACAATAGCTTAGGCTGGTACTAAATGGCTTTGAACTTTATTTGAATGGATTACGCGCTCCGGAGCGCGTCATTGTTACGCGCTCCATTGGGTCACTATACAAGACAATAGTTTAGGCTGCTACAGAAAAATTGAGCTAAATTCCAACAGTTAAAAGTGATTTTCTGAATGATATCAAATGGAGCTTTTGGACGACCCTGTTGAAAGCTCTTGCAGCTTTGATCTGTGAAATAAATTCCTTGGCCGTAAAGCCCACTTTCACGTGCGAGGCGCTCATCAAACCCAAAGGATGCAATTTCGTCTACCTTGTCTTGCGTAGTACCATGGATGAGCATCCAACTGCACACCTGTGATGCCAGACCATTGGTTACAGCCGGAACATCAGCACGGCCTTCCAAGTCTTTCCGCACCCGTTGCTTCTGGAACTCATACGCTTCCCAAATTTCGATGTTTCGGATCTGCAGCACGCCAGTAGTGCGAGTCTTTGTTCCTAAATCTCCAATAATTGCAATCTTTGCGGCCTCTGGCTTAAGATACCAGCCTTTGTCCAAACAAAGTTTTTCAAGTGCGACATTCATAACCTTGCTCGTCGCTTGCAATTTTTCTCCTTTACCTCTACCGACCTCGAACTCCCATTGAAATTGAACTCGAAGTCACTGTTTGATGAGTCGATGGTTTGGCACTCACTCAGAACACAGGGCGAACAATCATGCACAGGATAGCGATACCCCTTATTTTTGAAAGAATCGCTGTGTGACTCCAGCAAATGCTTCTCCAGAGAACTATATAACGCCATTATTGAAATACCTGTCGCACTCTCGGCAATATAAAGGGTTTCAAACGTGGGGGGAATTCCGAACGAATTGGATGCGCACTTGCACTGCCAACTCTTCGCACTCCTTGCTCAATGCATAGAAGCTACTAGATCTTACATTTTGCCCCCAAACTCTCCAGAAGTCCCTGCAAGAAATGTCAGAAAGTTTGGCGTTTCCAAAATTGGGTGGCACAGGGAGCCACTTCTGCTTCTCCCATCTTCTCCCATTGAGAGAATAGTTCCTCAAGTCCTGCATCAATGCCGCATATCCAGCAGCCATGGCTCATCAAAAACGAAGGGCCAGAAAGCGCTGTCCGGGAGCGTTGCGCAGGATGACTCTCGGGCCTCAAGAGCCTACTGGTCAGATGGGCTGGTGGTTTCAAAAGTTGCAAGCAATTCAGCCAAAATATGTTACCAAAGACACAAGCTGCTTCCAGGAGAACATGGGCACAGCTGCCCCAGAGCCCCAAGGCCCCCACTTACGCAGGTCCATGTTGGTGGATGCGGCAGCCTTGAGGAATTCCAACAAGTCTGCCAGCTCCTCGCAAGCCAAATCTGCTCGTAACATCCCAAAAAATAGGCCGTTCACAGTCATTTTTCAGAGATGGCGATCTGAAGCAAACGAAAAAGTACAAGAATGACTTCCTGGAAGATTTTCTTTGATGTCAGTTTTCCATTTCCATGGGTGTTTCAGGGAGTACAGCACTGCGGTTGAAGCATCCGCTGAGGCCAGTGCAGTGTCAGAAGGGTCCCCTTCAAAGGGTCGGATCAGAATGCCATTCTTGGGCTGGCGGAGGGTCAGCGATCAGAAGCGTTATTGGTCAATGGAAGTGGCGACTGGCCCATACGGTTGATCTGGGGGCATCATGCCCACAAGATATCATCAACAACTGGATGGGAATGTTCCTTTGCATGAGCGCAAGGTTTGCAGTTTGCGAATTTTCACATCCAACCATCCAATTCTGTGGGTAGATCCTCAACCCTTTCGGTGCTATCCTTCTTTTTGGAGGGTCCAACAGCCTTCACGATCTGCCGAATAAGGACTCATCAGCCAAAACCTGCTGACCCACCTGTAGTTCAAAGGCCACTGGATCGTGATCGATCATCAGCACCTGATTGAGATCTGGACACCTGATGAGATATCTTCGTGGATTTCAAGCCAATCAGAATCTCAATAGTTAAGGGATTAAGTGGGAGTTCAGTAGCCCTACTATTATACTGATATTACCTAATGTTGATTCATCATAACATCTCAAGGCTGGGGGTAAGTCGGAGTTCGTTCGGGTAATTACTTCTCAGACACATGAAGACAAGTATACATAGACATAGACATAGACATAAGATGACATAAGCATCAACAAAGAAATACATCTGTTTGTTTTACTCCTCTTTTACTCCTCTTTTACTCCTCTTCAAACCTTTCTATCCATTCTTTCTATCCATTTTCAAGGGATAAAACCTGTAAAATTCTCCCTGATCTGCCAAGATGCTCGATCAAGGTTACGGCCCAACTTGGACAAGTCCTGAACACTCTCGGGGGATGATTTTCCTGGAAATGTTTACCCAATTATAATGGGAAACCCTTGAAAACTAACATAACTATCAAAAATCAACCATTTTGATAGGCCATTTTCAACAGCTATGTTTAATTTGCCAAAGGGTAAACCCATCGGTGTTTTCATCAAAATATTGATTGTGTTGTGTTTTTCTTTGCCTTCAAGCAATTCTGGGACATTTGCGACAAAGAACTGCAAGAGGGAGGATCTTTATAGAAAAGATCCAATCCGATTTGGAACTCAGATCACACTCACTCGCTCCTTCACGAAGTGGTTCCTTTTCCTCAGCGATTTCCATGACATGTTGCTGCAAAACTAGTGATACAACCCTTAAGATATCCATGGATTAAAACACCACAATGCTAGAGAAAATACTATGTTTCACCTTTTTTCTAGGGTCTAAGTATACTGATTTGTCTTCGCAGATTGCACATCTTGCATCATATTTCCTTTCAGATCCATGCAGCTTGGAGACTTCTTGCAGAAGTCCCTGTGCAAAACGCCCGTCACCTGGCAGCGCGCCAGGTGAATCTGCAAAAAATGACCTCGCAGAAAAAAAGCGCACTCTAAGGAACTCACTGGAATATTCCACTTGCTCGCAATGTCAAGCGCCACCTTAGTTCCAGTAAAATTTACTAAAACTGCATGTTCAATATTGTTCAATGGTAGCCAACGTGCTACAGCGTCGAAATATGACACTCTGTAGTTTTGAAACCATCTCGAATTCCAACATGTGGATTTTGAGTCTCAAAGGCATCTGAAACCAGCCAACAACTTTGGGACGCCAGCTGGAAAAACATCATCAGAAAAGAGAACCACCTCATAGTAGTGCGGAATCTCCTGAGCACATCATTGGCTACAGCAATGGATTCATATCTTCGAACACTGTGCCAACAGCACCAGATTGGCAGTGCAGGTTCATATCCGTTCACTATAGTTGACGCTTGTAAAGTCATCCATTCATGCCATCTTTCATAGCATCATGAACGGCTTTTCGTGACAGTTCAGTTTCTGTAGCGGTTTGACCGATGGGAGTGACAGGCCGTGGCCTTGAAGAATTTGTCCGCGAAGGGTCTTTTGATCACTTGCCAGCCCTGGCCATCAGAAAAGCCGAAGACGAAACAGTCTTCATCACCAACTATAAATGAAGGCTTGAATGGGAAAAATCATCGAACTAATGGTAGATTGTTCATTGCCATGTTTCTCTTCTCAACTAGAAGTGAAAAATGAATCAAAGTATCTCGAAAGCACTGCACAAATAAATCAAATTGACTTCAATCCCGGGCACAACTCCATCAGCAAGTTCCTATATGGGCAAATCAAGCAGGTTCCCTGCCCTGGCCTTTTTGCTGTCATGTTCCAATTTCAAAATCACCTGGCGACAGTCCAACCAGCTCGAGATGAAGATCACAAATCGATGGATCCACCCAGCACCTTGTCCACGTCAAGAACCAAAGTGGGTATGTTCTCCGGATATTGCAGAGTCGCTTTGTCCACAAGCCATGGCTCCTCCACAGTCTCCACAGTCACAGCTCACACCGCTCGGAATTCGGCATGACATTGTGACATGGTCCGACATGGTCCTTCTTACTGGAAACAAAGCGATCTCCGATTTTTTCGAAGTATTCTCGAGAGGCATCGTTAAAATCCTGCCGGTGCTTGGACGAAGCTGCGGGGCGCTTTTTGAAGATGCAGGATCGAGATGAGATCCAATGGCTAATGATCGCAACTGTGGTACTCTACTGTAACATCCAAACCGTGGATGGACAGAATAGACATGAATAGACTATAGTTTCTGCAGTGCAATGTTGATTTACTCAATTCTGCAGAAACTTGGCTTGGACCTGCCAGCCGTGATGCCAAGTGATGCAGCCAGCCGCGACTCCGCATCAAGTGAGTGGTTGTTTCTGGTCAAGTCAGATGGTTTTTTGGTCCTCAAAAGCATCATTTGCTCTGGAAAGCACTCGATGAATATCATCTCGAAGCTGCGGACTTGTACCAATTGCCTCAGCCGAAGTCCAGACATTCACCAAGGACCCCATGACTGAAGAGTGACTTCAGTGACTTCAGGTCCAAGTTACCACTTCACTATGGTTTACATAAAAACGGGTTCTTGGTGAATCCATAAGATTGGTAATGTGTTGGTATGTAACCATCAATTTTCCAGGATATATGTGTACGTGCATGTGTGTATATATACGTATATATATATTATAACGTTATTACTATTACTATTACTATTATTATTTTATTATTATTACTGTTTGTTTACCATTATTATTATTATCATGATTATCATTACTATTATAATTATTACTATTGTTATTATTATCATTACAATTATGATAATTTATTAATTGTTATTTTTATTATTGTTTTTATTATCACTATTATCATTATCATGATATACATTAGTATTCAGAGCTGTTCCCACATGCACCACACCTTGGCTTGATCTCCCGTGGCTCAGCGCCGCACCACACCAGCACCGACGACAGCCACCCCCACCACCTCGGAAAGTGTTTCCCACACCTGCTGACCTTTCAAAAATGGATCTCTTTAGGCGTTTCCAGAAAAAGTGAACTCATACCCCGCGAATCCAAAGTTATGATGTGTCAAATTTCGAGTAGGTATTGAAGCACATTTCAAAAGAAACAAGTGACAAAAAAACATGTTTTACAGTTGAAAAAAACATCATAAAACATCTGCATCACTGCATGTTGATCCCAAAAACATGGGACCCATGGGCAGTCTACTTCATCTCTACGTCTCAGACCTTTCCAGGGGTCACGGTCTGCTTGGGCTTGGCAACAGCTCTGGCCCGTGGTCGAGGAGCCTCCGCCTGGCCCCGGGTGCTCAATCCTGTTAAGCAGCAAAAACTAGAAATGAACCAATCTACCAATCACAATCAAACCATTTCCTGATTTTTTGTTTGGGTGGAAACCACTGAAATCATCATTTTTGGAAGGGAAACGGCCAAACCATTGTTTGGGGGGAACCACTAAAAGTCCCATCGCATGGGTTGAGGAAGAAGCCAACCCTCTGTTGTTTTTGCGTGAGAAACGGCACAGCATACCTCCGCAGACAGCCAGCGCGCGACGTAACGCCCATGGCTGAAGGCTGCGGCTCGTCTGAAGCGCCACATCGCGACTGAGAAAAACGTTTTTTAAACGGTGGAACGTGTTGAAAGGTCTGCTGGTGTCATGGCATGGCCACAAGGCAATGGTGGCAGCTTCAGAAAAAAATCCATCGCTGGGAGTCCGACATGGATTTCTGTCTCCGGTTTTGGTTGTGGATCCATGACGGCAAACACTGGAGCCAAGCTGGTACGCAAGAACCATCGTCAGCCAATCCTTTGCACATTGCTTTGCAACAGGGATGTCATCGCTGCGGCAGTGGCGCACTTTTCTCTGTCTCAACCCCGCTGTACAGCACTGAGCCATGAAAGCATCCAACGAAACACCAAAAATTAAACAGCTTTGCATCAAATGTCCAACAAACAACATACAACCAAAACTATTCTTCCACGCATCAGTGATCAGAGACAAAAAGACTTGCGCCCCTGTACAACCAACTGCAAGTCTGAGCCCACCAGCCATAGTGGCACCAAGGCATCACGTCTATTCAAGAAATTGGTGCATCAAAGCACTTGGCACTGACAGTCTCGACCTGCAAGATGGATTTCAGCCAGTGTGACAATTTGCGCGTCACACAACAGAGTTTTCATCCTTTGGGATACTTGTGTATGTATGTGTATATATATATTATAATATATATATATGATCTAAGTCATGCAACACTTCCAGTGAAAATGGCTGTTCGGATTCTTTGGCGAAAACATGTCTGATGACAAAGATTCCGCCATATCGCCATCAATCACAATAGGATATCCCAAGAATGATACAGAAATGAGTAGCAAATGGAATATGGTACATAATATATGTGTATAACATTGTATTAACATAATACAAATAATATACAAATAATATACACATAGAGAGAGATGAAACTTTTTTCAACACCAGAATCTTCCGCTCCTTGATCAAATTTTGACCACGGCCCGACTGAGGCGGTGGCTGTCGCTGCTTTTTATGTCACCATTGGGCGCAGAGGTCGCGCCGCTCCGCGCGCCGTTTCGCTCGCCGTTTCGCTCGCCGTTTCGCTCGCGACGACCTTTGCGGCCCTTGCCTGGCAGGGTACACTCTGAAGCCTTTGATTTCTGGTGGAATTGATGAATTTTTGTCATTTTTGTCATTGTTCAAACCATTACCACATGTTCGTCGCCAGTCATGTGCCAAGAGTTGGACAAGTTGGACCAACCGACGTACAGCCGAGCTGTTCAGCGCTCCGCGCCTTTGCCGCCCCTCTCGATGTTTTCGGAGGCCGCAAGCAGGATGGCGGCGGCGGCCTCTGAAAATTGTGATGGCACTCCTAAGTCATCTCGGCCTCAGAGATCAAATCGATCGGTTGCAACGAAGCAAGTCATCTCACATAGGCTTGGCTTTGTCAATTTTGACATGTTCCAAAATGGGATATCCCTCCAAAATTGCCAAGATGATGACAAACCCACCTTGGAATTGGGGTGCTTTATTTTTCAAACAGACATTTAAGATGCTTTCAATAGCACAGAGTTTCAATTTGAGCAGCACACTTGCCCGACTGGCTGGAAGTTCTTCATCCACCATGAAGTCCCAACAGCGGACACCGGACGCCTTCGGCCGCCATGCAAACCCATTGGAGTCCAGTCATGGGTCTGTCTGAAAATGGGGGAACGGACTGCCAGACTTCCTCTGCCCATGCCTCAAGCCGGCTTCCTCTGGCTGGTTGGAAGGTCAATAGATCCTTTTCCTGATCCAGCATTGGTTCTGGGTGAAAATCGAGGATCAAAGAATGGATCACGAGGGATGGTTTACTCTTGTCTAACTACCGATATTGCAGAACCTCACGGTTTTCTGGGTCTGACTGCTTTTTGCAGCTGCCATGACTGATAACTCATGACAAACCTGTTTCGGCCTCCAAGACGCTTCCCAAGGCCTCAGTCACGGCTCTGAAAGTGATATTAATCCCTTCCCCTTGATGTTAAATACCTCGCAGACACGACATCTTTGGTGGAATGTTTGGATCTCGTTTTGGCCAGTTTTGGCCCAGTTGCGGGGAGGCATATTGGAGGGATGAGATTATGAACCTAGACTCCCAGCATTGATATCCTCAAAGAGTTGGCGGTACGGCTCGGCTGAGCCAAGAACTTGTCGAAGTCGCTGTTCATCCACAAAGGGCAACAGGACTATAGCCTCCACAAGCTCCAAAAACACTTGGCGAACGCAAACGCAAAGGGAGAGCAAACGGAACAATTCAAAGATGTAGATCTCTAGGATTCTCTAGGCATCTTGGTCTTGGTTCACGGCCCAGAACCATGACAGGTGAGATGAGCCTGCCAATCTTTGTCGCCAGGTTTGAGGTCTAGCCTGAGCTAACGGTGGCCCATGCAACCAAGGTCCCAAGATGAGCCCCAAGCAAGGACATTCAGTTTAGGAACGCAAAATCCAAGCGACTAGAACGCAATTCTATCATCCACCAAGGCTATGTAAAACATGACTACATCATGCTTTAGAATCTTTAGAGTTTAAAAGCAGAGCGTAGATGGTTTGGCCGGTTTTCCACGACGCCCCGTCTCAAGTCCACTGCTCGAAATCGCGTGGGTAGAAGTCGGCGATGGGCGATGAATTGTCCTGATTCAACGAGGGCCAGTCTGGGGTCCCAACCCAAGGCGGGTTCTGGAAGTGTGGCACATCAATCCCTTGGAAAATCTGGCAGAAAAAGGTCTGTTTCCAAGAACCAAATCTCATAGGGAACCAGAAAAGGGGAACACATTACGACACCAACCACCATCTGAGTTCAAATAAAATCATCTAAAATCACCCTAGAACCGTTCTACGGGACATATTGTTGCATTCAAATCATCATTCAAATATATCCCATGTCATGGGATTATAACATGACATATTGTCATATTATGAACCACCCAGTCCTCTCAAAATTCATGTTCCACCAAAAATCATAATTGGAGAATAAAATCCCCATAACTATAGTAATTATTGCCATATTATAATAACAATAAAAACATATAACTATCATAACTATCATTACTATTGTCAAAATCATAGTTTTATTCTCATGATTAATAATCATATATATATATACTAATGTTCCCATATTACAAACCACCCCAACCTCCAAAAATCCCATTTTTTTACGTGACATGTGCCGCTCGTCCTCCACCAAGGGCCGCAGCACCTCTGGCAGCAGCAGCGCGCTCTGCGCCGGCAGCACCGCCAACAGTTGGAGCTCGGGGGCCACGGGCCTCGGGGCAATGGGAACCAACCAATGGAAACATCGAATGGAAGCATTTATATCATATATATATATGTGTGTATTTATTTATTACTATATTTATTATATCTCATTATATCATATTATATTATATTATATTATATTATGTTATATTATATTATATCATATCATATTCTATTATATCATATCATATTATATGATATTATATACTTTATTATTATTATTAGTATTATTATTATATATATATATTATTACATATATTATATTATATTACATTATATTACATTATATATGTATATATGTATATATGTATTATCTATTATATATATCATATATTATTATATATATATGATATAAGGAAAATATCTAATGATGTGAACATCTATGTATATTGGGAATATCTATATACTCGTAATGGGAATATCTAGTAGGAAGATCCAATATGAATATCTACTGGAATTATTTAATTCAAATTGCAGCTCCCCAGGGAAAAAAAACCGCTGGGTCCTCCGGGCGCATCCAAGGGTGGCCGGGGAATGCTGGTCACAAAGGCGAGGCCTGCCTTGGGATCACTGCTTGAGGCGGTGTCACATTGTACTATCCAGCCCACCATGTATACATATGTATATAAGTATATACATATATGTACATGTATATAAGAATATTTATTTATATATATATATTATATACATGTATAAAATGGGTTGATGACTCTTGGACTTCCACTATTTTCATGGCAAAGACTAAAACCAACTGGCTTTATTCCGGGATTAGCTTCAATAGCGGATAGCTGAAGATTGGTCCAACCATGGAACCAACTAATATGGATATCAGTTGAACCGCCAGCAATGGGGATATTCACCATGATGGATGTGGAGATTCGAAGCAACAAGCATCGCTCCAAGGTATGATGGTCCCAGCAGCACAGAGAGGCGGATAGTGCGCAGGGTAAAACCAGGACCAAGAAGAGCAGCCTTCCACGTAGTAGTGCAACACCTGAGTCTCTGCATCCAACTTCTGGCAATGTGAAAAACTGCGGAGTTGAATCTCCTGATCTTACTTCAAGTCAATAGATTATCTCTTCACTACAAATTCTGTGGACGATCTTCCACCAAAAAAATCTGATGACTCACAGAATCTCACAGCTAAGAGCAGGGCCCATTCGATTCCAGTGAGGAAGGCGATACTTCTATGTTGCCTTGGTGGCACACCGCTTGGTACGGCTTCGTGGCATCTGGTGCACTTCCCCAAGAGTCCCTAAAATGTCCTTGGCCCCAGGCATGACCGCATCGGCATCGTCGCTGGGCGGCGAGCCAGCAGCCACGGGACCCCCGTAACGCGTGTTGTATTCAGGAAGCAGCTTCTGAACGGCCTCGACCTCTGTGGATAGATTGTGCTGGAAATGAAAAATGGGCGTAAATATGTGTTTGAAAATACATTGTACAAGTGTTTTTGTTAGACTACATAGTGTATGAAGTATGTAGATAGTATATAGATATAGACTACAAACTATATATTACCATATATATAATTATATAATATATATATAGCTGTCTCCTCGACATGATACTTCCTGGCTCGCTTCGTCGTGTATACAAACGATCCTTGGGTCTTACCCCCTTTTCAGAGCTATGTTATTTTGACGACTCGAACCAACAAGACTTCATAGCACATGACCAAGACTGCAGTCAGCGATGCCTAGTCATTGTGCTCGGTGATATGTCAGCAGGCTTCTACTGGAGTCTTGATAGATATTCACTATGCATCCACGTCTTCTGGATTGCGGGGCAAATTGGTACCAAGTACCAACCATCTTTTATAACAATACATAACATAGTTCCCTTTCATGATGGATACTGTATGAATTTTTGACGAAAGGACCTGTCTCCGTTCGCCCAGTTCTTCCAATGCTTTCAAGACACATTTCGACCAGCTGCCAGAAGCTCCAGGCAAGCATTTTGCCGCTCGGCCTGAGGATGTCGTATGATGATTAATAATGGTGATTAGTGAATATGGTTAATAATGAAACCCAGCCTGATCTTCAGTCTCATCCGCTCTTCGGCTGTAATCTTCTTTCCTCCGGACCATGGCTTGTCGACCTTCGCCCTCGATATCTAAGAGCGTTGAGCTCCTCAACACCTCGTGGCTGCGGCAGCATCCGGGCGGGCCAAGGATCAGTCATTGCCTTCAGTAGGTGCTGTTTATGACCCATCAACTTGAGCTTTTTTCCCTTGAAAAATCAGGGGAAATCCATCAACTTTGGCCATTTATCTCACCAAGTGCCATCTCACAGCCAAGCCACCTCCGCCAGTTGTGTCAGATCCTGCATCCACACCCGAAGCCGTCGGAACATCGCGAAGACGCGCAGGGGGACGAAGCGATCCTCGGGTCTGTTTCGTTCCAAGGCGTTACCGAAACAACTGGAAACGTTCAAAGGGGCCCAATGGGGATGGTTTATGAATGTTTGCGGTATTGGGGCTTCAAAGTCTGAAGTTTCCAGTTAGCTTAACATCTGCTGTAACTATTAGGGATGCTGATCCATTTTTGGATTCATGTGGTAAACCGAATGATACATGATAAACAATCCCCACATGTGCCATAAGTGGCTGGGGTTCTAAACCATCCCCAAATGGCGGGGTTGTGTCATTGGGTTGACCAATGATGAGGTTGATGCTTCTCTATGGGGATGTACTAAACATGGTTTATGGTTGGGGGTTATTCTTACCAATAATGATCATAATCCCTAATGATCATAATGCTAACGAAATCCGGCTAGTAAAGCCTACTACCAGGCACCAACTATCAGAGATGAACTGGGGATCAATTGGGCAGTCAGTTACCTGGGCACCCCAAAAAAAGCACTAGAACAACACATGTTTTCCGGAAAAAACCATGCAATTTTAGGGGCTCCCTCTGTGAAATTCAACCTCAATGAGAATTCTTCATAGGTGAATCACCTGGAAACGATGGATCTTCCAGCAAGCCATTTGTGTTTACACCCCTGGGTACAACACACATGTCATGTGCACAGGGTATCTGATTTGCCGCTTGCAGCGTCCCGACGCTTTCGCACGTGCCGCCGCAGAAATGCATCTTTGGGCAAGTTGTTTGGACCCAACCTGGATGAGAGGGTTCAGACAACAATATCCATCTCTCTTGAAACTATACCCGACATCAAAAGAACACCTATTTTTTGGGGCAATTCTTCTAGCGGGTAGGACCTTTGGTTTCTGTAAGTGGCAACTTAGGAGCGCCAGAGTAGATTCCAGTTGGGAACGTCACTTGGCACTAGAAAACCCTCTGGTTGAAAGATTTCCGTCACAAAAAAAGATGATTTCCCAGCCAGGTTCGACTGACAGCAGCATTTCTGAAGCCAAAGAGCCAGAACTCAAAGCTCTCTCGCACTGCCTTATGAAGTACAGGTTGCCACTCAGCCACCTGAGCGCTCTTGTGGCTTCCAAATCACGTCTGTTCATGGCCATATACCCAGGTGTCGATGCTCCGAAGTTGGTGGATATTCCTCACTTAAAATATCTTCATTGGATTGGTTTAGTCGGGAAAATCTGAACCGGAAACCCATGGGTTTTTACCATCAAATTAATGGGTTTTCCGGATAAAAAAATTCCCATCATCCAATTCCATGATATCTGGTTTCCTCCAAGTGACACAAATCTTGACCCCAACAGTAGCCCCAGGGCCCCACCTGAAAGGCCGAAGCCGGCTGCGGATCTTCCAACTCCAAGGTGTCGGGCTTCACCCAGGTCAACTGCGGCGCCAAGGTGTCAAGTGTTCAACAGGGAGAATGATGGATATGTGATATGATATGATGGTACGATGATGATATGATGCCGTTATTTATTATTATTATCATTATTGTTATATATATATTCATTCATTTATTTATTTGTATTGTTACATATCATTATTTTATGATAGGTATGTGTTCGGATTCAATGGATAAGGGTCAGAGGTGGAGATATAGATATGGCATGATATGGCGAGATATCCACATCAAAGCAGAAAAAAAAGCTTTGCAGTAACAATGATTCCACGGTTCAAAAACCACCAACTCCACACCTGCAAGCGCTGGGTTTCGATTCGCCGGGTGGACACCAGTGTGTCCACTGCTGACTTTGCATCGCAGAAATGGACCAGCCAGGATGCGCCTGCCACAATGCACACGTTGCAAGGATGTTTCCCAAATTTTCTGGCACCAAAATGTAGGAATACATGCTCATGCAAAGGTTCTGCCATGTCATTATGTCGTCTTCTTCTGCTATGACTCGTGTCAGCAAATGTCAACCAGAGCTGCCTTTCTGCTGTTTAACTCGATGAGCACTTCGAACCTCACAGCCTTGCCTGGTCATGGCAGCCTGAGATGACCAATGGCGACCAACATTTGTTTCATGTGCTGCTCATTGTCTGTCCCCAAAAAGATGGGACACTTGATGCCTATGTTTTGGATTCTTTTGGACCCCCACTGCTACTTTCCAGCATGGAAGTGTCACAAGTGTCACCACCAAGTCACCAGGATTTCTTCCAGCGTGGTCTTGCGTGGCACATTCCACACCGCCACTGACAAACCATCCCAATCCACCGGTGGAGGTCCAGGGCCCCGGTAGGGGAGCTGCTTTGGTCCCAAACCAAGACCCACCAGGTCCAGCAGCAATTCGCATTCATCCTGCGGGAAACCCCCAAAAACGATACATTTCATTTCTTGCAGACTAAAGGACCGCAATACATCAATCATCAAAGTACGTTGATTTGAAGGTGATCCTCAATCAACTGCTGATTCCCCATCAGCGTTGATTGTATCAGCATTCTTGTTGGTCAAATCATATGCTCTCCTCACCGCTTGATGTCCCGATCTTTGTTTGCTTTTAAAAAAAGAATGGTGCAAACAGGGTTCATAAATGTCATCCCCATCGTCAACTTTGGACAAACTCGGATATATCATTCGTTTTTTCGCACTTCCAGCTGGAAAAGTTTGTAAATAATCCAGTGTTCCTGATTCTCTCCATTTAAAACCTAATCTTCCCGATCCAAATACCTAAAGAATATAACTTCAAAAAAACAGAGAAAAATCAGACAGTCAAAAAATCCAGTAGAACCCATGTCTGGACCAAGACCCACATGTCGTTTCTCCTGCGCCACTTGCTCGAGCAGGCCAGACCAACGTGGCAACTCCAGGGTCAAGTCTTCTCGTGTCAAATACCTCACCAGGGGATCACTTGAGGCGCAGGAACCTTCCACTGCAAACAACAGAAATGGAAGGTACTCAGCGGTTCATCCCTGTTGGTAAGTGGGTTGTAACCCCAGTTATGAGTAGGGTAAATAGGATTCTAAAGTCCGGTTAGAAATTAATTGGGGTTATGATTCACTTACCAATGCCAACCAAGTAGCCTACAAAAAATATCAAAACCATGTGGAATCTCTTACCCTCCTTCAACCCAAAAAGAAATCGTTTTCACAGAAAAAATATAGGTTCGCAATGTCTATGTCAATTTGCTTGACGTAGCGCTGATGTAGAGCCCCACTGACATGGGAATCTGAGCCAGCATTGTTTTTTGTTTGGTCAAATACTTTGGGTCTATAGACCATGAACTGGTCATCACCCGCTGACGTTCCGTGGTTGACTAAACCATGGAAAATGGCCGGCACCTTCACCATTGGGAAACGACACTCTACAAGTGGAAGATTCTCTGCGCATCCAAGATTGCGGGAAATGACAAACTCACTTTTTTCCAATGAATCTTCATGACACATACGCCCATGCCTGTTCCCCATTTGCATGGTTTTCGACCAGGGCATGTGTCCGAAATCTACCATTCCAAGTCGCCCATTCTGAGCGGGATGCAGCTGATAATAAGCCGCCAGTAGTTTATCCAAACCCCCGTCGTAGATGTCGAGCGCTGCCATGTGTGGCCTCGGAAAAGGTGGAACCACGTGAGGTCCAGAAATATTGGTTTGTCAAATGTTCGAATCGGACATGTGTCATTCACGCAATGAAATGGCTCTCACAAGAATATACAAGAATGCCATGCACAGTTGCCACTGACGACTTTAGGCAAGCAACAGGAAATCATTCCCGACCAGGCAGCACATCGCCACGAAATCAGCCAACAATCGATGCCTTTGCAGCGCTGTTTCAACCTACTTTTTTTTCTGCTGGTGGTCAACCCATCCCAAGAATACTGTAATCATTCGCGGTCGTCATCCAAGGCGGGAATAGGGATGAGCAGCATTATACCACCATTCGTCAGCTATACGGTGCCAAAAACGAACTGAGGCCACCACGGGATGCAATCTGGAAACTGGCTGCATAACCAAGCACGAAGGGCCACGATGCTCAGCATTTCGTAGTCCTGGCAGCTTCCCGGGCAACACCGGTGAGAATCCAAATCGGCCAGTGTCAATCAGCTGCACAAGTTCAGCAAACAGCAGGAGCGGGATTCGATGCCGACTTTTCCTAAGTCCTAAGGCCTTCAATACGCCAGTTTCCATGCTCGCATGCTCAATGTTTCTGGTTGCAACCTCAAATTTGCCACCCTTACATACTCTGCAAAAGCACTTGCGGCAACCTGTTTCACGTCAAATGGCAGTGTGTCAAAACCTTGTACCCCTGGTGAACATCAAAATAGCTGGTAAATGGATGTTCATCCCACTAAAAATGGTATTAATAGGTATTGATCCATAGCCAAATCCTCATCGGCCCTCCTGCTTTCCGCCCCCGCTGCCGGCCCTCATGATGTTTGACTTTTGAAGTATGCTCGCTACATCCCCGACCTGCTGACCAACTCTCACCAGCCCTTGCCGCTCCTCAATAGCCGGTTGTGAGGCGCCTTCCAACAGAGGTTCTCGCTGATCAGAGTCCTACATCGTCCAAGAGGAAGGCTAAAACACGCCCCAAACTTTGACCAGGACATAGGAATTCGTGCAGGTTCGGCCACAAACCTTCATGAATATTGGCTATATTGACAATTTTGGAACCCAATTATAGATGTTGAGTCACGTGACCCAACGCAAATGTCAGCAGGTCCTGAGCAACGGACTCCGGGCGAACTTTCTTCTCATAGTTGGGTTTCGTGCGCAGCAAGTAGACATGCTCAGATCTGCATACCAGACCCAAAAAGACCAAATCCTTGGATCTTGAAGCATCGAATGCACAGCAGCACCGCATCGATGGACACCAAGAGAAATTCATAGCCAAGAAACTGCATCGTTGCTACAAAGGCAGTGCGTGTGCTCTGGATGATTTCGGATCACATTCATGATCTTGTGCTCACCCTCACCTCGTGACACATCCGGCAGCAACACACCAACATTTTGATGTGCATCCCAGGAGTCAGAACTGATGAGACTTCATGGTGGTCACAACCTGGTTATGGGATACAGTACCACAACCAGAAAGCAGGAGAAAAACTCCATCAAACTCCATACCTATTCATACCTACATTATTCCGAACTCGCTGCATGCAAGTCCTGTGCGCCCTGCCTGGGTCTCGATCACAAGAGATCACAATGGTCACCCCCTGGAGGTCGTTGGACGCCTGGGCTTCCGCCCAGCGCCGAAGTCGATCCGACAAGCGCTGCATGAAAGGAGTCCTTGATGTGGCCAGCTGCGCCAGCTGTTGGGGACTTTGGGGACCAGAACAAACGCCAAATATGTGCTGCCCTAATGGATGATCTCCGCATTGACTCAGATCAGCACCCTGGAGTGATCGCATTTCGATCCTTGTATCCATGGGCCCCCATGGGCCCACCAAGCTTCCCAATCTTTCCAAAAGAATCATGGCTAAGGCATAGGCAAAGGTCTCGATCACAGAATCCAGGCCATCTGCTGCGTCCGTCTCTTGAGCTTTGCGAAAACGCCTCCCAATCCCCGAACAAATGAACATCGATGGCGTCTGTTTCAAGATCTTAGGTGTGACCATTCCTGGCTTACACCATGTTCAATCCAGCAGATTCCAAACCAACTGATTGGGTTACTGGCTGGATTGCTGGTTTTCAAACCAACTTTCAAACCAACATCCCCAACATCCCCCGCATCATCGACTGAAGTTACCACCTGGACCGCTGCTGGTTCATCTTGGCCCGGGGCGCAACGCCATCCAGGGCGATGTAGAGCAGCACCTGGTGGCCCACAAGGGGATGATTTGGTCCAACCGACCACTGCTGGTACTTTTTCAAGCAAATCTCAAGATTCAATTTTTCAAACATTTTTCAACTTTCCATCGCAACTTGATGAATAAAAAATAATAAAAGGGGGGAAAAGATTCACAAAAACTCATTGCTTGGGAGTTTTGGGAGTTCACCCACCTTCGGGCTGACGATGGAAAGCAGAACTGCGAGCTGAGCCTGTCCAAGAAATCTCTGAGCCATCTCTTTGCTCAAGATGCTCAAGGTCTCACGACAATGGTCAACCAATGGAGAAATCTTTGCGTGAATGCAGTGAATGCAGTGAATGCCTGGTAATTTCACAGTCTTTTCTCAAGAGGTTATGATGAAAAAAACAAGATGAAGCCCACGAACCCGAATGCTCACACGTATGTTAATGGCACAGATGTCAAAACACATGGTTATAGAGTCACGCGCAATACCTTTCCGCAATAGTTTATATTTGAACAGTCTTGTACATGTTTCCCTTGTTACCAGTCTGCAGTGTGGGGTGGAAAGTGTAGAGTGTGGAGTGTGGAGTGGAGTGTGAAGTAAGGAGTGTGGAGTGTAAAGTGTGGAGTGGGGAGTGTAGAGTGTGTAAAGTGTAGAATGCGGAGTATAAGGTGTAGAGTGCGGAGTATGGAGTGTAAAGTGTAGAGTGTGGAGTGTGGAGTGTAAAGTGTGGAGTGTAAAGTGTGGAGTGAGGAGTGTAAAGTCGAAAGCGTGGAGTGTAAAGTGTAAAGTGTGGAGTGTAGAGTGTATAGTGTAGAGTGTAAAGCGTAGAGTGTGGAGTGTAAAGTGTGGAGTGTAAAGTGTGGAGTGTGGAGTGTAAAGTGTGGAGTGTAAAGTGTGGAGTGAGGAGTGTAAAGTGTGGAGTGTGGAGTGTAAAGTGTGGAGTGTGGAGTGTGGAGTGGAAAGTGTGGAGTGTGAAGTGTGGAGTGTAAACTGTGGAGTGTGGAGTGAGGAGTGTAAAGTGTTTAGCGAGGAGTGTAAAGTGTGGAGTGAGGAGTGTAAAGTGTGGAGTGTGGAGCGAGGAGTGTAAAGTGTGGAGTGAGGAGTGTAAAGTGTGGAGTGTGGAGCGAGGAGTGTAAAGTGTGGAGAGGGGAGTGTAAAGTGTGGAGTGTGGAGCGAGGAGTGTAAAGTGTGGAGTGTAAAGTGTGGAGTGAGGAGTGTAAAGTGTGGAGTGGAAAGTGTGGAGTGTGAAGTGTAAAGTGTGGAGTGTGGAGCGTAAAGTGTAGAGTGTGGAGTCTGGAGTGGAAAGTGTAGAGTGTGGTGTGTAGAGTGTGGAGTGTGGAGTGTAAAGTGAGGAGTGCAAAGTGTGGAGTGTGGAGTGAGGAGTGTAAAGTATAAAGTGTGGAGTGTGGAGTGCACAGTAAAGTGTGGAGTGTGGAGTGCGAAGTGTGGAATGGAAAGTGTAGAGTGTGGAGTGTGGTGTGTAAAGTGGGGAGTGTGGAGTGTAGAGTGTGGAGTGAGGAGTGTAAAGTGTAAAGTGTAAAGTGTGGAGTGTAAAGTCTGGAGTGCGAAATGTGGAGTGGAAAGTGTAGAGTGTGGTGTGTAGAGCGTGGAGTGTAAAATGTAAAGTGTGGAGTGTAGAGTGTAAAGTGTAGAGTGTGGAGTGTGGAGTGGAAAGTGTGGAGTGTGAAGTGTGGAGTGTAAAGTAAGGAGTGTGTGGTGTAAAGTGTGGAGTGTGGAGTGTAAAGTGTAGAGTGTGGAGTGTGGAGTGTAAAGTGTAGAGTGAGGAGTGAGGAGTGGAAAGTCTAGAGTGTGATGTAAAGTGTGGAGTGTGGAGTGTAAAGTCTTAGGTGAGGAGTGAGGAGTGTAAAGTGTGGAGTGAGGAGTGTAAAGTATTGAGTGTGGAGTGTGGAGTGGAAAGTGTGGAGTGTGAAGTGTGGAGTGTAAAGTAAGGAGTGTGTAGTGTAAAGTGTGGAGTGTGGAGTGTAAAGTGTAGAGTGTGGAGTGTAAAGTGTAGAGTGAGGAGTGAGGAGTGGAAAGTGTAGAGTGTAGTGTAAAGTGTGGAGTGTGGAGTGTAAAGTCTCAGGTGAGGAGTGAGGAGTGTAAAGTGCAAAGTGTGGAGTGTAAAGTGTAGAGTGTGGGGTCTAAAGTGTAAACTGTGGAGTGTGGAGTGTAAAGTGTAGAGTGTGGAGTGCGGAGCTTCCCCCATAGACACGGCGACGCCACAGGAAAACCAGCGACTCGAGACAAGACACGTGGATGAGAAAAACGAGCATTTCGTGCGAGACTTCCTCCAATTTTGACATTTTCGACACGTTATCAAACAGGTTCGAATGTCACAAAGTGCCACGCCTGCCACGCAAAACGACATGACAACCTGCGTGGAAACATTCGAAAAGGTCAGGTTTTGCGGCTTCCCCCATAGACACGGCGACACCACAGGAAAATCAGCGACTCGCGACAAGACACGTGGATGCAGAAAAAACAGCATTTCGCACGAGACTTCCGGCGATTTTCACAGTTGGCAACATAACAAAAGGACAGGTTTTGCAGCTTCCCCCATAGACACGGCGAAGCCACGGGAAAACCAGAGACTTGAGACGAGACACGTGGGAGCACCAAAACGAGCATTTCGTACGAGACTTCCTCCAATTTTGACACTTTGCAGCTTCAAAATCGACGTTTTCCTATGAGTTTTCCTTAGAACCTGAAAATTTGCAACCTCAAAATCAATGTTTCGTGCGAGACTTCCGTCAATTTTCAGCACATGTCAGAAAATGCCACGCCTGCCACGGAATTTGCACCTTGTCGCCACTTGACGCAGCCCTGCCAATGCGATTTACAAAAAACACGCAACAGGACACGTCTAAAGTGCTGCGCCTGCCACGAAAAATGACGATGGACACGTCCAAAGTGCTGCGCCTGCCACGAAAACTGCAACACATCTTCTAAAAACGTCACAAAAGCATTGCGCCTGCCACGCAAAACGATATTCAACACGTTGCAAAACACGTCTGAATGTCACAAAGTGCCACGCCTGCCACGCGAAACGAAGCAACGACACGTCTGAAACCTCCAAAAATGACCACCTCTGCAAAACTTCCCATAGGCACGGCCATACGGAGTTCGTACGAACGGTTGCGGACGGTTGCGAACGGTTGCGAACGGTTGCGGACGCGGACGCAACGTCGAGCGAACACACTCTGAACCCCCAGACCCCCAGAGTGAAACGGGAACCCTTGCTACGCATTCGGGAAATACTCACCTCGACCAAGCGGAAGAGAAATTCTTCGTGTTCTTGAAGGCTCCAGTCATTCACGCAGCCATGCACAACCCCATTGAAATCAAGGTACCTCGAATCATTTGCGGAAAAAGGCGCGAACACATCTAGAAAATCAAGGACGATCCCAGCTGCCAATCCATTAGTTGAAACAAAAATTTACAGGAAACCGAGCTGAAACCCTACAAAAATTTGTAATATTTGTTGTAATATGTGTAATAGAATGATGCTTTCCAGAGCCGAGCTGCAAATTATCGAACTCATATGGCAAGCCACAACTTTTGGCCCGGAGGTATGGCACCCTCCTGACAGCCCAGCGGTAGAAGCCAGGAACTCCCATGGCTCGGCTCAAACCGTGAATTTAAGGCTGCCCATCAGAGCCATGTCTGGATATGTCTGGATCAAGTTCTCATCGACTCATCGCATTTCTGGTGTATTTCTGATGACCAGTTCACCAGGCCGAGCAGGCCAAAGTTGACATGACACAATGTGGGCCGCAAACCAAGTCATCTGCTCAGGACTCAGGCTTTGCAAGTCAAGCAACGAAGGTATCAAAGTTGTGGTGACTTCCCATCCATTTAGATGTTGCTATGCAAACCTTCCGTGGCAATGTCCAATCTGTTCTACAATTTGTCTTGCCAAAATTTGCCCAATGGACTGCTGACAAAATCTCCATCAAAACCCAAGATAGAGAAATCCTGTATTATGTATATATGATATATGCATATGTTTGTTTATATCTGGTCGCGACCACCTGTACAAATAGCTTCTAGTTTCTTTGGTTTTTGTCAGATTTGCGGCTGCTACGTATGGTTTCATGATTTGACAAGGTATCAGGGCTTCAGCGGCGCGAGCTCACTGGGAAACAACACGGGCAGCTACCCAAATTTCAGAGTCTCAGTCTCGCTGACAGCATCAAAGACTCGCAGTTCCAGTTCCATTTTGACGCCGAGTTCCAAGGCTCGACAGATTCGAATGCAGCCCGCGGACGGGAGTGAAACACGCGACACAGCTGCTGGCGTGACGAGATCAAATTGAGTGTGAAACCAATAAGAAATGAAAGGGCTATAGGCTACAGGTCAAACTAAAGATCGTGATCCACTAGTTCTAAGCATTTTTACTCTTAACTTAACCATGCATTGTTTTCCGGGTGCCTCAACTGTGGTAAATATCCAATTCCGCTTTCTTTGCTGATCAATTATCATGCAATTCAACACGCCACTCAGCTGCTTTGATTTCTTGCATTCACGGCATTGATAGCTCGTTTCTCAGTGCCATTGTGAGACTTGCTGGCACATCAACATGTTAGACAGAAATCGAAATTCACGGCATATCGGGGATACGCTTTGGTCCCTCACAAAGGCGCTTGGCCAGGGCTTTGTAGTCGAAGAGACCTTCTGTGTGCGTGGACAAAGTGCATTTTTCTTCTTAATGAGGCCATATCAAAAGTCAAAAAGGTTTGATAACTCGAAAATTATGTCATATTCTATCATATCATTTTATCACTGTTCTGGACCCCCTGACTGTTTATAAACTGGGTTTGATCAATCGCTCACATAGTTGTTGAGCGGCCTTTGTCATCCACCTCGGCCTCCTTCAGTATCGCCTCCACCTGGCCGTGAACGAAGGTGTTTTTTTCGAATGGCTGTCAACATCTAAGCATCCCAGCAATGTCAAAATGCATCGATCAAGATGATATAATTGATATAAAATTGGGCTAAATACTGCTAATAATATAATAATATATCTATATATAATGCTAATCTCAAAGGCAGCTGAGAAAACAAGTCCTTGGCCTCATGCTCTTGCATCGGATCACCCAACGACGTGAGCATTTCCTGCAAGAATTTCAACATTGTGCCAAGTCCAAAGAGGTGGTGAGTGAAATGTTGGGCGTGGGAAAAAAACATAGAGATGTAGAAATATTTACCATAAACATCCATAAACATCCATAAACATCCATAAACATCCATAAACATATAAACATATAAACATATAAACATATAAACATATAAACATATAAACATCCACAAACATGCATAAACATGCATAAACCCTAGCTATCTTAGTACAAAAGCAAATCCAGCAAACGGAGATTCAGAATAGTGCGTAGCAATATCGAGACTAGATTTACAATGACAGTTAACCAGTGGATCTATTAAATCCGTAAAGTCTAAGGGTCTAGGAAGAAATCAGTCATCACACCGCTGCTCAGCCCCACACCTTGAATTTATCGCGGCTCATAATCCCAGTATCTTCCAAATCAAAGACCTGCCAGGTCAACTGGAATCACGGGAAACTGAAAGTCCCTGCAGATTCAACAGCAGTTTGGTACCTGGAAGGCCTTCAGCAGAGTGTCCTCTGTGGTTGGAGGCCTTTCAATGCAAAAAAGGCAATGCCACAGATCTCTTGCTGCCGGCAACACATCCGAAATAATCAGCCCAGTGCCTGTAGTTCCCTTTGAAGAAACGAATAAACCCATCAACCTGAAGCATTGCAGCTCAACGAAGGGCAAAAAATCCATGCTACAACAAAACAATGGCCAAGGAGCATCTAGCCCTGCTTGCGGGATTGGTCTCAGCATTTCAGCAAGTTCCTTTGCAAGTTTCGTTGTGCAACACTCTCACTAATTTAAAACATATGAACATTATGTGAAACTAAAACCGTCAACACAGTGGCCACAGGCTCCTCATCGGTTGGGTTCTGTCCAAAGGCCCGGAACAGAATGCCCACCTTACAGTGGTCATAGCGAAACCGCGAGACCAAGGACGTTTCCGTTACTGCACCAAAAAAAAACGCAACATTCCATCCGCGCCTGCTGTGGGTTCAAGCGACCTCCGGACAAGAAATTTGCACATGCTTTGAATATGAAATTGAAACTCTTTGAGTTCCTTACCACTTTTGCTCTGATCAAGCAGTTTAAAGTTGTCAAGGACTTTCTCTTTCTGATCCTCCGAAAATGCACTCTGGTCCAAAACAGGTCCAGCTACAGGCTGCTGTCGGAAACTGGTTTGGAGGCAGGTTCTCATTTTGGATACGTTTGCATGTCTGACTTCAATCGTCCCATATGTCCTGAGTGAGGTCAGCTTCAGGATCATCCAATTTGATTTCAAAGGACGCTCCTCAATCAAGAACAGTGGACAGTGCAGTGGATCGTACAATCCCTGTCCACATTCCTGGACGCCCAAAATATATCAAAATATTCTATACAGCACCTTTCGTGGTGATTGGGATGTTAAATAATTGTATCGAATGATTTGGTGTTCCAATGCTCAGGCGCAAACCGGCCATCTTGAGCAGTCACCTGACAATTTCCAAGTTCGCAATTGATTTGATCACGAAAACACACTGAAGCGAACATGTGCACACCTCATGCTTAAGCGCATGTGCCTCACCCCAGCATCTCTTGAACCGCCAAAATGCGTCATGACATTCAAACACAACAAACAGCACTTTATTTAAAAAATGCATGTGTAAATCGACGTTCGCAATGCACATGATATCAATTGAGAAACTCAGCCGCAATGCGAATCGGAATTCAAACCGAAAACCCGAAAGTCCACGAACTGAATAATAAACCCTCAATACAAAAGTTCTAAGACCAAAACAGCCAATGAAAAAATGCGAAGTGAAAACACCCCGGCCAAGAATCCATCAAATGCAGAACATCCAGGAATGTTCAATCCCAAACATCCAAATCATCCGACCATTTTTGTATCGTAAACCATTTTAAATTCTGAAATATCCCGACCAGACAAAATATCCCATGCGGCCCAAAAAAAATGGGAATGATTTTGCGCCACAAAACATGCATCCTACGAAATCAATCTACAATGTTTCCAGATCATTCATCAACATTGCTCCAACCGCCCCAACTCACTGTTGTTGTTGCAGTTTATTTTTTGGGGGTATACATTGCTTCAAAAAGATGTATCAAAAAACCCGTGGTAAGAACTTTGCCTTAACATGTTTTGATGGGAATTATCGAGCCTGGTGACGCGCGTTGTTTCATTGTTCCAACCCCGTCAGGAAAAATGTTGTTGTCTGGTTCTGCACGTTGGCCATCGCACGCGTTTGTTACAGGGGCCGTGCTGTCTGGCATCTCCATATCAACCAGCATGACCACGTTGCAAAACGCCCATCAAAACCTCAAACCACACCAAAGCTGCTGTTGATTCATCGACAGAGTCTGGAAATAAATGGTGTGGAGCATTCCTAAATGGGGGTAATCGCTCACATTTGCCTCCGTGCGCACTCTGGCATACCATGTGCATAAACAGTTCACCGCTTCACGCTCCAAAGGGAATCTCATCAAGGCAGAAGCATGGTGGCTAAGACATGAGCCACGCATTGAAGAAAACCTCGCAATGTCATTAACTCCATAACAAACCTGCACACCATCCTTCATTTTGTCAGCCAAAATATCAGAAGCTAAAATCGCAGAGGCCAGTTCTAGTTCATAAATAATAGTGTGTTTGCCTCCCGCGCCGAAGAGCCAGCACTGCTGTTCGTCCAGTGGAAAACCAAACTAGCCCGCGCACACGCATGCATCATCGAAAATTGCGGCTCCAATGCCACCTGACATCAGTTCGGGTTCATAAGTCTGCGTCACTATAGACATTCCACTGCCGAAGCGTCTTTGCAGAGACGATCCTCGGCACACCAGCAAGTCGTCGCATCATCATTTGCAAACCAAAAGCAAGTTCGGCTGACAGTTTCCCAGAGCCTCCGTAAGCATGATCCGACAAATTTTTGAGAGCCATCAATCCCAAGCGCCCATGTAGATTATCCCGACAAGAGACCTCAAAGAGTGTGGGGGGAGTGGAAGGATAATATATAACAATGTTGATGATGATGATGATGATGACGTTGCGGACGATGATGTTGCGGCGGATGCTGTTGAGGATGATGAGGTGCGGGAGGATGATGTGGAGGATGGTGATGTTGAGGATGATGAGGTGCAGGAGAATGATGTGGAGGATGATGATGTTGAGGAGGATGAGGATGAGGATGATAATGCGGAAGGTGAAGTGGAGGAGGACGGATGATGATGTTGAGAAGGAGGAAGATCATGATGTTGAGGAGGATGATCAAAAGGATGATAATGTTCCGGAAGATGAGGTGGAGGAGGATGATGTTGCGGAAGATGAGGTGGAGGATGATGATGTTAAGGATGATGATGTCAAGGGGGAGGAAGATGATGATGCTGAGAATGTTGATGTTGAGGATGATGAGGTGTAGGACTAGGAAAAGTGCCACGCCCCAGAACCAAGGACCACACTTCGCGCGAGCCTGCGCAATCGAAATGCAGTCAACATGTCACAAGGGCCACTTTATACAGGTAAAATGCCGCAGGCCAAAACCACGGCGCATACTTTGTAGACAATCGTCATGATTTGTCATCATGAACAAGACATGTTATCCAGGAAACATATTGTCCAGGATCTCCACAGACATGAAGAAATTTGGCACTGTTTTTCATCATCTCGAACGGGTGTGCTGCCATGGAACTCTTTTGGAATCCAAAGAGGCATTAAGATCCAGAGGGCTGGAAGTGAGCCCAACGGAAGCAGCAGTAGATGCTCTCATAGTCAACAGAGGAGTCCCTGGCACGTCTCGCCTTTGCTGAATGTCCACCCGGTGAGACTCCAACACACCCAGACTGCTAAGAGCTTGAGACCGTGAACGCTATGAGGAGGAGGGCGTTGGCCTTCGATGTAATGAAACCTGCGGCTTTCGCGCCATGAATGGCTATCGTGCCAATCTATTTGATCACCTTCCACCAAGCGCCGCCACTTGGCTACATTCCAGCGAGTCTCTCCCTGGAGCTTCGAAGGGGAGGGGCACCCTTCATGACCCCTTAAGCCCCCCCTTCAAGCCCCCCTTTGAAGAAGGGGGTGGGCCCGCCCTCCTTAGTTGATTGCTTGAACAGTGATTTATTGGGGTCTCAGTTTGACTCTTTTGGACCGTGGACTGACGCTGGGGCATCGCTTCTGGAAAATTGACGTTTTGAGTCTTGATAGAGCTCTGGGGACTTATGATTTCAATCCCGTGTGAGAGATTACAGTTGCCTGAGTTTCTCATACGCCTACCTTCTTTCAGAGGGTGTCAGATTGCGCTGAAACAGTCGTTTTTGGTTTTCATGTTAACTCCGAAGGTGCTTCGTCAGTGGATGTTTGCGCTTGTTGTGTGTGTGTGTGTTCTAAAAAAAATTTCTCTTGCAACAGCACCGTAGTGAACTCTTTTTGAAGCCATGGTTATTTCGTCCTCTTTGTGGAGTGACTTGAATCTCTGAATCTGGGATTTGAGATGGAAGTCGGTGTGCTTCTTATCTTGGAGCTGGATAGACGAGATTCTGGACATCGTCTGATTTTTGACGAAACACTGGGCGACAGTCGTCATGAGGTCATTGATCAGGTTTTAGATTTTGGATTGCCGTCTTCATTGGAGGCGGATGAAGTCAGAGACTGTTTCCTTTCTGCATGACCGGTCATATGGATGCGGATCTCCGATTGTGTGGCTCGTGGGGAGAATTTGGATTTCTCTTGTTCACGCTTCGCTTGATACGTACATCGCACGAAGTCTTCTTTTTGGTCCTTCTCGTACAGCGCGCAATCGGGGGGATATCATGCAACAAAGCAATGGTACTTTTAGACATTCACTTTGAGGTTGCTCATCCCGCAAACTTTGTGCTCTGGCGTTGGCTGAGATCTACGTCCAGAAGATCAGTTTGCGAGATTGATTTTGTGGACGTTGAAAGGGGGTGTGGAATATATCTCCTGGGTGCGCACTCCACAATACAATGCAACAAGTGAATTTTTGGAAAGTATGGCATTGCTGACCATGCAGCAACTGTGACGCTCACCATTGCGAACGTCACGTGATTTCATGCAGGATGGCATTGCCAGATCTGAATTTGGTGGTTATTTGGTCGGTGTGACTTACGGCCGTGATTAACCTGCAACTTTGGATTTGGACATCATGCCTTAGCACTGAGTATTGTGCTTTGCAGCACAATACGTCCTACGTGGGTGTTGTGGTATTTTGTACACCGTGGGATCTGCAATATTGTCTATTGGACACCTGATGGGAATCATTTTATCATTCCCCTTCTATATTAAGGTATAGTCATCATCAGTCTTGATGACTTGGTACAATAGAGAAGACTCTTGTGTGAGAATATTCTTGTGTGCGGCAAACGGATCAAAAAATTCAAAAAATTAATGTGCACTTCATTTTTCAGCTCGCTTTTTGTCAGGGACAAGGGACCAGAAAGTTGAGCGACCTAACTTCGGTATGGTCAATAACTTCCTTGTCGCAGGTGTACAAAACACGTGCAGTCCGGTGCAGCGCCCATTTGGGGCGATAGCCACTGGCTGCATCACTTTTTGACGCTGCGCTCGTCTTCGGTCCTTTAACTCCGTTGGTTTATATTTCGATGGCATGGCAACCATGCACATACGTTCCTATGTGATGACCCCGTGGCAGATAACTTACTGGCCAGAGCCCCGTTGCTCCTCGACGGCCTTAGGCCTGCCAGCCCAGTCCATAGGAGTCAACAAGGGAAACCTTGACGTCTTGTGCGTGGCTTTTGTTTTGTTTCTGGTGTCGTTTGTTGCCTTGGTTCCGGTTCACGGAGAATGGTTTTCCTTGGGCCCACGGACTTGCTTCTGCAGCTCAGCAATTAGGAAGGGTGTACAGAAGTCGCAAATCGCGGCGCCTCCCTTCCGGTGTCGAGGGGGAAACGAGCGCGGCCTCCAAACGGAAGCCTCAAAGAGGCTTCGCCTGGAGAGTCGTCGCGCCTCTGCACCTGGACTTTTACAGTTTTTTCGATACCTGCCAGGTGATTGGTACTTCTGCTCTTCATTATGTTTCAAGACGCTGAAACTGTGTTTGGCTGAACCATACGTTATTGGAGAACAAACATGAGGTTTGAGGAAGTTTTGTGAACCAGAAGAAGATTGTACAGAGCTTTTGTAATCATTTACTTCGTTCTTGAGTGTAAAGAACTCTGGTTATTCACGTTTGGATGAGAACTGGAATTAATTGAGAATTTTTGAAGTAGATCAAGTTTTAGTAGCTAGCTGAATTTGTGACTCAACGCAATTTGGAATCGTTCAGTCGACCTTTTAGGAAAGGTCGTGGTTTTTGGACCTGGAATTGCGTTTCCTCACCAGACATTGGCTCGAAGGAGCTTTAGTGTCATTAAGTTCAGAATTGAACAGGACTGAGTATCACAATCAGCAGTAGGGAAACGTTGACTTGCCTCCTTTGTGTTGCGTCCGAGCAAAAGACCGAAGCTGGCGTTTGCACTTAGGAGTCGAAGTTGAAACTCCGTGTTTAGTTTTGAGGTTCTGATTTCCTGAATTTGGGTTTGATCTAGGCAACTAGACTTTAGCACAATTACATT